ACAAAGTTACAGCTAGGTAGGGCTAAAATCTCTTAATCTAAGACGCTTTCCTTATTTAAACCCGAAGCGCTTCTTTACATACTGTCTCTTTTCACGTCCGACTAAACACGGCCGTGCGTGTAGGGGTTATTAACCTTCTAATTAGCCCTTTCTGCGCCTCCCTCTAGGTATAACTAGCCTTACACACCGTGCCCTTGTAGCGTAACTAGAATATAGCTAATTAGATTTCTTGAAATACGTATTCTAACTTGGATTCGAAGTACTGGGGGGTGTTCAGTCGGACGTGGGAGGAGGCGGTATGGTACTTCCGGCTGAAATTCCAACCAGATTTGCTGGGAGGGCGCTCAAGACACCAAGCTGCACTCTTTCAAAGAAGTAATATTGCATGAGAACCCCGGGGTTAAAAGGCGATCTGGACCCGGGTGAGTCCGTCTTGAACCAAGCTAAGGATTCAGGAATAAGCCGACTAACTTTGCCTTTTAAATTCCCTGCTCAAAGAATCTCCAGTAGTTACGATGTCTCGTTTGGGGTTCATACACGCACTAAATTAGAGAGTAAACTTCGATCGGTAGTGCCAAAAGGTCCCTTGTAACTGAGATATCGGACGGCTCGCACATAATCAGATTCCTACGGCAACAACTTCAGTCGTCCCGGCGCCTCTTTCCGTCACATTGCGCGGTACTGACATTGCGTTGCTGCCTACGAATAACATCAAATACTTTCGGTTCATTGCTCGTCGGGTATTCGCAATACGCGCTATGGAAATGTCCCGCTCTCTGCAGCCGCCCTCAACCACGTCTCCCGCTGTTGCAATCCCTTGAACCATCTGTCTGCATTGGGATATCTCTGAAACGTCTCCTTCCACTTTCCCGCCATCAGAGCCGCCCCGTTTGGCAGGTGGAAAAGATCAGCTAGAGATATTTCATCTCCGCAGAGATATTTCTGTGTAGCCAGAATCCTGTCATAAACACCTAAGACTGTTTCCAAAGCACTCTCTGCCTCTGCAACTCTACCCTCATCTGGAGCTCCCAGACCTTTCATTCTGTCAAGCGGCAATTAGTCAATGCGCGAATAAGGTGGGCAAAGAAGCTACACGCACGGTTTGATTATCATCTCAGTACCAATTGTCTCGGCAGCAGCACCAAAATAACTTTGTTCCACAGAACAGGCTTGTTCGAAACGTCCATACGCACGGTCATCAGCGTCTGGCATCAGCCCCTTCTTCGACGCATACTTTCTGAGACGCCTTTAGCAAAGAGGATCTTTGCCATTTTATATGGCGTAAAACATACTTGGCGAGATACTTGCAGATTGCCCGACTCTCAAACATGAAAAACCCGTTGTCCTCCAAAGCTGGCACCTTGCCGAAAGGCTGCAGCTTTCTATAGTCCTCACTCTTTTGTTCTCCCTTTGCAATGTCAACAAGGACAAGTTCATAGGGCAGGTTCAATTCCAGAATGGTGACTAAGACACGGGAAGTGGACATAGCCGAGCCGTAGAGTTTGAGAGTCATTGTTGATAATGGTGTGAGGGTGTTCCAATGTCAATTGTCCCAGAGTACGTTTGAAAGTCAAGGAGACGGGGCAGCAGCACAGATTCTCATTTCATGACTTTCGTTATACATTCCTCGCAACTTTCCCAACGTTTTGGCAAACTTCCAAGTATGACATGGACATGTTTTCTGCATCGTAAGCACTAGACAAGGGTGGGACAGTGTGAACAACGATAGATTTAGTGCTTACTCTACTCTACCTCGTACGCAGCGATCTCTCCGGAGGACGTATTGGTGCGCAATACGCTAGCTTAGTAACGACACCATAACGTCAAGTAGCGTCAAGGCCTTCTTCGTACCACACGTGATTTGGGAATGCTATCGGCGCAGGACTGCTCAATCACACATGTACATCACGTATCTGCAGCAGAGATACTTGTCTTATCATAGATGTAAGCACTAGAAGCGTATGCGCGGTGCTTGAGGCAATGTTCATAATATAGAAAGTCGGTTCAATACGTGCCACAACGGACCGTGACGAGCTCTGTCCCTGAGGAAAGAACTGAAGCCCATTGTGATCCAGTGTCATTGAAACCATGCCTTCTACCAACAATCCTGCACATGTTCCTATCGCCATTGTCGGCCTTGCTTGTCGTTTCCCTGGAGAAGCTACCTCGCCGTCAAAGTTCTGGGACCTCCTCAAAAATGGCAGAGGTAAGTGATGAACTGAGGTGGTGATTTGGAGACTCAATGCAAGGGAACGTTCGTAGCTAGTAGCATCGAACTGACGTAAACAAGATGCATACTCTCCAACGACTGATCGATACAACGCCGATGCATTCTATCATCCGAAGGCCAGCAGCCGGCAGAATGTGTTGGCTACAAAGGGTGGTCATTTTCTGAAACAGGATCCATATGCGTTTGATGCAGCCTTCTTCAACATCACGGCAGCGGAAGCCATCTCCTTTGATCCGAAGCAGCGAATAGCTATGGAGGTTGTTTATGAAGCCCTAGAGAACGCCGGCAAGACATTGCAGAAGGTTGCAGGCACTCAGACTGCATGCTATATCGGGTCGTCAATGAGCGACTACCGAGATGCGGTTGTACGAGACTTCGGACACAGCCCTAAGTACCATATTCTCGGAACGTGCGAGGAGATGATATCCAATCGTGTCTCTCACTTTTTGGATATTCACGGCCCGAGCGCCACCATCCACACAGCTTGCTCCTCGAGCCTTGTTGCTACCCACCTCGGGTGTCAGAGCTTGCAGTCTGCAGAGTCAGAAATGGCCATCGTGGGCGGCGTTGGCATGATCATCAGCCCTGACGGAAATATGCATCTAAATAATCTAGGGTTCTTGAACCCTGAGGGGCACTCCAGAGCCTTCGACGCCGACGCCGGTGGCTACGGTCGAGGAGAGGGATGTGGGATTTTGATTCTTAAGAGGTTGGACAGAGCCGTTCAGGATGGCGATTCCATTCGCGCGGTTATTCGAGCGACGGGCGTCAATTCAGATGGATGGACACAAGGAGTTACCATGCCCTCAAGCGAGGCACAGGCTTCGTTGATAAAGTATGTGTACGAGTCCCACGGCTTGGAGTATGAATCGACGCAATACGTCGAAGCTCACGTAAGTGGTGCCGCCGCGCTTCTTGACCCTACATCTCTGACGCCATGACAAGGGCACGGGAACAAAAGCAGGCGATCCGGCAGAAGTTGGAGCAATTCACCGTACCATCGGACAGAGTACTACCAAATCACGCAAGCTTTTCATTGGTAGCGTTAAGCCTAACGTAAGTATATCTACCGTTTCAGAAAAAAATTGAGCTCACTATGGCTAGATTGGCCATCTAGAGGCTGCTGCTGGCGTAGCTGGTATTATCAAATGCGTTCTCGCCATGGAGCATGGTCTGATTCCGCCAAACATATACTTTTCTAAGCCGAATCCGGCGATTCCCTTGGATGAATGGAACATGATAGTGCCGACAAAGCTTACTCCTTGGCCAGTCACTCGGGGGCCTCGACGTGCGAGCGTAAGCGGGTTTGGAATGGGTGGTACGAACGGACATGTTGTCCTAGAATCATACAGCCCAGAGAGCAACAAATTGCTCAACGGAATCAGCAATGGAGTTACTAATGGTGCTACCAACGGGACCGTCAACGGAAGTGCGGAGAAAGATATCAACGGAAAGGCTCGCCTAAACGGAACCAATGGGATGATCAAGAGCACTTTTAGTGCTGCCGTAAGGGATTATGTGCACATCACCGCCAACAGCGGTAAACGCCTGTTTGTCATTAGCAGCCATGATCAGGCAGGATTTAAACGCGTGGGCAGCACACTTTCGGAGCACCTTCACAGTCTAGGACCAACTGCTTCAACGCCAGACTATCTTGCTCGCCTTGCGCACACCTTGGCGGTTGCCAGATCAGGCCTCTCCTGGAAAGCCGTTATTTCAGCCGAGAGTTCAGCGGAACTGCAAGAAAAACTGTCGGCGGGATCGTGGGAGAATGCCAGGCGAGCTGGCAGCAACATTCCACGGATAGGGTAAGGTTTCAGCTTAGTGCTATAGTTACGCTGGTGCTGACTCACTATTAGTTTTGTGTTCACCGGTCAAGGCGCTCAATGGAGTAGAATGGGCGTCGAGCTGTTGGAGCGTCCTGGTTTCAGGGAATCCATTGCCAGATCATCCGAGATTTTAAGAACGTTCGGATGTGATTGGGACCCCATTGAGGAGTTGATGAAAGGCAAGGACCAGTCTCGACTTGGGGTCCCGGAAATATCGCAACCTATCTGCTCAGTGTTGCAAATCGCCTTGGTCGACGAACTGAAAACGTGGGGTATAGTGCCTTCGAAAGTTGTCGGTCATTCAAGCGGCGAAATCGCTGCAGCCTACTCCATCGGAGCCTTGTCTCACCACGATGCATTGGCTGTGGCGTACTTTAGAGGTGTAGCCTCATCCGGGCTCAAACATCTGAAGGGCGGAATGATGGCCGTTGGATCTTCGCCCGAGGACGCCCAGCGGCTTATCAAGCAAGCAAAACTTGGTCCTGGTGCAGTAAGTGTTGCATGCGTTAACTCACCTTCCAGTGTCACCATTTCTGGCGACGTTGCGGCACTTGAAGAGTTGCGAGTCTTCGTAGAGGAACAAGGCGTGTTCGCGCGACGACTCAAGGTTGATGTGGCGTACCATTCCTCACACATGAACTCAGCAGTCGCCAAATATTCCGCCTCAATTTCCGAGATCGAACCCCAGCAATCAACGGCAAAACACCCAGTAATGGTATCAAGTGTGACGAATCAAGAAGTCGATGCCGAACTTCTAGGTCCTTACTACTGGATCCGCAATCTCATTTCTCCCGTTTTGTTTTCGGACGCCGTCAAAGAAATGGTTTCTCCTTCAGAGGGAGATGGGAGGAATGAGGTGGATCTTCTAATTGAGGTCGGACCTCACAGCGCGCTAGGTGGGCCAATTGAGCAGATTCTGGCTTACCACGGTATCAAGAACGTCGGTTACGCTTCCGTCCTCACTCGTGGCGAGAACGGACTCGACTGCGCCCTAAAGCTTGCTACCGAGCTCATTCTTCAAGGTGTACCACTAGATGTTCAGCGAGTCAATGGTGATTCAGGTTGTCGCCTGCTTACTCACCTCCCTCCCTATCCCTGGTGAGTTTACTGATTTCAGGTCCTCTTTCCACCGAAAATTGCTGGCTGACGTATTGTGCGTCTTGCAGGAACCACTCAAAAACGTTCCGCGCCGATTCGCGGATCCATAGGGAGCTCATATCACAAAAGTTCCCCACACGAAGTCTCATCGGGGCGAAGCTTCCCGCGATGAGCGAAACGGAACATGAATGGCGGACTTTTATTCGTCTTTCCGAGGAGCCTTGGCTTCGCGGCCATACGGTTGGAAGCACAGTACTCTTTCCTGGAGCCGGTATTGTAAGCATTGTTTTGGAGGCTGTCCAACAGTTGGTAGATGCCGGCAAGAGGGCCTGCTCCTTCCGATTGCGCGACGTGAGCCTTTTTGCGGCCATGGCGCTTCCAGAAGACCAGGCGACCGAGGTGATCATCCACATGCGGCCGCATCTCATTGCCACGAGCGGAACCACACCGGCAAGCTGGTGGGAATTCACTGTTTCCTCTTGCGTGGGGACGGATCAACTTAGAGACAACGCGCGAGGTTTGATAACCGTGGACTACCATGAGAACAGGAGCCAACAAATGATTGACGAGTCAACAATGATTACGACTGCTCAAGTGGAAGATTATCATCGGATCCAACAAGAGTGCACCGACACATGCTCTAAAGAACAATTCTATCAGCACATGACCAAGGCATCTTGGCGTTACGGCGAGCTCTTCCAGGGAGTAGAGAATTGCCATATCGGCTACGGAAAAACCACTTTTGATATCAGACTCGTTGATGTTGGAGAAACTTTCAGCCGCGGCCAACTGGATCGACCATTCCTCATCAACGCCGCATCTCTGGATGCTATTTTCCAGTGCTGGCTTGGAGCTACATATAATAACGGCGCATTCGAGTTTGACAAACCTTTTGTCCCTACCTCAATTGGCGAGCTAGAAATTTCCGCAGATATACCTGCTGATGCCGACTATGTCATGCCAGGCCTCTGTAGGGCAGAGCGGTACGGCTTCAACGAGCTATCTGCCGACATAGCAATCTTCGACAATGAGCTTTCGACCACCGTGCTCTCCGTGAAAGATTTCCGCACCTCCGAATTGGACGTAGAGTCAGGGAAGGTCGAAGGGGACGGCGCCGAGATTGATCCAGCAGACATCACCTCAGAGGTGACGTGGAATTATGCCTTACCTTTGCTGCATGCCGACGAGCTCAAAAAAGTTTTGAACACAGCTAGTGCTAATAGCAGGCTGGAAAAGGTAAACCCCAAGCTTTATATTCTTGCTACAATTATAATGACTGACGCTCGATTAAGCTTATCTTTATGCTCCTGCACGAAAATCCGGCGGCCAGTGTTGTTGAATTGATCTCTGATACCGACAAACGTGACAATGCGGTCATGTCTAAAATCCCTGAGGAGGTTATCTCACCCAGCCGCGTTTGCTACGCTGTTGAGAAGAGCGAAGATAATAAGGACGAAAGTTCACTCCTGATTGTTGACGCGAATGATCAATCAAGTCCCGTTAAGAAGTCTGCCGCAGACGTCTTGATCGTCACGTCCGAGGTTGAGGATCCAGCCCGTTTGGAAGACCTTGTAAACCAACTGGCCAAACCTAACGCGACCGTTGTCATCGCCACCAGCAACGAAGTTGCTGCAAAAGCATTGATTGGCATGGGCTTCTATCAAGTCTCATCCCCTGATGGTGTTGGATCAGTTTCCATATATATGAACAGGCGAGGGCGATCGGAAGGCGTGACAAATGGCTCCTTGAAGGACAACATCCTTATCATCGAGCCATCAACTGCTTCATCCACTGCACAAGAGTTCTCATCCACTCTACAAAACACACTGCGCAACCATGGCTACCCCATATCCCCAGCGTCCTGGGACAACGCAATCAGTGCTGAAGACGTCAACGGAAAGATATGCGTGTCTCTTTTGGAGTTTGAGCAGCCTTTGCTGGATAACCTTTCCGATCGCGACTTCGAGAAAGTTCGAACCATGGTCTTGAACAGCGATAGGGTGCTTTGGATTACATCGGGCGACAATCCAGCATTTGGGATGGTTGAGGGTTTTGCTCGATGCATCATGAGCGAGATCGCGGGGAAGAGATTCCAGCTCCTACACCTCAGCGAGGCCACTGGACTACAGCATGGTCCCGTTCTTGCGTCTCGCATCCTTGGGTCGGATTCCAATGACAACGAATACCGGGAATCAGGTGGTCTTCTTCAAGTCGCTAGAATATGGAAGAGCTACCAACAGAATGAAAACATACGGTACCACCTGGAGGACTCTACTCGCCTCGAGACGCTGGCCGACCGTCAAGAGCCTCTCCGGCTCACTATCGGCAAGCCAGGTCTCTTGGACACGTTGAAGTTTGTCCCTGACGAACGAATTGTCCCTGCACTTGGCGATGACGAGGTTGAGGTCCAGGTTAAAGCTACAGGCCTAAAGTAAGTTCTCAAGCTTTGTCTCCAAGCAAACCGCATTCTAACATAACTTGCAACAAGTTTCCGAGATGTCATGGCCAGCATGGGATTGATTCCCGTGACATGGCTAGGCCAAGAGGCCAGTGGTGTAGTTGTAAGAACTGGTCGCAATGTGACAAACGTTAAGCAGGGCGATCGCGTCAACACAATTCACGTCGGTACCCATGCAACCAGGATCCGCGTGAATTACCGTGGTCTAGCACGAATTCCGGAGGGTATGTCCTTCGAGGAGGCAGCGGCCATCCCTGTGGTTCACACAACTGCGTACTACGCCTTCGTTCGAGTGGCCAAGCTTCGTGCAGGGCAGTCTGTGTTGATACACGCTGCGGCTGGAGGTGTAGGACAAGCGGCTATACAGTGAGTATCTCCGGCATGCTTCCGACGTATTGGATTTGGCTGACAACAGTGACCCATAGGCTGGCGAAACATCTCGGTCTCGTAATTTTTGTCACTGTAGGTACGGAAGAAAAGCGGCGCCTGATTACCGAAGAATACGGGATCCCTGATGGCCACATCTTTTATTCGCGCGATGCCAGCTTTGTCAAGGTACGACTCTGTCCGCTGTCTCCCATGCCCACCTCAAAGCTTCCGTCGTCTGATACATCCCATGCTGACCGCGAACGCTAACAGGGCATTCTCCGCGTCACAAATGGGCGAGGAGTCGATTGTATTCTCAATTCTCTCTCAGGCGAACTTTTAAGAGCTTCCTGGAATTGCCTCGCGACATTTGGTACCTTCGTCGAGATTGGCCTGCGCGACATCACCAACAACATGCGTCTAGATATGCGACCCTTCGGGAAGAGCACGTCATTTACGTTCATCAACAACCACACCCTCTTCGAGCAAGACCCCGAAACGTTCTATGAGGCCTTCCATGCAGCCTTGAAGCCAGTGGAACAGGGCCATCTCCGTGCTCCTAGCCCCGTCGTGGCATATCCTGTTGACCAAATCGGAGAGGCGTTCCGGATTATGCAACAGGGAAAGCATCGGGGAAAGCTAGTCCTGTCATTCGAGGGTTACGCCAAAGCGCCTGTCCTTCACAGGGCCAAGGACTCCTTGAAACTAGACCCTGAAGCGACATACCTTTTTGTCGGTGGCTTGGGCGGCCTGGGACGCAGTCTGGCGAAGGAATTCGTCGCATGCGGAGCCCGTAACATTGCATTCCTGTCACGGTCTGGAGATAGCACACCTCAGGCCAAGGCAATCATAGATGAACTCACAAGCCGGACACCTGGAGTACGGATCAAAGCTTATCGTGGCGATATCTCGGACAATGCGTCATTCTCCAAAGTTATGGCGCAGTGCGAGCAGGATTTACCACCGGTGAAGGGTGTAATTCAGATGGCCATGGTTCTTCGCGACATTGTCTTCGAAAAGATGTCGTACAGTGAGTGGACCATTCCAGTTCAGCCCAAAGTGCAAGGAACATGGAACCTGCACAAGTACTTCGACCAGAGCCGACCGCTGGACTTCATGATCATCTGCTCGTCGAGTTCCGGGATCTATGGTTACCCTAGTCAGGCCCAGTATGCTGCTGGAAACACCTACCAGGACGCCCTTGCCCGCTATCGTCGCTCCCAAGGACTCAAGGCCATCTCTGTCAACCTTGGCATTATGCGCGATGTTGGCATTCTTGCAGAGACTGGCACTAGCGGCAACATCAAACTCTGGGAAGAGGTATTGGGCATCCGTGAGCCGGTCTTCCATGCTCTCATGAAGAGTTTGATAACTCAGGAGCAAAAGCGTTCCCCGGAAACCTATCCGGTACAAGTTTGCACGGGGCTGGGCACTGCAGATATTCTGGTCACCCACGGTCTGGCTCGACCGGATTATTTCAATGACCCACGATTTGGACCTCTGGCGGTAACCAGTGTCGACGTGTCAGCTTCAGCAGAGGCGAATGGTTCTGCTGTATCGTTGGCTGCCCGACTCTCCAAGACCAGTAGCAAGGAGCAGGCAACGGAGATCATCACTGAAGCTCTGGTTGAAAAGACTGCGGACATCCTACAGATGCCCGCGTCTGAAGTTGACCCAAGCAGGCCTCTATATCGTTATGGTGTGGATTCGCTGGTTGCGTTGGAGGTGAGGAACTGGATCACTCGAGAGATGAAGGCGAACATGGCTTTATTAGAGATTCTGGCCGCGGTGCCCATCGAAAGTTTTGCAAGCAAAATCGCGGAAAAGAGCAAGCTGGTCATGGTGGAATAAACCATCGGCGCTCTGAATATTTGTCCAGAGAGGTAGCTGTTTTGACAGATATTTTGGGTGGCGATGCCATTGAGTTGATATTTACAGTCATCTTCCTCGCAGTTTTAATTACAGAGAGCATCAATGTTGATAATTCCACCGTTTTCAACCAATGCAGCTCATATACATGTATTACCACAGGATTCTAAAAAAGCTGTTGTGCGGTCATGCAACGCAACAAAAGTGAATTAATTCGAACCCACCCCGGATTTGCGTTGCAATTGGCGTTTGGAGGACAGTCTCAGCAAGTCGATTACATCTTCAGCGTCCAAGTATACCCTTGAAAAGACTTGTCGCAAGCTACCCTAGGCTGTCGGCGACTCTGATCCTGCCCGTCATCTCTTCTGGTAAAGCACTCGCTGAATTCGATCATGTTTTCTCACCATATGTGAATCAAGTGTGGTTCCTACAACCACCAAAGCCTTGTAAATAGCAGACTAAGTCGCTTAGGGGAAACCCTTGCCTGCATCAGACCCTGAAGTTGGATGGTGCTCCTCAGAGTATAGGGACGACGTAGAGTAACAACATCCATCGGTCACTTCACGCTGTCCTAGCAGTGTTGACTCTGACCAGGCGCTACGTCGATCGTGGTGCGATAGTGAGGGACGTGGTAAGAGCCGGCTACACCATGCATAAGCACTAGTAGAACCTGCATATGCAGATACAGTACTCTTAATGTGACCATCCAGCTGCAGATCAGCACTAACGAGACTAAGTATGGTGCCGTTCGTACTGTAAGCCCTAACCGCACCTCACAGAGTAGGACGGACTATCGAGGCTTTACGGGCGACACATTCTAACCTGGTGCTATCAATATCCAAACCAACAGCCCTTTCCATCCAAAATGAGCTACTATCTCGACCGTGACGCTCTGCAAATCAAGGAATATGGCGTCCAGCAATCAAGCGATTGTCGCAAAACTTGAAAGCATTTTAGCTGATGCTAAGTTACTTGGGGAGGAGGATGTCGCAGCTCGATTGAGTCTGATGAGGAAGGTTCACGATGTCCAGCAAGACTTGGAGCTTCCTATCAACCTTGTGAGTAGTTGGGTATTCGAGAGCGCAGGGCGCAATGCCGCAGCTAACAAGAGTCAGTTTTTCAAGCAATGGAGTGATGTGAGTGCCAAACAATTTTCCAGACGCTTCTTTTCTACAGACTTGTTCAGCAATCTAACCTGAGCAGCTGACTGTTTTCACGTGTGTCGACATCGTGGTCAAGTTGGGTGTGTTCGAGGTAATGAAGGGCAAAGATCACGTTACTGCTAAGGAAATCGGCGAAGCGGTTGGAGTAGACCCGGACGTAATAGGTGATAGCTACTCATGTATTGGAGCTGTGAAGCGGACAATGCTGACCAACTTTGGTAGCGCGTGTGATGAGAGTTCTGGTTGCCGCCAGGCTCATTGCTTCCACCAGGGAAGACACCTACTCTCACACGAGCAAATCCCTGATATACGTTCGGGGTGCAGGTACCGCGGTCGATTCGTTCCTATTACTGTAAGATAAACGACTCGTTCTGTGAGATACCATGGTAACTGACAGTGTTATTTCCGTAGCACACTTTTGAGCAAAAGTTACATCACGATTCCAGAGTACCTGAAGACCCGGCCCTCGGAGGATCTTCTTGACATCCGGAAGACACCATATGCCTGCGCCTATGGGATGGAGGGGAAAACGTTCTACGAGACGCTGTCGGCGATTCCCGAGCATCTTGAGATATTCAACCGCTCGATGAGCGAGCCTGGCCCCGAGTACGGCATATTTCCATTTTCTTCTCTCAAAAAAGAGGTGGTCGCGAATCCAGAAATCCCTTTCGTCGTTGACATCGGGGGCGGTAACGGCCAGGCACTCCATTATATCCGAAAAGCTACCAACAATGTATTTGGAACAACGTCGAAACTCATTCTTCAAGATCGACCCAGCGTTCTGGAGCAGCTTACTCCGGAGCACAAGACAGGAATAGAGCCAATGAGCTACGACTTCCATACGCCGCAGCCTGTCAAGGGTATGGGTTTCTCTTCAACAGTTTCGTCGTGTGCTGCTAAACGGTCTCAGGTGCCCACGTGTACTACTTGTGTCAGATATTGCACAACTATCCAGACCATCTCTGCCGCAACATTCTCAAACAGATTGCAGGAGCAATGGCTCCACACTCACGGTTGCTTATTGTGGATGCTGTTCTTCCTGCCGAGACGGAGATTGGGGGTGGTGTCGGGATGGGCTATTTAATCGACGTAAGTGAGCCCTATACCGCTGAATATACGCCCCGGCAAAGAACTATAAAAGAAGCTAACATGGACTTTTTCTGTTAGATTGTTGGCCTCGCGATGGGGGGAAAGGAACGCACTGAAAAGGAGATTGCGGCTTTATTGGATGCCGAGGGCTTGGAGTTGGTAAAAGTGTGGCATAGTAAGACGAGTTGGCAGGCGGCGGTTGAGGCAAGGCCAAAGGTTTGACCATGGGCCATGAACATATAATATCGCTAGATATGGACCACGGAATTCGAATCATGGCGACTGTCTCTCTTTCTTGCGTGGCCTTGGACATAGTGACCCCAGCTGAACCCTGTGAAGGGAAGGTTCAGTTGCTTCTTCATTACGCTGTGGTGTTGCTCCATGGCGCGACAGAGGGGAAATATTTTGAGTCGCTCCAGTTCTGGCTCTTCCGCGAGCATGGCAAGGTGACTGACGAAGAAAACTTCCAGGTTGTCTTCAGGCAGACACAGTCACGTGCAGATATACACCCAGCGCACGTGCGCGTACTTCTCCGTCACCGCATCGCCAAGAGGGGCCTACGCCCACTACAAACGGCCGACTTCTCCCTTGCAAAAACATCTACATCCCAGGTATCGCCTAACACCACTGGATAAACGGTGAGAAGTCTTGTCCAGCCAAAGGAGACCCGACCTCTTCGTCAGTTGGATCACAATCCGCTACAGTAGGTAAACAAACACGCGCACGCGTGTGTTGTGGAGTGTGCCATACCGCCGTCTTTCTCACCTTGAAGCGTTTGCATGGTTTGCGCCTCATCTTATAGCTAGGCTTTTGAACAGTCAGGGCAAGTATACATTGTTCCTGTTGGTTCTGTCGACTTGTCACACGCTCTTCTTCCACTCAATTCCTTGCTCTTTCTCGATTCCTACTCGTCTGTTCTCAAAAGCTGTTCCATCCACAATCCCTACGGCGGATTCGGATCACAACCTCATCATGCAGTCCGTCCAGGCCCCGGGCAGCTACGTCAGCCCCTACCGCGGAGTGGTCAAGCATGGCGACAAATTCAGTCACTTCGATGTATACGTTGACCCCGAGCACCAGAAGGATGGATATTGGATCTTCAGTCCTGGGAACGAAGAGCTCGCGTACCAGAGAGGTTTCCGAGCACCGGAGTTGCTCCTCCTGGCCGAACTCAGAGAACCAGGCAAGGGCGCTCCGGACGACATCAAGCTTCGATGGATACCCGGCGCAAAGGACATGTTCTTCCCAGAACGACACGTTAGTGCAAAGCAGCACATTGCAGCGATTGCCTTGGAGCGTCGATTGTTTGGCTTACCCTCGTTGGATACCAGCACTGTACCCGTCTATCCTTGCGACTTTTATGGAAAGCTGCTTCACCACCGTCGGGGCGTCACTACGGTGAGCTCTAAATCGTGTATAACGTGTCACAAGCAAAAGGAGCGCTGTGACAAGGCAGTACCGGACTGTAAGACTTGCGTTAGGCGAGGGAAATTGTGCCAGTATCCCCCAGACGGGCGAATGAGGACCTTCTATCATCCCGCAAACATAACTCCAGGGAGCCAGAAGTCATCGAGGGCCTCGAAATCCCAAAAATCTCGTGCCGACAACATGAAGCCATCCGCGACGTCCAGCGGTTTTTCGGACAATAAGATGGAACGGGAGCCGTATTCAAAGGTTGCCACGTTTCTGGCTGAGGTAAAGGAAGGTCCACAGCACATGATGGCAGCTGCAGAAACGGGCAAGACCAATGCATACACCTCCCGTGAGATTGTCCAACCTTCACCGGTTTCCTCGCAGAGCAAGGGCACGTCTGTCGAACAGGGACGCCCACCGCATTTTCAAGCATCCATAGCCGCACTCATAGGCTACGACAGCTCGAGTGACGACGAAGCTGGTGCCGATCTGCCAGAGGCCGAGCGAGGTCCTGCCGAGCTTGACGGTGTTGATCACATAACTCCAAGCCTGAACGACGACGCTGGTGTCGGTGTGCCAGATTTGCCCAGTGTTGATCATACATCTCCGAGCCCGAACAGCGAAGTTGATATCGGTCCGCCAGAGATGGACGAAGATCTCGCCGAGCTTGACAGATTGTTCGGTGTGGTTCCCGTTTCGCTGGGCCTGAACGACTGCGCTGGCATCGGCCTGCCAGCATTCGAGGGAGCTCTCGCCGAGCTCGACAGCTTGTTCAATGTTGAGTCCGCGTATCTGGGCCTGAACTATGACTACGGTGCCACACTTCCCGATCTGGACTTCACCATCAACGGTACTATCGATCCCCAACTGCTCGCCGCAACACCCTACTCGGATATGATGGAAGGACTCACCCCACAGACCGATGAAGTCGTGACGCCCGAATCGCACGAGAAGGCCTGGGAAATGGCACCAGAGGACGCCGCCATCCTAAGGCAGATCGGCGAAGACCTGGCGGTGGAATTCGGGAAGGAAACCCTGAACCTGCCGATTCCGTGCATGGATTGCGAACAGATGGAGCAGCACACGGTGGATTGCAACATCAATAGTGAGTTATTGTTCCCCCATCTTAGCCGGGTTCGGGCATTGCCATTCTGAGCCCGATTCCTATTCCTTTTGCACTTGAGCTTTTTACGAGATTGGAGCTAAACAAGCAGAATTCGGAGGGAGATGAAGTGTTCCCCTGAGCATCGGCGTTCGGGGGGTTGCAGTTGGAGGTGGAGGTGGATGTGGTTTGGGATGACGGGGAGGAGGCTTCGGTTCTGGGGGATGGGGAAGAAGAGGGAGGGGATGGGGAGGGCGAAGAGAGGGGGAGGAAAGAGAATGAGATGGAGTAGGGGAGTGTTGTGGTCGTTTTGGTGGTAGAGGAAGAGGCTGGGGAGTGGTGGTGTTTGCGGGGTTACGATTAGACTGTGCCCCGGGGGTAAGGACGTACTCATACAGCAAAGCAAAGCAGTAGTAAGCCACCAAGATACCGAATACAAGGAGTACGCCCATCAGCAGAAATGGACTAGCCACCGTGGCTTGGCATGTTCGTACATGCAATTCATTAACCCGGAAATCCGATCCCTCCCGAGGTACAAGCTCGTGACCACGCCTTGCAACTCCACCACCAACCTCTCCACCACTCACATTGCGAGAAGGAAGCCGCTTGTCTGAAACAACCACTCCAGCACGCATACAGACGGCTTCGCCGGCCATGGGATCCGGGTGCGTCACGCTGCCGATGGGTATAGAGGGGACGTGGTTATAGAATAGATGGCGGGGAAAGCTGCTTTCTTCCTGAGGGTGTAAATGCTCACGACCTATATTCACTTTCATTTCTACTACTGCATCTCTATCTCGAATACAACCCGGATTTTCTATTAATCGTCATATAAGATTATTTTCTTGATGTATTCCCCTCATCTCTATTTACATTGACACCTCTGACAATGCATCCGCCTTCTCCCTCTCCTCTGCCCATCCTCCTCCTCCTCGCCCTCCTCCCCTCTCCTTCATCCGCATTCCCCTTCCCCTTCCCCTCCAACAAAAGACCCCCATCCCAACACTTCCCCAACATCCACACCCTCTCCACCATCGGCGACTCCTACGCCGCAGGCCTAGGCGCCGGTCCCCGCCTCGACTTCTGGTGCTCCCGCCACTCTGACAGCTATCCCTCTGTCCTATTCCAAGCGCTCTCCGCGCAGAAGCAAGAAGACGCTGCGGCCGTCCCTTTCGATGATGTCGGGTATCCGTCTCTTCAAAGCCCTCCTCATGGCGCCGACACCGTCTCCGGATCGGAAACAGTGCGAGACCTCACGCACCACTCCCACGCCTGCACTGGCGCCACCATGGCCGACATGCGGACCTCGCAACTGCCTCAAATACCGGACGGCAGCACGGACGTGATGACCATCTCGGCGGGCGCCAACGACATCGGGTGGACGGCCGTGTTGAACGCGTGCGTGTACCAATTTTACCATGATTCTGCCTCTCAGGAGACGGATTGCCGGTATGCGATTCACGAGTCCAGGAGGAAGATGGAGGGCATGGGGGAGAGAGTGAGAAGGTTGTTGGAGGTTGCGAGGGGGAAGATGAACGTCTCGACGACGAAGACAAATACAACGTCCCCCGATCCATCCGAATCTGCATTCCAGTGGAACCTCTGGACCAGACGCAAAAGCAGCAAAAGAAGAGGGGGACCAAACCCAATCATCTACCTAACTCTCTACACCCCTTTCTTCGCCCCCACCACCACTACCTCCCTCTCCGAAACCCAAACCTGCACAAACACAACCCTCTCCCTCTGGGCCCAACAACCCTCAAAGCAATACCTCACCCCCACCCTCCGCACCTCCCTCAACGCCCTCATCTCCGACATGAACCGCATCCTGGAAGACGCAGTTATTGAAGCCAATGAAGCGTTTGCAGACGTCGACGTAGCGGTCGTGCGCTGGGGTGATAAAGTAGGTAGAAACCGGGGCCGGTTTTGCGAAGATGGTGTTGAGGAGCCGGAGCCGGGGAGGGAGGGATTGGCGTTTTTTGAATGGGGGAGTGGTGCGGATGAGGAGGAGGGGAGGTGGAGGGACAGAGCAGAGGGGGATCTAGTGCCTGTAAGGAGTTTTGAGGGCGAGATTGCGGAGTGGGTGTTACGGACCCTGCGGAGACATTCGGATTGGAGTATTGCGGAGGTGGGGGTGGGGAAGAAGGCGGGTGGGTATGGTGGTGATGGGGAGGAGGGAAAGGAGAAAGAGAGACGGGAGATGGTGGATGCGGAAGTGACTCGCAGACGGCGTAGACGTAGCGATGCTGCCGCGCGCAGTTCTGAGCCTCTCGATCTCGAGCTCGACCTCAGCCTCGACGTTACGTCCGATCCTTCACCCAGACCGGATGATTTTCTGTCAGATGTGATTTGGTGGCTGCTCCCAGACGGCTTCAGGCACATCTTCCATCCGCGGCCGCACACGCACGTCTTGATCGCCGAGCTCATATTGCAAGATCTCCAGCGCAGGGAAACAGACCATACAAGGGAGTTGTATTACAACTCGGCAAGCGTGTTCTTACTCCAGGTGGGAGCGTTGGTGATGAGTGTTTTGGTGCTGGTGTTTGTAGGAGTGGCGGTCGTGAGGTTGGTGAGGTCGCTGTGGAGGTGTGGGCGGAGGGTGGGAGGTACAGGAAAGGGGAAGTATGCCGCTATTGAAGGGGAAGATAAACAAAGGGAGGGAGAGACGGAGCCGTTGGTGAGGAAGGATGAGGCGGCGAGAGTGGATGCCTTCGAGGGGATGGCTTATGATACCTTTGTATAGACGACTTGTGATGCTTCGTCTAGACGACTTATGATACTCTGTTTAAAGAACTTATGATACGCTCATACAGCAGTCTTGAGTTATACGACATTTCTTGGAGATTACTTACGATTGAGATACCTCATGCTTTTGTTTATTCAACGTGACCTCGGTGAAGACTGTCCATGGTTCCAATATAAGTGGGAAATCCGATTGTATATCCTGCGCTCTCTGTATGAGAAATCATCTAGAATTCTGGACAATGGAATACCCTACAATCCCAAACACACCCCTTCCCCCCCTTCCCTCCCCTACGAATTGAAAATCCTACTATACAAAACCTCATGCCTCCCAACCCAAACATCCATAACCGGCACCCCCTGCCCAGCCTCCTCCGTCCCCCTCCCCCACCCCTCCCTCACAAGCCCGCAAATCCTCTCCCGCAACTCCCCACTCGCCAACACCGCCTGCGCCTGATACGGCCCCATGACGCTCGCCCGGACCGCCGCGCTCATGACCGTCCGCGCGTGCGCGAACAGGAAAAGGTACGCCGCGTCTCGCAGGGGGATATCGAACGCGCGCGTGACGAGGCCCCAGAGCGGGGCGAGGTGGGCGTTTAGATGCGTGGAAAAGGGATTTGCAGTAGAAGTAGGTGGGATCGAGGCAGAGCTGCGCAGGGAAGCGGAGAAGGATTTCAGTGCGTCGATGGCCTCGTTTCGCTCCTCGTCCTGTGCGGCGGGGCAATATTCGTCCCGGAAACTGCGCTCCCAGACTGCCACTAATGCTCGACCCTGAGCCACGCTCGCCCGCCTGGCAACAATGCACGGCGTACTGGCGTCGAACTCATTGTCTAAGCTTTCCACATCCCCCGGGTTCCGGTATCCCGCAAGCACGTACGACAGCGAAGTGCTTGCCAGAGTGGCGAGGGAGAGCTTCAGGAAGGTGTGGAAGGCTGCGAGTTGGGTCTTCTGGGAGGAGGATTGCTGTTGCGGGAAGGAATGCGAGTGCTTGTGGTGCGCGAGGTAGGATTCTAGGCCGCTGCTGAAGGCGAAGGAGCCGAGGGGGAGGGCGGAGTCGGAGAGGAGGAGGAGGGCGTGGAGGGTAGATTGGGAGGGGGCTGAAGGGGGTGGGTACACTGTCGTGCTGGTTAGGTTTATGCTGTAGTTGATATAATGTGAGTACTGATAACGGACCATGACAATCGCGCGGTTCTACCTCCGCATTGGAAGCCTGTAGTCGCAATTTGGCATCCTTAAGACGCCTTTCAAGGTCGTCTATCTCATCCTGGAGAGCTTGCACGTTGTGATGGGAAGTCATGAAGTGAGAGCGGGGGAGAAGGCATGGTGTTGATAGATAAGGACGCGGGTGGTGGCTTGGCAAATCTTCCCTCTGGGATAGATCTCTAAGATTCTTACTGTAGAATCGCATTCAATTGGGTCTAATACTGGTACATTCTCTTGCCCGGTTCATCGAGAAAAGAACGCCAAACGCCATACCGAATGTGAATGCCGCCCCTTCCAAGGTCATACCCAGGTTTTCCACCCAAACCCCTCGATCGCAAACATCTCCAAGAGTGACAGACCGCGCTCGTAGGAGACGAGAGAACAAAAGAAACGCCGAATCCCGTAACCCATAGCAATATACTTTATGGCAAATGCCTAGTAGTCCCTCCACTGTCCCGCCATCTCAGCATCCTCATCCTTCTCCTCCGGCGCAGCCTTGGGGATATCCGCGAACATGGCACCACCCTTACTCGCCGTCTCGAAGTTCTTGGTGCTCGTCTTCTTAAACAGAGTCTGCGGCTTCGACCTATTCACTCCGTGTTAGCAATCGCCCATTTCCCAACTCCCTAGCATCTCTAAGACAAAGCAAGTAATTCCGAACGTACTTCTTCATAGCATGCTTGGTGCGAAACGCATTCAACTTCTGGCTCGCAGGCGACATGATTTCGTCCGAGGGAGAGACGTATTGCGGGACCCTAATTCCAAACATCAGCCTGTCTTCCCCTCTAAAGTCTGACACTCGCAATCCCGTACTCGTTGTCGTTCAACCGCGACTGCAGCATCTGGCGGTGGTACTCCAGGCTCTTAGGCATGTCCTTGTCGGTCTTCTCGGGCGAGGGCGAGGGCTTGATCTGCGTGTTTGCGTCGCGCGAGGCGAGGACGCTGGACGTCATTGTGCCGAGTGCAGATTCTGCTTCTGAAGGATATTGGGAGTCTGGCTGCTCTGCAGGGAGCGAGCGATTGAGTGGGGTGAGAGAAGCTGTGCTTGTAACGAGGGCTCTTCGTTCGGTGCAGCTGCTAGAGCGAGGGAGCTATTTCAGCGGTGCAGAATTGGGGGCGCGAGGTCGGAGCAAGCGATGTAAAGCAGAGCTCTGTACGGTTGATTGTAGCGCGTGGGAGTGGTAGTTGTAGCGACGTTTAAAGAATGAAAGAATGTTCTTCAGAAGCCCTTGTTTGCAGGGTCGCGTTGCTGGGGAAACGACGACAGCAGGTCCCACGTCACTCCGACCACATTTCTCTAGCAACACTTGTGAGTCAAACTGATGGCCTGGTCTATATTAATATGGGCAATATTGCCTTTTCTTTAGCTGCCTGACCAGGTTTACATGTCCTTGGACGGGCGAGAAGACGAGCGGTGAAGGGCCCAAAGAACTACTGGTTGTACAATTACTTAGTCTCCAGGGAGACAGAACCATCTCGGGTGCCTATATCAAATTCAGCAGCTCTGATATAGGGCTCAGAAAGGGAACGGGTGCATATTGCATGGAAAGAGTGGTCACGTACAGAGCATAATCGAACTTGGAGATTTCGAATGCACCTCCAACTACCAATGTTAAACCACAGTATATACGTCTTATACAAGTCCCATCAGCCATCCGGCATTTCTCGCATGAGCAATGATTCAACAAACGCTCGCCGACCTGCCGTCCAGATATCGTACACTCCCTCCCACCCTACTGTCTCACTTCCACCCCCTCCGGCCCTTTCCACGCCTTCATACTCTCCCTATACCCCTCACTCCCCAAAATCTCCCTGACCTTCTCCAACATCGGCCTCTCCCTCCTCCCCTCAAACTCGCCCTCTTTGATCTCCACACCCACATTCGTCGCCGCCTCCAGACTCTCGTACTCCCAGATATTCGCCTTCATACCCACGCCGTAGTACTGGTGCTCCTGCAGGAAGGCCAACCACGCCTTCACCACGTCCGGGTGCCCGTCCTGGATCTGGATGAGGCGCCGCATGGTGATTCGCTCAAAGTTCTCCTGGCTCTTCTTGAAGATGAAGTTTGCCCTGGGAACGGTCCAGCGCTCTGTAATCCTGGGAAGGGGGATGGGACCCTTGGCGGGCAAGCCCATGTAGTACGCCGCGCGCATCGCAAAGTCCGCGAAGAGCAGTAGGTTGCGGATCGAGTAGGTTCGGAGCTGGAGGTCGCAGACGGGGATGCCGTGTTCGGCGGCGCGGCGCAGGGGCCGCATGTTGACGGCTTGGACGTTGATGGGGGAGCGGAGGTCGCCGAGCTCTTTGCGGGTTTTGGGGTCGAGGGGAGTGGGCTCGCCATCTGGGTGCTGGATGCCGCGTTCTCTAGAGAGGAATATCAGTATATGTGGGACGCTGGAGGTGATTGTAAGGCGGCGTACTTTGCAAGCTTTATGGGCTCGATGCCCGCCCGCTTGTAGATGTGCAGCAGTGTGTAATGATCCGGTGTATCCTTTGCTTCTTCCCATCGTCTCTTCGCTTCGGCCGCCGTCTTGGGCTCCCATTTTGCGAATTCTCTTTCGACCTTCTGCTGGCTCTTGTATAGCCTAGACACAGCATCAGCAACACCGTCCTCCCGTATTTCCAGTTCGTGTAGCTCGGTGTACGCACTTCTGGTACTCCGCCGGATCGATATTCAACGCCTTTAACCTCTCCTCCAAACTCATATCTTGAGGGAACAGCTCCGGTCGGCCCTCTCCATCTTTCGCCCGCACCGCTCTTGACGTCGAAAATGATTTCGGAGCCTGAATACAGTTTATCAGCCTTCCCCTTCCTCCCGCAATACTCGAAATTGCCGTACCTGCACCCTCGCCGCCGGCCGCAGCAAGGATCTCACACACCGCGGCGCCGCCATACTGCAGATAGAGGGTAATTGGAGATAGCAGAACCAACTCCCTCCTCCGCGTCGCGAATCTCCAGAAACCCGAACTTCGAGATGCAAAAGCGTGGCGCTAAACCCGTTTGGGGCAGCGGGCGCGACCGCCCGGCAGAACTCTCACCAGAAAGCCAACAACCATGCCAAGAGGCCTTCGACGGCTTCCCACGGGACAGTCTCCGATCTCCAACGACGATTTTCAGGCAGAATCTGTACATAAAAAGTCTCCCATTTCTCTAATAACCTTCCCGTCTTTCAACCTCTCCTCTCATTTGGAAAACCCTCATTTTCGGCACTCTTTATTCATAATGGACGTGATAGCACACCCCAGGACGTACGAGCGGGCCACCGAGACGGTCATCTACCTGCGCTCCCAACTCCCCGACGTGTTACAAAACCCAAGAGTGGCCATCGTTTGCGGCTCCGGGTTGGGTGGGCTCGCAGACACCATCGAAGATGAGCCCAAGGTCGCGCTTCCGTATGAGAACGTGCCCAACATGCCGCGGAGCACCGGTGAGTATGGAGCAAAGAGCGGGGGAATTACAGAAGATCCGCGAAGAGAAGATGTGGTTGCTGATGTCTGTGTGGCTTTCTACAGTCGTGGGTCATGCGGGAAAATTCGTGTTTGGGCTTGTGGGACCTAAGAAGCTTCCTGTCGTACTTCTTGTGGGACGAGCACAGTCAGTTTCAGATCGCTTCGAGTATGGATATGGACGTTGTGTATTGATGTTTCTAGCTTCTATGAAGGCCATTCAATGGACCTTGTTACTTTCGCGACTCGAGTTTGCAAAGTTCTCGGTGTAGAAACCATGCTTGGTACGACGAGAATCTTGCGGGTTGACTGGTGTATGTTCTAACGAATCCAGTGACCAATGCAGCGGGTGGTCTCAACCAGCAGTATGCTGTCGGAGATATCATGTGTTTGAACGATGTACGTTGCATCGCCAGACCTTGGGTCAAAACACCCTGACGCGTATGTAGCACCTCAACTTGCCCGGCTTCGTTGGGATGCACCCACTGCGGGGCCCCAACATTGAAGAGTTTGGCGTTCGCTTTCCGCCGCTGTCTGATGCCTACGATCTCGAGCTGCGGAAACTGACTCACCAGGCATGGAGGAAATTGGGGCTGCATAAACAGAAGCGACGTCTACACGAGGGCGTCTATGCCTTCCTAGCCGGGCCAACGTACGCATGCCTCTCGGCTATCGACGATTCTGAGAGCTAATCTAGTGTAGCTACGAAACCCGGGCGGAATGCCGAATGCTGCGTTCCTTTGGAGCAGACGTAGTGGGAATGTCCACGGTACCGGAAATCGTGGTAGCGAGGCATTCAGGAATGCGTGTACTGGCATTTAGTCTGGTGACAAATTGCGCCGTGTTGGAAGCCGGCCCACGGGGCGACGATGAAGCCGTCCAAGCCATGAGCAAGGATGAGTTGACCGCATTCCTGAGCAAGGGGAAGGCGAACCACGAGGAGGTCCTGGAAGCCGGTAGAGAAGCCGCAAAGGACATGCAGGCCCTTGTCAAGCAGATCCTCTGCGACTATGCTGAGCTCTAGTTCCAGGCAAACAACTGCGGGTAGAGTTGTGAGGAACAGAGGACAGGCATTGCTGCATACAAGGCTGCATCCGACAGCCAGCAGCATGGCTTGGGCGAATACGGACTGCTGCAGAACACGGAGACACCAGTGTCGGTGGGGTAGCACAATACCTGCGCATAGCTTTTTATCAGCGTTTCCCCACGCGGCCCTTCCGCTTCGCCTGTAGCGCCTTATAGAAACCCTTCTTTCCACTGCTCTTGGCTTTTTGGATTTCGAGCGACTTCTTCTGGAAGCGTCCAGTCTGCGCCTCCTGAGCCAACACCTCCTCCACAAAGGTCTTCTTGCGGTCTTTGTTGTTGATGCGAGCGTTATAGTACTCGGTGGGGCCTTCGATGATGGTACCAACTTGTGAGAATGCCGGTACATCGGACTTTGAATCCATCTTCTTGAAGTGGCGATGAGGGTCTAAGACGTTGCGCATCTTGAGAAGCTGCAGGTCTCTTCGCAACTCTGGGGTGAGGTCCGTCTTGGGGAGGTTGAACCAGTCGGCTCCAGCAGTCGCCTTCTTCTCCTATACCGAAGTCAGCATCTTGAAGACCCAAAGATGGAGCGGAAACAGTTTTATAGTGCGGAAGTCAGTGTAACTATGAACTAATAAAAGACCCTCAATGGTGCAGGAAGACACCCAAAACGGGGTCCGAGTCTGCTTCAGGAGAAAAAGATGGGAAAGTTGTCATCATTCCAGAGGAAGGAGGGAAGAAAGTCACATACCTCGAGTTTCTGCTTCTTCACCTGGATGGGGTCCTCGATCTTCTTGACTCCCTCGGCTAGCACCCGCTGCTGCTGGGGAATGAGCTTCGAGGGATCGACACGCGTAATTGATCCCTTCGTCTTGAGGGACGTCTCTGCAATGGCACCTGGGTTGAGCTTGGGAAGTCGGAAGGACGTCTCGATCCTCAGCTGCTCCTGTCTCGCACGAAGGCTCCTCTCGGCCTCGTCCAGCAGCTGCTGGATCTGCGCATCCGACAAGTCGTCATCAGTTTCATCTCCCGGCAGGTGATGCTGTGCTGGCAGTGCCATGATGACGCTGGCCCAGGATGAGGTGGTGAGGTGTACAAGTAAGGTGCAGGTGGGAGGAAATTTTGGGCCTGGAAAAGAAATGGAACGAGGATGATTGAGCACGGACCATCCATTCAGAAAGGGTATAGCGTGGGGTGTTTCGAACAGGGGCCATCCATCCATCTATCCATCCATCCATTTCATCAATCTCAACCTTGGATGTTCGCACAATCATGGTTCTCTCTCTTCGTCCTGCGTTCTCTCCGCGGTTCTCATGTATTGCTACCTTGCTCCCGCTGCAAGGAAGACGCTATGATTATGATTCTAGAAAGGCGTGTCAGTGAACAGCTCATCACTTGCTGGCTGGACAGTATGGCGGCCCGATCAGCGCCCTGCACGCTCCACCTGTTCTTCAACCGCGACCTCCGTCGTGCTGGCATCGGGAATGGGGTGTCGCAGGCATACGAAAGAAAGTAGTTAATGAGAGGCGCTGTGCTGTCCAGACTATATCAGGAGCCTCTGTGTGACGCCGTGGGGGGCGGGATTCTGCGCGGCGCGAGGTAGTTGTTGTTAGGGACTGTGAATTATTAAATGCTGTTGTGATTCCGCATCTTGCATGACATTCCACCATTCGTTCATATCAGACCGACTATTTTTGTGCTGGGGCAAAGCTACTTGGCCTCACTGTGGTGCGCTCGCCGTAGGGAGATAGCTTGCCTGAGGATCCGCCATTCCGATTGGCACATTATTGTCCGTCCAGACTCCAGTGCGCATCGTCGGTTCACTCAGAACAAGGTAAAGTAAAAGCAACCTTCAAGATCCCGTAGCAGAATCTCCTGCAGCGTTTCTAGCCATGCCTGCGTTGCCCTCTTCGCTGATGCTTCCTCCAGCCTCGCTGTCTTCGGACCTTTCCAGCTGGCAGGCACAATCGGGATTCACCGCCTTCGCCTCCACGCCAGATCTGATCTATCCTCATCCGTCCATTCCAACACCCACCTCGCGCTCCCACATCATCACCACCAATAGTTAACCCGCAACCACCTCGACACCACTCATTGGACCGCCCCAGCTCATTCGCCTGGAGCTGCCCCAGCAATCGCCACCCTTGCGCACGTCGCGCAACCTCTGAGCGACGACGTCAGTCATGGATCCAAACAGCCTCCAAGGCCAGAAGCTCCGTCAACAGCAGCCTCCTCCACCACGCCGCTACGATGGCATGGACGGCAACCCGCTTTACGATACTTCCAATGGCGGACACTACGGTATGTAGTGTGGTTCTCACTTTCCATGTCCGACCCGTCTCCCATTGACATCCTAGCTAACAGCGCGCGACAGGTGCTGCGGCCGCTGTAAGTTGCCATCCCACCCGAGAACTCGCGAAATCGCACTCCACCTCGAGCGTAGAGTCTAACCATTCTGTAGATCGCCGCCCAAGGACATGCGCCCGACCCCCAGACCTTCACGGGCCCGTGGCAGAACGTATGATATCATCTCGGGCGCATCGAGACAGACTCGCTGACAAGGTGCCAGGTGAATCAAGGATTGGCGGGACAGTATCGCGATATTCTGAACACATACTGGCAGCACCAGATCGTGCGGCTAGAGCAGGATGATCACGACTACAAGCTTCACCAGCTGCCTCTGGCACGGATCAAGAAGGTCATGAAGGCAGACCCGGAAGTCAAGATGATCTCTGCCGAAGCTCCCATTCTCTTCGCCAAGGGTTGCGACATCTTCATCACCGAACTGACGATGCGCGCATGGATTCACGCCGAGGAAAACAAGCGAAGGACCCTTCAGCGCTCCGACATTGCGAACGCCCTAGCCAAATCCGATATGTTCGACTTCCTCATCGACATTGTCCCGCGCGAGGACGCGCATCCACACAAGAGCCGGGGCGCTCAGAGCAATGCCGTACAATCGTCTGCTGCCGCTGTCACGGGCGCCATTCCCGGCGGCGTGCCCCAGCACCAGATGGGTCATCCCGACTACATGGGCGCACATCTCGGCCAGCAGGACGATTTCCGCCAACCAGGGCTCTATGGGCCCCCTGGACAGAGTGATGCCAATGTTTATGGGCAGCAGATATTTGACCCGACGGTGTACTCGGCATACGGGCAAATTCCGCAGCAGCAGGTAGGTTTCTGACCCTCAACGTTGACGCATTTTTCCCTGACACTTCACAGCCCATGTATCCCGTCGGCCAGCGAGGACCCGATCCTACGGGCGGCCCGGACCCCAACCAGTACCGACCGCATGATGCTGAAGGCGATGCTGATGCGGAAGGTGAGAGAGAAGATTATGGCCCCTAATTGAGCTCTGACTCTTCTCCCGCACAATCTCCTTTTGACCCTTCGTCTATCTGCAGCTTGATTCGTAGATGATGCCCAGCGTTGTCTGAACCTCTGGAGGAACGCCTTGACGTTAACTGAACATCAGGTCCGTTCCCAGGTTTCTGAAGCAACTCCACTTGGCGATGGCGCGGTGTGTTGATCAGTTGGAGAACTTTTCTCAATGAAGAAGAATCGGAGGAGTAGCACGGGGAATGGCGAATTCTTTATAGGCCGGTTGGCGTTCTCTTGGGTGGGAGCTACAGACGGAGGCTTTCGGACCATCGGCCTGGTGTTTACGGATGTGTATTCTCATCAATGTTGATTATCAGTGTGCTCCCACGGGTTCATGCCATGGCTCGGCCGCGGATGGAGTTCTGCCACAGCAAATGAATGGATCTAGTATCAACTACCACTACCTCTGTACTTCCCAAAGACTTCCCGGCCTCGCTGTTACGGAATAGACGGTTGTCCGGTCTCTCCCGAAGGGCCGGGCAGGTGGGTATAGTCTACGGTGCACCGAGGCTGCTCGGAGGTGGGCACGTCAGATATCTGAAAATACGAGAAGAGCAGAGTGGTTTCTGCTTTCTACTTGTAGCAAACCGCGGGGAAGCATGAGAGGGACCGGATTCTGTTCTACCAGGGGAAGGGTGAAGGGGAGGTTCTAGGGAGTTCGACATTGTCAGCCCCGTTCCCTTACAGAGTAGGTAGTGCATGTGCATCACGTACAGTAACTGTGTAAGCCACCCCGCCGGTGGTTCGAGCTCGGACCTCTCCTCGTGCTTCCCCCCCACCTCCGATCCCCGCGGTCGCGCCCAGTAATAAGCTCCTACGGCGCTACCAAAGAGGTGGCTGTCTATATCCCACGTCCAACCCGCACGGCTTTTCCCTTCTGACACATCAAGTCTTTCGCCATCTACACCATCAACACTGTGAGAACTCATTCCTCTTTACTGCTCAGCTCCCAACTCATTCAATTGCAGATACCCGTCACTTCTACTCCATCCACCACCACCTAGCTATCCAACATGGTCAAGGCAGTTGTTGCAGGCGCTTCCGGAGGCATTGGCCAGGTCGGTTGCTCCTGAGCATCAAAAAGCAAGCTCCATACTGATTCCCTTCCCAGCCCTTGTCTCTCCTCCTCAAGGCTTGCCCGCTTGTCGACGAGCTCGCCCTCTATGATGTCGTCAACACCCCCGGCGTCGCCGCCGATCTCTCTCACATCTCCACCCCCGCTGTATGCCGAATACATGACACTGGCACCGTCGAAGCAGCAGAACTGACAATGGCATTCAGACCGTGACTGGATACCTCCCCGAGAACGGCGAGGGCCTCAAGAAGGCATTCACGGGAGCTGACATTGTCGTCATTCCCGCTGGCATTCCCCGTTCGTGCCTTCTCTGAGACAAGCTTGAAAAGCAACACCACTGACTCCTTCCAGGCAAGCCCGGCATGACCCGTGACGACCTCTTCAAGATCAACGCCGGCATCGTCAAGGGTCTGATCGAGGGTATTGCCCAGCACTGCCCCAAGGCCTTCGTCCTCATCATCTCCAACCCCGTCAACTCGACGGTCCCGATTGCCGCCGAGGTGCTCAAGCGTGCTGGCGTGTTTGACCCCAAGAAGCTCTTCGGTGTCACCACCCTCGACGTAGTCCGTGCCGAGACCTTCGTTGCTGGCATCACCGGGGAGCGCACCCCCTCGAAGCTCACCATTCCCGTCATTGGCGGCCACTCTGGACAAACCATTGTCCCACTGTTCAGCCAGGCTCAGCCAGCTGTGAACATCCCTGCTGACAAGTACGATGCTCTTGTCAACCGTAAGTATACTGCATCACTGGCAGCTTCAAGCGATATCTAACAAGCTCCAGGTGTTCAGTTCGGCGGCGACGAGGTCGTCAAGGCCAAGGATGGTGCAGGCTCTGCCACCCTCTCCATGGCCTACGCCGGTTTCCGGTTTGTCATGTCCTCCTTATCTCCCAGTTCAGCAATGTCTAACAGCATACAGCTTCGCGGAGAAGGTCCTCAAGGCCGCCAGCGGCGAGAAGGGCATCGTCGAGCCCAGCTACGTCTACCTCCCCGGCGTCTCCGGCGGTGACACCATCGCAAAGGCCACCGGCAACGACTTCTTCTCCGTCCCCATTGAGCTCGGCGTACGTATCCCCTAATCCCCTCAACCGCTACATGTGCTAACGTTCTCACAGCCCTCGGGCGCCGAGAAGGCCATTGACGTCGTCAGCAAGGCCAACGAACAGGAGAAGAAGCTCCTCGAGGTCGCCTACAAGGACCTCCAGGGCAACATCCAGAAGGGCATCGACTTTGTCCACAACCCGCCTCAGAAGTAGGTCGCCATCCTTGGATTGCCCTTTGATTGACCTTGTCACTGGGATCCCCTCGCGGAAGAATGCTTATACACATGCGCAGCTAGGCTGTAAACGACGTGATGATGATACGGCATGAGTCAATGACACCAGTTACAATGCATATATTTTGAAAAGCACGGCGGAAATGATGGGTGATGGAGTTTGTGGCTCGATGACAGCCAGAAATATACTCTTGCGATTGACACCATACGACTGCAGTTGCTGTTTTTTCTAAGAGTGTGTCAGTGATGTGTGTGATGCATCTTCCATTCCAAGGTCTACCTTGTCGATGTCTACATCGGCTTGTAGATGATGTCTATAAAGCTCTCCCATGGTCCGGAACAAGATAGTAGTAACCCGCTGGATGCCAAACTCTGTATATACATGACGGCACCATTCCACCCACCCAAAAACAATAAAATACACCGCCCAAATGCCGCTGAAAACCAAAACCCACCATGCTCATCCCTTCCTATTTGATCCCCCCCGCGCATCCTACTATGCCTTTGCGCCCACAGTCCGGATTTGAAACGTCGCCCCGGGCAGCCCCGTGCACTCTGCCGTGACGCTCGCCTGGATGCCCAAGCTCGCCAGGCACCCGCGTATCAGGCCGGCGGGGAAATAGAGGAAGGGCTGCACCTGCGCGAGGCCCTGGGGTCCGACGAAGCCTGAAGGGACTGGGACGACTGCGCCACCGGCGCCGGCGCCGAGGCCGAGGGCTCCTAGACCGGTTGTGGATGAGGCTGGGTCTGGTGTTGCTGTTGTCGTTGATGTTGCTGCATTCGGCGCCGGGAGTTGTGCCTGAGCGGCAGCGGAAGCAGAAGCAGCAACAGGAGGCGGTCTCCGCGTATCGAAGCTCATGCGACTGAGGGGCTTGAACGAGTGGTCGGTGAGGACGTAGATGCCGCGGTGGTTCGTCTTGAGGTTGTCGATTTGTTTGCGGAATAAGAGGGTCCAGAGGTCCTTGCAGAGGAACTTGATCGTGTCGAGTGGGGTTGTGGGGCGCGGTGTGTTGCGGGATACGCTGTAGTTAAAAAAAAGTTATTGTCAGTAGTGGGTTTCTTTGGAGTGTGTTTATGAGAGGAGAGGAGAGGAGAATGGAAAGCATGGAGTGACGTGACGTACCGCTCGACGATGCCCAAGCCGACTCTGTACCCCAGGCTCTCGAGGCGGTGGAATACGGCTTCCCGCGCTTCTTCCTCGTCCATCACCGTCGTCGTCGCGGGGCCTGCGGTTCTTTCCCCGGCGCCGGATAGACTACTTGCTCCTCCTCCTCCACCACCTCCTGCTCTTGCGCCTCTCCCTCCTCCTCCATCAACATCATCCTCCCTGCCCTTCGATATCGCGGCCGCGGACGTCGACGAGCTCCCATTGTTCATTAGCCACGCCTCTTCCCGCGCTGCGAGGTCGAATGCTATTCTATACGCCATGGGCACGAGTTCTATGAGGAGGAAGTCGAGGGCCGAGAGGGAGACGAGGGTGGATGTGGGGTCTGGGTGAGGGTCGGTCGAGGTGGAGGCAGATGACGGGGGTTGGTGGTGGTGGTAGGTTGATGGGGGTTGCGCCATGTTGATGGTGGTGGAGGGAGTTTATGTGGTTTTGGTGGTTTGGTCGAGGTTTGCTGGTGAAAGCTTTGGGGACTCGGGGGTGCGAATTGCTTGTGTGAGGGAGCGAGGGAGGGTCGGTCGGTTGCGCTTTCGGAGTCGGTTTCGGGGAGGGGATGTTTTATGCGAGTCGGGTTTTTCAGGGAGACATTGTTGTAATCGCTGTCCTTGGTTGGTGGTATTTTCGGCGTTCGAGAGGTAAGAGACGTGGACAGAGGAATTATGTGTGTGGTGTTGGGATGAGGGAGCTACTGTATGGATGTATGGATGAGGTCTGTGAAGATGGCTTGGCAAGATGGATTTTCCAATTGGAAAACTTGATATAAATCCATTGCAAATAGAGCCCGGCCTTGGAGAGCACCAACCAGCATTGATGCAGATTGTGAAGTAGATGCGCGCACATCATCCAACATTACGATTACCTCCTCTCACTCATTCCCCCCACCCAACTCCTAAACCTCTCCCCAGGTCCCCTTCCAACCCTCCGCTTCCGCCCCACCTTCTCCCTCTCCCTCCCCAACCGTCTACAGCTCACATCCGCCTTGACCAGAATGAAACTCTGCTCGAAGATATGCCCGTTCGCATTCCCGCATCTCTCCAGCGCCGGTGCCAGCGAGAGCTCCACCCTCCTTCCCTTTGGCCCCGGTCCCTCATCAACCTCCTCCACATCCACGTCCTCCATCTCCGAATCGTAAAAGCCGTACCCATAGAACTGCCCCTCCCTCCCGCCCGTAAACGTAACGAACCTGTAATCCGCGCGCTGACTCTTCATCTTGAGATCCAGCGCCACCGCCGCAGAGACAATCGTCCGCAACTGCTCCTTGCCCAAACTCAGGCTGCGCGTCGCCCAGGGCCGCAGCCGCCGCCGCAGCCTCGAGCAGAAGCGCGATATGCGTTTGAGGACGGGCGTGGCGTCAAAGGTGGGGCGCCACTTGCCGTCGACTTGGGGCACGAGGAGGTTGACGGTCAGGGCGCGCCATTGGTGGTATTCTGCAGCTTGGTCCTCGTTTTTCACGGCTGTATATGCTTAGATGAAAGTATAGTCAGGGGAATGGAGTAGCGGCGCACCTTTTCGGAGGGTGTCGTTGAGAGGGCGCAGATGCTTGTCACCCAGTTTCCCAGCCCAGACGTACCCGCAGCCTTTGTGGATGGTGCTGAAGACGCGTTGTTGCAGTTTACTCCACAAGTAGGCTTGCATCAACAGCGGTCTGTCTTGGTGATGTTTGAGGTAGGTGCTGTAGTTGCTCGTCAACCCTGCAAACAGCTCCCTCGCAGAATGCAGATGCGGCCGCTTGCTCCGCTTCGACAGCTGTCCGCCAAAGTATTCCTCGCTCCACACACGAATCTCGTGCCGTAAAGCCAGAAGCCCCTCGATCAAGGCCTTCTCCTCGGACTTGTACACCACCGAAGCTCTCGCAGGTATACCGTGCGGCCCCATGCTCTTCCTCTGCAGCTCCTTTCTCAGCGCATCCCGCTCCCTCGTCACCTGGTAGAACCGCTGCACGAGATCCTCATGGCTGCTTCCCAGCCTCGACGGCGATTTGGGCGGTATCACGGGCGACGACACACCCCGACCGTTCTGCGCGGAGGGCGACTCGGACCCGGAAGACGATTGCGTCCACGATGCCCTGCTATCCGCTACGCCCAACCTGCTCGTATCGATCTCCCGCCTCGGCGGCACGTACTGGGGTTTCCTCCTCCGGCTCTTGGGGAGCAGTTCCTCCTCGTCCGACCATTCGACGTTTTCGGCGTCGACGAAGGGATTGGTGGGCGTGTGCTGGGAGGAGGACGAAGGCATGGAGTCGGCGGCGACGAGTTCGGCGGAGGGGCACGAGAGCTTCAGCGCGTTGGCGGTGGAGTCGCGCACGTCTGGGAATGGCGGTTAGTGCCGGTCCACATTTGTTTATCTATCTGGGTGGCTGGTCGTGGTGGTGGTACATACCGGGAGCGTTTGCTATCATGTCCTTCACGACATGTTTGTTTGATTTTGGTTCAGAATGAGCAACCACCAGTATCTACTCCATCGACAAGCTAGACAATTAGATGGGAGCAGGCTGTGGCTCTGTCTGTGAACGCCCGGGATGCCCAGCGTCCGTCATCCTGTCCCTCCGCAAGAGATGCGCATGCGTGGCGTGCATTTGGGGGCGCTTGGGCGGGCCATTCAGGCGGCGGGGTGGTGGGCTGGGTGAGAGGAGAGTGAGGTGTTGGTGAACGTCATTGGCGGATGCTGTTGGGTTGGAGAATATCCGGCAGCAAGGGGGCCGACCAGCTTATTAGTCTTAAACGCAATAATATTTTGGTTTCTTATGTTTTTCCAATGAAATGTATGTCCTTCTTTAATCTTGTCTAAACTCATGACGCAAGACGAAGCCGTGTCGGCACTGTTAGCCCACGTCTTCTCGGGTGCAATTGGCTTGGTCGGCAGCGTTAGAGGACATTGATGGACCAACTATGCCCATTGCTCGATACATGATCAAAACCAACAGGCGATCAAGAGAAATATCATCTCCTGAACCTCTCGTGCTCTCGGAATCGGAACTTGAGGAAGCCATTCTTGCGGCAACTGGCCAAAGTGTAGCCTCGTCAACAAGATTCACTGACGGCGAGCTGAGCATCTCATATAAAGTTACTGTCCGAGAGAGTCCGGATATCGCTTATGTAGTCCAGCTACGCCATCATGGCTGTGTTGCGTCTATGGATGCGCTTATGATTTTGGTTTCAAGAACGATCGACCCTCACACCTTACCTGTGCACCCCGTGTACCCAATACCAGGAGAGATGGAACGGCAAAAGGCTACAGGTATCGGTAGGGAGATAAATCGGCTGATACCAGGCGTTATGGCATCCACTGTCTATCCACGCTTATCACACGAAGAAAGGCTCATCTTTGTACGAAAAATGGCCCTTGCATTTCAAGTTTGCTGACGGATTCAACTCCCAGAGCCTCACCTAATCGGTGAGCTCATCGCTACTGAAAGTGATGGTCAAGTTGTCCTTAAGATTGGGCCTGATCGCCATCATGGTCTCGGTGGCCCATTTTCATCCGTACGCGACTATCTACGAGCGTACATCAGGTCCTCACTCGTCAACCTCGAAAGCAGCAAGGCATCGAAGAATACAAGGAGCGGTTTCTAGACCGTATCCGGTATTTCGTCGAACACCACATGCTAAGACTCCGCTACTGTGGAGGACAACCCCATCGTCGCTATGCACGCCGACATGGGCCTCCACAACATTATTGTGTCTAGCCACGCACGCACCGATATACAAGCGGTTATTGACTGGGAATTCGCAGCGAGTGCACCCTATGCCTCTCTCCACCGCATTATCGAGATGCTTTTCCGCAGGCCGGCTCCCAATGGGTTTGGGCTGGAGTACGATCGCGCTGAAAAGCTCCGCTTTGCGTTCTGGAGGGCTATTCCAGAGTGGAAGCAGTGGAAACGGAGCAATTCGATACAAGCTTTCCTAGAGTGGTTTCGGTTCGGCCTGTTCTTGAAACCTGATTGGAGGCCGAACGACTTGCCCAGGGATGAGAAAGAGGAGTTTTGGAGGGAAAACGTTCGGGTTGTCGAGAGCCTTCTTAACAAGTATTCATAGCTTAAGAAATATAGAAATATAATACCTAGATCTCTCAATTTTTATTCCAAACATCTATAATCTGTGTATACTTAAGCAGTCAAGTAGGATTGCTAGAACTTGGAGGACATGGAAGAGCTACGTTTGTAGATTTGCCTGGTTTTAGACTAACCTTAAGTTTAGCAGGTTCTACTTTTAACGGACTAGCCTACCCACTTAATGCCTACAACATGGCGAAGAAGGGAGCTGCGCTTGAACATTATTGGCAGGTGCTGCTAGCATGGAGAATATCCGCCAGCAATATGTATCTATCAGGCTGGGGAAGTTCACCCAGTTTTGCAATTGCAGATAGATGTCTTCCCCTTTCGGGATCGGTTTTTTGGCGGTGGTTTGACAGTTGTTTGACGAGACGATGGATACAATTTGAATTAGCAAGGCTAAGTCTTCATTGCCCCGGTGGTCATCCGTTTCCCGTATATTTTTAGTGAAATGTTCACTCTTCCTAAAGGTCTGTACTCCGTACCCATCCTTCACTCACATTTCCTTTCCTGCCACCTTCCAGCTCGACCAAGTACATCTATGTGCGTTATACTTCCCGGTCACGCTATTTTCCACATTTGGTACTCCGTTTGAGACGTTCCATGTCCAGGGCGCCGGATTATATCGACTGAAAGGCCAAGCGAAGCGAGCCCACCTGTTAATTAATCGCTCGCCGATCGGAAGAATTATTTGGATCCTCGCTACAACTGTCCCTGGCTATTACCGGATTGTCTCAGGAGCGAGGTCTCCGTGGAGCAAACCATTTCCGCAAGAAGCATCTTCGCTTTAGGACGTAGTGTACTCTGACTGGTTGGGCATGAAGGCTAGCAACTATAGTGTATACGACGGATATGAACAGATAGCTATATATCCTGCTTGTGGCAGGAGGGAAACATGGCGCTACAATCAAACCCCCTCTCAACGGCACGTTGCCTGCCTGTGAGCGCTTGACCCTGCAGCTAGTCCATTTGCCTTTCCAGGCCCTTTCCTCCGTCTGTCTACCGTTGTGAGAACTGTAGGATTCGAGTCGACCAATCCAGTAGATGGGCATAGAACGCTACACTATCTCTTCAACAATTGAACCCCTTTTCCTTCTCATCAGCAAGAAATCAGAATGAGTATCTCGCACCGATTCCGTCCTATCGCTGTCGCCGCCGCACTCCTCGCCGGCACCAACCTCGCCCAAGCCGCAGACTACCTCATCACCTTCGGCGACTCCTACTCCCAGACTGGCTTCAACGTCAGCGCCGCCAAACCCTCCGCCGCTAACCCCATAGGGAATCCTCCCTACCCAGGATGGACCACTTCCGGCGGCCCCAACTGGATCGGCTACCTCCTAGAAGACTACTCCGCCTCGACTCTCCTCTCCTACAACTTCGCCTACGGGGGCGCCACCGTGAATGCCTCGCTCGTGAAGCCATATCAGCCTACGGTGAAGAGCTTGATTGATCAGGTGAAGCAGTTCAGTGATAGCATTGCCCCGAAGCCGAGTTATGCGCCCTGGAACGCCGAAAACTCGCTCTTCGCGATTTGGATGGGCGTCAACGATGTAGGGAACTCGTTTTGGCTGGAGAACGTGACAGAGCTCCATGGGAAAATCATGCAGGATTATTTTGAGGAGGTCGAGGTGTTGTATCAGGCGGGGGCGAGGAATTTTGCCTTCCTGAATGTGCCTCGTAAGTGGATCTATGTCGTGGCTCGATGTATATGAGATACTGATGAACGGGGAAGCGATTAACAAGTCCCCGATGATGCTCGCTCAACCTGAGGAATCGAGGGAGCTGGAGGCCACTGTGATTGCAAAGTTCAATCAGCTCCTTGTCGATCATGCGAATGCGTTCGCCTCCTCGCACCAAGGAGTCAAGATAGTGGTCGTCGATACGCAGGCGCCGTTCGATGCAGCAATTGCCGATCCGGCGAAGTATGGCAGTAAGGATGCCACCTGCTTCAACTCGGATGGGAAGACTTGCTTGTGGTTCAACGATTACCATCCTGGGACAGTAAGTTCTATCATTTTGCCTTTGCGGAGTAGTATTGGAAAGTGCTGATTTTTGAAGGCCATTCATGGTCTTGTCGCGGAGGCGGTGGCGAGGACTTGGAATGGGTCAATTTTTAGGGAAATCAATTGACGGTGGTCAGAATGATGGAATGTGGTGTCCTGAGGCTAGACTTTTACGACTCTGACCTGTGAGGACAATTACTGAGGTTCGAACATCACTTAGAGAAGGATTAACTCTCCATAGGATTGGACAATGCATCTGATTATGGGTCTTTACACTGCTTTTATGCTCAAGCTCTTGAAAAGTTCTTCTCATCCATTCAATGTTGCGCCAGTCAAGTCCTGGTAGCTATGAGGGAGTAGCAACCCTGAGAATCGGTCAGTCGCCACACACGAGTGCATTCGAGTACCCCCCTTCCTCCCATCTTGCTTGTCTATGTCAATCCCAACTTCTACACAAACGTACACGTGGATGGGCGGTGGGGACGCAATCATCGCGTGTCATGTCGAGCTATATCTAGCTGAACTCCACGAGGAGGACGGGTTGATGTTGAGAGTCGGACCTTCCAGACGCTAACCCGATTCGTCATGCTGACAAAGACCAACTTCAGTTGCTCTCTGATAAACCTCTTCTCGACAACATTTCCCAAAAAATTCCAACCCGGAGACTTATGGACGGCCAAATACATATCCAACTGTGTGCAACATGGAAACGGGCAATACTTCGAATGCGGCATCGCAATCGCCCAGCTCGAGCACTCCGGGAAAGCCACACCCTCCTGGGGGGCGACAACGAGCCATCTTCTCATGTCTGACTTGCCGGCGGAGAAAAGTGAAATGCGACCACGCCCATCCAGTCTGTGGGGCTTGCGCTCGTGGAAATCACACCTGCACGTATGCTTCGGATCCAGGAACCGTTCCGGCAAACCCCGGACGGGTCGCTAAGCCCGTCATCTCCACTAATGGGAAGGGTGCAAGAGCTTCAGACGTCCAGGCCAGGTTGGACCGACTGGAGGCATTGCTGCACCAGGCCGTCACGGGAAATGTTCTGGCGAAGAAGCAGCAGCAGCAGCAGCAACAACAACAAAGCGTTGGGTCCGTTGAACATGATTCCGAGCACACCTTCTCCCCTTCGTCGAATAGTCAGAGCTCACATGGCGCTGGCATCTCGTCAGATACTCATAATGGGACCCTGTTGCTCGATGAGGGCAAATCACAGTTTGTATCGTCATTACACTATGCCCTTCTGGCTGACGAGGTAACCTACTTCTCGCGCCTCTTCTCCTCCTTTGCTCCTTGCTCAGATTCTGCTACCCTTAAATTCCTTTATAATCGCCTTCCCTCAAGCCCAACCATTCAACTATACCTTCCAAGCCACTTCTCTCCCTTGACTCCACTCGAATTCTGTCTGATCGCTGAGGGAAAACTAGATACAAGACATCAAGGCCTTGCTAGGCGAAAAGAACCCAGATGAGGACCGAAACGGACCCACTCGCAACAATCTGGTGCACTTACTCTCCCTCGGACGCTCCAAGGTTGGTGTCGATCTGCAACAGCTACTACCCCAGGCTCAACATCACCGTGACGAACTCCTTCAAATTTACTTTGCCAACGTGGATCCCATAACCAGGATCACCCATACTCCGTCATTGGTCCGCAGATTTCCGCTTTACGTACAGGAGACTCGACCTATTGCTTTCGCCATCTTCTTCTCTGCAGTGAATTCTCTGCCTCCTGCGGTGTGCGAGGAGAAGTTCTCCGAGAGCAAAGAAGATCTCCTCACACGCTACGAGTTGGGAATTGAAATAAGTTTGGCACGTGAAAACTACCTTACCACTTCAAGTCTAGAGGTCCTCCAAGGTTTGATATTGTGGCTCACATGTCTGACGAAGGAGGAGGATATGGGTAAGCAATACTACTCTGGTTCCAAATAGCCTCTAACCATTGATAGGAAAGGCGTGGGCTCTGATGGGTGTTGCGATTCGGATTGCTTTGAATCAAGGCCTCCATCGCGATCCGTCTCTTTTCCAATCGGGCTCGATGGATGCTGTCACCACGGAGCTACGACGGCGCCTCTGGTGCCAAATCTGCCATCTGGAGTACCGTTCAGCCGAGTTCAAAGGCCAAGAACCGTCGATCCGCGACGACGACTTCACCACAATGTTACCGCGGAACGTGGAAGATGACGAGCTCGTAGAAGGGGCTCCTGCCGACTCGGCTCCCTATGATGAAGAGAGATTCACGAATATGACGACCCAGCTTGTCCGCTTCTACGGAATACGAGCTTTACGACGAATCATACAGAGCACCTACAGATTAGAGCGGCGGATACTAGAGAGCGGCCTTCGTCAAACCTCATGCCCAGACCTCGTGCAAGAGCTGCAAAACATCTACCAAGGAATCAAGATCATGGTGGAGGAGTTGCATCGGAACAACGAGCAAAAGTTCCTGCGGTTCTGCAATCCCCAGATTCCTCTCCATAGACTCTGCATTGGACTCGCTAACCTGCTTGAATGGCGGTGTTACCTACTGTTTTGGTTGAGGATGCCCCGCGCTTATCGGGACATTGTGTTTTCGAACGATGTCCGCAGGTCGTAAGTCGTATCCCGCTCCTGCATCATCCCCTATTCTGTCAACATCCTAATCTCCTGCAGGATATTCGAAAACAGCGTTAGTGTTGTTGAAACGCTGAACGGCGCAAGTGTCGACCCTAGCGTTGCGCGTTTCCACTGGCAAATCGGTGGTCATGCGGCCTTCGTAAGTGGAGTGACATCTCCCAACGCAGACTAGATACTTACTCTCATCGTAGCAAGCCATCATGCACGTAGTCTCCGAGCTCCAGAATCCAACATTTGAGCCTCCGGACCGCCAGCGCGCCCTCCGAGCTCTGCGCCTTTCGCGGATCTTGAAAGAAGACAACACCTCTAAAGCCTGGGGCGTTGTCAAGAGCATGATTGACAAAGTTGTAGGGGAACAACTTGTCTCTCAGCCTACTCTCGCGTCCGTCCAGACGTCTGCGGCCCCAGTAACGTACAGTAGTGCTCCCGCGCCAGCCGTGCATCAACCCACAGTCCAGACTCAATACTCCGACTACCCTAATTCCACTTCGATGTATCCCTCATTCCAACAAGCCTCCAACGCATATGATGTACAACAAACACCAGCAGTATCCCAACCAGACGCCTTCCAGCCTATGGGTATGCAGTTCAATTGGGACGATATCAATCTCGGCAACATACTTGCAGACATCCCGCAACAAAACCAAGAAGCGCCTGCTTTCGACTGGGTAAGAATGTGAGATTATAGATTTCTAGTTCATTGCTGACTCCAACAGGGCTTCTGGGGCGATCCTGTGAGTTTCAATGATCAGATGGGTATCGCTCTTCCTGCGGACACGGATCTTTATGCACCGTTTGATACCTGAGCTCGCTGGATATCGACTCTTTGAATGTATGAGTTTCCAAAGCAAGCGGGTAGCTTGTTATTTCTTGTGGGAGTCCGTCTTTTCTGACGAGTTCGGACTCATAAGTCTATGCCATCGGGTCGTAGTGTCGCCAGACGTTCGCTTGCAGCGTTGATTGAGGCTATGATCCTCGCGTTAACGGCGCGACACCAGCGACGATTCTCCACTCCACCCTCTCAGTGGAAGCCGCTATGCTCACGCCGATTTGGACGCGTTCTGACTTTTCGACGTCTTAATCCACCACAGTGGCTGCTTCTTAGCTCGGGTCTACACAGGTTCCGCGCATCCATGAAGCCTTGATGCCTTCATGAGCGCTTATACGAATGGCCGGAGGCACTGGATGGCTCTCAGAATGGAAAGTCGGGAAGATTAAGAGAAAGCTGAAGATGCACGTATACGGGCCTGAATCTGGACTCTCTTAAGAGGTGGAGCTCCTTGAGGGCAGCTTATTCCGGAGGTATAGGGACAGACCATTTTCCTGACCATACACTTTCAGCTTTCGGCGTCGTGAGACCGACTCATACCCGGCAGGCAAATCTTGCTTACGCGAATGCACCAGGTGGTGGGGATAATTGAAAAAGGGAAAATGCCTTCATTGGTGATGCGAAATGGGACCTAGACAACCTCGCACTTTATACCTGTAAACAGGAAACGAGTATGCCTGTATGACTACAATGGTGAGAACTACAAGTAAGATGGTGAGATTGCCGTCACCCCTTGTAGTTTAGGGTGCCTTGCATGCGTGACCATTGGCAATCCACATGGACAACAAATGCTTTTATAGTGCTTACCTCCACCGCCTCAAACCTCCAACTGCAGATACAGGCACGGCAATCATACATCATTGGTCTACTCTTTATCCCATCTGCGCAATTCGTCCGTATGCGCGCTTGTGGTTGGTGTCATCGCATCAATCGCGTTAGTCGCATTTCTCAAACAATGGTTTCAGCAAGCCACTACGTACGTAGGCTGTAGCAGCTGAACTAGCAGCCCCATTTTTCCTTTCCAGAGCACCATGGGCATAGCCGAGGCAGCGTGCACGTTGTTGCATCGGATAGGTCGAGTCTGCAGCGGAGTGAGATGGATGTATACAAGGGTGGTGTTGAGGATATGGATATAAGAAGGGACGCCTTGTTGGAGGATTCTCTGCTGTCTTACTATCGCGGTATTACTCCTACTTCTGCTGCTGCTGCTCTAGCTCGTCAATTTTCCTATCGCTTACTAGAGAGGGAGAGAGATTTTTCGCGTCTCTTCCAGTTTGCCCGTTGGTTCTCTCCAGTCTAGTTCACGAACGAATTGCTATAAACGCGTCTAGCAAGCACTTTTTTCTTCTTGTCGGCGGGAAGATTCGAAAATATACAGCCTGTAATAGAAGGACTGGTCTGAAGGAATTTGAAGAAATGGCTGCCACCTTTGAGCGGGAAATCGAGCAAGCCATCAGGGACGAAATCATCCCTGGGTGTGTTCTGCATGCTACAAATCGCGATGGTATATACAACTCTCCCTCTCTCTCCCCGCTCAACCCCTTCCCATACAAAACGTAAAAAGGAAACGTTCGAACTCACATACACAACCACTAACACCACCAGGCTCCTTCACCTACGCCAAAGCCCTCGGCACCCTCTCCATGCGCCAACCGCGCCCTCCCCTGCAGCTCTCCACGACAATGTGGATCGCCTCATGCACCAAACTCATGACCTCCATCTGCGCCATGCAACTCGTCGAACGCGGCCAGCTCCGCCTCGACGACCCCGTCTACCCCCACATCCCCGAACTCCAGTCCCGCCCCGTACTCACGGCCCTCAACGACGACGGCACCGTAGCGCAGGAACCGCATAAGACGCCCATCACGCTGCGGCACCTACTCACGCACACGTCGGGAATGGCGTACGATGGCATGCACCCGCTGCTCGTCGCGTGGGCGAAACACCACGCTACAGGGGACGAAGAGGCGAGCAAGCCCGGCACGATTCTGGAGCGCTTCAACAAGCCGCTTGTGTTTGAGCCGGGCACGTCGTGGATGTATGGTCCCAGCCTCGATTACGTGGGCGTCCTCATCGAGCGCGTGAGCGGGAAGTCGCTGGAGGACTTCATGCGGGAGAATCTGTGGGAGCCGTTGGGAATAAGGGATATGTCGTTTCATCTGCACCGGCGACCGGATTTGAAGGCTCGCATGGCGGAGATGGCGAGGAGGGATGAGGAGACGGGGAAGGTGGTTGCGATTGAGGAGGACGAGCGGGTGAAGCAGTTGCCGTATTTGCTGGAGGATGGGTCCGAGGTAAGGGATTGTATGGGCGGGCAGGGCGTGTTTGCTAGTGCCGAGGAGTATATCAAGGTGTTGCGGGCTTTGCTCAGCGCGGACCAGGACGGCGATAGGAGGGTTTTTAGGAACAAGGAGACGGTGGAGGAGTTCTTTACGCCGAATTTAGGTCAGGGAGCGAGGGAGATGCTGAATGCGGTTTTGCAGAACGATGTCATGAATAATGCCATGGGCGGGGTGCCTAGGGAGGTGGTGAAGGATTGGGGGTTGGGCGGGTTGCTGGCCATGGGGGATTTGCCGGATGGGAAGAGGGAGGGGACCATGGTTTGGGGAGGTTTGCCGAATTTGATTTGGGTATGCGCCGTCTCTCTTTATTTTTTTTTTTTTTTTTCTCTTTTTTTTTTCTTCCTTTTTCCTTTCTGTATTCGCTCTTCTTTGCTCTATGCAGCTGACCCTTCGGCACAGTTCTGCGACCGCAAAGCCGGCCTCACAGGCCTCTACGCTGGTCAAGTCCTCCCAACTGGAGATGCCCAGATCGCGAACCTGATGCGCAAGTTCGAGGCGGGCGTGTATAAGATGTACAAGAGTAGATCTGTGAGTCACCATCTCTGATTGCTGATCGCCGCTTTGTCCTTTCCAGTCGAGTGCGCTGCCGTATGGAAGGTACACGTGCTGATACCCGTTCAGGGCTGAAGGATGCGTATATCAAGCTCCTGAGACACGGTTCGCAGCTGTGAAGCTTGCTCATGGGATGCGAAGAGGGCGGAGACGTCGTGTTGTTGTGGAGATGGTTTGGGATCGCAGGATCTGGAAGTATGCTTTAGACAATTGACCTCGGAATTTGAGGTATTGCAACACCTTTCTTGCACGCTTTCTGTCGTCTCCATGGAGAACACACAGCTTACCCTGAAACAAAATCCTTTGTCAAGAGATCCGGTGAGAGCCTAAAGCAAAAAGGTTGCTAGGCCACTCTCATGTCTGTGACTCTAATCATCTAATGAAAATACCCCAACGACTACAAGATAGACGATACATTATACAATTCTTAGTGAAGCGACAGAGAAAACGGATTGATGATGGAAGAGAAGAGGAAACCAGACAGGGTTAAAAAGAGTTTAAGGCTTCGATAGGCAGGTGGAAATAGTACTGATCATGCATGAGACGCAAAGTCCACAGGAAACAGCAAGACGGTTGAGTTTGCAGGAGGTGATCGTGACAATCCAAGTGTCACATGCCAAGGGATTATCATAAGCTTAGGAGCACCGAATGCGAAGCCTCGTGTCTAGTGGATAATACATACAGCTAATCTGGTATCAGCGCCCAATGTTATACAAAACGTGTACAGAGAAACGCGGCCTTTATCTCAGTCTTTGAGTTTGCCATAAAAAGGGATGCCAATGGACTGGAGCAACAGCAGCGCATCCCTATCGTTGGTTGCCGAGGTCTGGACAGTGATATGGCAACCGGGGATCATTTTAGGGGGGTATCTAGGGCCTTGTTAGCAGTGGTCAGCTTGGTGGCAGGTGGTGAACCTACGAATCGTAGTTGACCTCAATCTCGGGGAACAGGGCAACCTGATCCGGCGTCAATCCAAAGGAGATGTTGCCGCTGCCGTCACCGGAAGTCCCAGAAACTCCCTTCCACTCCTTGATTTTGGGCAGGACGACATCGACCAGCTTTGAGAGGAAGTGGAAGGTATCCTCCCTTTCAACATCGGCAGTGACAGACACGTACTTGTCCTTCCGCAGACCCCAGCTGACGACGTTGGACCTCGATTTGTGTGTCTGCGCGCGGACGTTCGTCATGGCTTGGACGACCATGCCTGCGACGTGCAGGTGAGCACTGTTCTCCTGCGCCTCGGGCACCATTGTGTGCACGACGACCTTTGTGATCTCGGGTACGTTGCGCCAGGTCCGAGGCGGGGTGAGCAGTCGCAGAGAGCTGCTACCACGAGGACCGCGCAACGGACGCCCCTTGAAGTAAGGTGAATCGCCCGTCCATTCTCGTAACCGCTGAGTGACCTTGGGGTGTTTGAAGCCGTACGGATAGTGCTGGTAGGTGAGGGTAAGCAGATCGGGCGCGATGGTGGTCTGGTAAGTCTGCTCGAGTCGGGGAAGGCTGAATGGTCCAGGTTGGAATAGACGAGATGCTGGGTCGGATACTGGCGGCGGCTGATGAGGATGTAGGGGCCCGCGGTAATACTTGGGTGGTCGGAATTGATATCTTGTCACCGTTAGCTGATGCAGGATTCGGAAGGGTTCCACTCAGACATGCCTGCTTGGGGGAAGAGGTTTCTTTCTCAATCTCCGTGCTCGGCTCCGCGCGATGGGGTCGAAGTTCTGTGCTGCTTCTACCGGTGGTGGAGGAACTTCCAGAGAGGATGCGGTCTCGAGCTCGACAGCCTCCAAAGACGCATTGCGGCAGAAAGACGGACACACCGCATGAACGGCAGGCCGCGCGTTTCGACCGAAGAGCGACGCTGTCCGTAACGACAGATCGCGTAGAGCCATTGGGGACTGAATGATGGGTGTGGCCTGCGATGGACCTGGGAGAACGTGAACGCCGATAGATGGTGGTGAAACTGAGAACAATTTGGGACGGGAACCAGACGCCAAGACGCTAGGAGGTTGCAGGGGTAACCCCACCCCTCCCCCAGGTCATTCACTATCACCACCTCCTCCGCGGCCCTCTATCAAAGCAAACACTGTGCGGCAAAGTACCTAGACTAGCGAATACGTCCTTACCTGCGTCCCATGTTCACGTCATCCTCCACACTCGTGCCGCAGCCGTTCCCCTCGCCTGCCCGTTCTCATGCCCGCCTAAAGCGCACCCCGCCTTGCGCTGCCTCAACGACATTCACTGCTCGTGCTCGATTCAGGCCACGATACTGGTACTATGAACGGAGGACTCTCTCGGTTCCTGAGCCGTCGCGACAGGTACCGTCAGAAGCGCTCGTCCAAAACCAACAAAGTATGCCCGTCTCAGTTGTCTACTCCTTCCCAGTCTCAGCAGCAAGAACCCCTCCCCCAGAGAGGTCGACGTGCAAATAGCCTTCACCTCTTGTACAAGCGGCTGCCCTCGATCTTGTCCTCCCGCAACGGAGGCGGCTCGACAGGCTCACGTCGCCAATCTTGGCCCCAGTTCCCTCTGTTTCATGCTGAACGCCTACCAAATCCGACTTCTAACGACATGGCCCTTCAGCCCAGCGCAGGTGATTACTACGATATATTCTTCAAGGAGCTCCCCAAATCCATTGACAAGGACGACGACAAGAAGGTTCGTGCTTAGCGTCCCCGTCTGCACTCTCCCAGCGGGTAGCTGATGCCGTAAAGATCAAGACGCTCGTCCAACGCCTTCGCGCAGCCGGCATCACGTCGCTTCGGGAGCCTCAGGCTTACTACGCCTTATCCTTACATCCAAATGATATTGAGGAAGCATACGATGCGCTACTGCTGGCGAACGATGCTTTCGAAGGGGTCATCACAGAGTACGACCCCAACGTCACCATGCTTGGCGCAGTGAACAGGTGCTCTGTCACATGCTATCTGGACGCCCTGCTGTTCGCCATGTTCGCGAGAATGGATAGCTTCGAGGCCATGCTTTTTGATAACTTTAGCGACGAGCCCCGGAAGAAGCTCGCAGCCATTCTCCGGCTGTGGGTCAATCTTCTGAGGAGTGGCAGGCTCATCGATGTCGAGTTAGTAAGTGGAACCGTTCCCCCAATATAGCGTGCACTTATCGGTGTCCCCAGACGAAGCACCTGCAAGAAGCACTCGCTAAGTGCGGCTGGGAAGAGGCTGCTGAAGTCCGTCAACAAGATGCTTCTGAAGCCTTCACCTTCATCACCGGAGTGCTCGACTTGCCCCTCTTGACCCTCAAGATGGACATCTACCACACTGGGAGGGAAGACAAGGAGGATGATCATAAGTTTGTCAACGAGCGGTTATTGGAAGTCGCCATTCCCGAACAAGAAGATGACAAGATGATCACACTGGAACAATGTCTCGAGGCCTACTTCAACAATCGCATCGAAGTCAAGCGCTACCTGGAACGGCAAAACACAGTCGGCAGCCCCGGCTCTCTCGACAGATACCCTGATAAAGGCTCCGTCCTCCACATAGAAACCATCGAACTCTCCAGCCCCAGCTCCCCCGTTGTCTCCACACCTGTCTCGCTCCATCCCACAAGCGCAGCATCAGCCCCCTCCCCAGCCCGCCCGTTCCTGAGCCGCCGTCGCGCAGATAGTATCTTCACCCAGCGGTACCGCACCGACACGGTCCGGACCACCAGTGACCGGGAAGCCTTTGACGAGAAGCAACATCTACATGACATGTGGGACGCCGGCTCTGGCGGCCGCCCCCGCGCCGCATCCCTTAGGAAGGAAGTCCTCATGCCGGCATGGCAGTTCTTCTCCCTGATTCCCTGGTACACCGACAAGGTCCCGCAGTCGGACGCACAGGTTGCCGCACATTTCTCCTCCCAGAGGCCTGTTCTGGGTATCTGTCTGAAACGCTATTTGATGCTTCCGGACGGGCAACCGAGACGTCTAGGCACCTACATTGACATTCCGCTGGAGATTGGTCTCCCGCACTTCGTCTCCGATGACCGCATGGACGATTCCGGACCCCTTTTCGGGAATTTCAAACTCGTACTGCAGAGCGCTCTATGCCATCGAGGTGATCGCGTGGATAGCGGCCACTATGTCAGTCTTGTGAGGGCGAATAGGGCGCCTCACTCGCATGGCACGAGGCCGCGGAGTTCGGCGTGCGGAGAACACCAAGAGCAACGGCAACAGCAACAGCAGCAATCCGAGGAGGTGGAGAATCCGGATCAGTGGCTCCTTTTTGACGACTTGGCGCCCACACGTGTGAGGCCGGTGGATATAGCGAAAGCTCTCAAGGAGGAGTCGCCGTATCTCCTCTTCTTCCAGGTCCAGCCCATTGATGAGGAATTGGCGTCCAGAGGGGATCCACCAAGATATGAAGATCTGGACGCGGAGGGCAGCGACGGTCAAACTCGGCATGACGACAAAGAAGGTCAAGAGCAGGTGGAGATTTCGGGCAATGCGGCTGCGGCGCTGGACATGGTCACATCAGAAGTTGACCTTGCAAGCGGAGGAATGGAAGGTATGGCAACTGGACCGTCGTCAGCGACCCTTCCGCTCGCGCCTTCTGACAGCGTGGCAGCTGCTGGGAGCAGCATGTCCTCCACGCGCGAAACCACGGAGCCGGACATGCGGAGTAATATTACCATCGAGCTCGACGCTATACCCTTGGATTCCGAATTCGCCGAGAAACCGACAACGGGTGCGGGCACAGGCCGTACAACCGTCGAAGTGACACCCATTGAAGAGAAGAGTGGATGGCTAGGCACCAGGGGCAGGAGGGCATCGAAAGCGAATGTCGATGAGAGCACCACGGGCAAGAGTAGGCCTCCGAGCCAGAGTGGGGAGGGCAGGCTGAGCTTGACCTTGAGTCGGTTGAAGGCGATTGGGAGTAAGGATAAGTTGGCCGTGATGGATGCTGCTACGGGCAATCATAACAGTAACACCACGACGCCGGCGGTGACGGATGATGAAAATGTAACGACGGAGAATGAAGATGTGGTGGGTGGGGAGAGGACTAAGAGTCGAAGTAAGGGAAAAGAGAAGAGAACTGGGAGACTTAGGGGCAAGAGTAAGGAATACGGTCCTGCTGATGGTAATGGGAGTGGTAATGGCGGAGGACGTAGAGAGAAGGGTCGGCCGGATCGAGAGTGTGTGGTCATGTGAGCGTTTTCTATGTGGCATGGCTAAGGGTGTCTGCCTACGGTTATGATACTGTACATGAGGGATGGGCATTGGGGTACGGGGGTACTTGGGTCGGTAAGTGGGCGGTTCACGAGTCCTTATTGCTTATTAGCGTTGCATTGTTTGCGCGGTGCATGATGCATGGGTGCATGGTACATAGGCGCACGATACATGGCACCGGGTTGGTGGGCATTAGCTAGGGCTCTCTTCTGGTCGGACATGCATTTTCTGCTTCCTCTTGCTTTTTGTTCATGTACAATCTTTCGTTGAAAAGGAGGCGTGGTGGCTCTTTGAGGCCAAGATCGCAGCTCTGCGGTTGTCCGACATTGCCTTAGTACATAGAGCTGGTGGTTCGGTTTGATACCCATATACGGCCGCTGAATACACTAGGGAGTTGATTCATGAAAGGTACGGTTTCTGGGCGGGAGTGCTTGTAGAGTACTAGTGCTATCAGCCGACTTGGTGAAAGGTCGAGGCATTCAGCGTGATAACCCGAGTAGTGAAGTGCAAGAAAGGATTGGTGACAGGTATCTCTGCTTACCGATATTAGGAAAGGTATTTATAGAGACAAGCGATGAGAAAGATCGGGCGTGGTGTCAGTGGTCAGTTTGAAAGCAACATCCAGTCCTCACAAACGCGATGGTCGCCAAACGCGATATATGATCGTCATAGGAACCCCGCCTCGTCTGTGTCGAATTCCAGGCATATAAATCATGGGGAGGGCATCATGAACGAGTTAAAATCCGAAACTGAAACCCTCGGGTGTTCGACGGCATCATCAACTTAGATGAAGAAATCATGACGACTGTAGCAATGCCTTCACAAAGCGACTCCGCGATCCAACCCCACGAGAGCAAAGCAGCGACGAAGCGTAAGTCATACTGACGAGTGGCATTCAGCAACTAATTCAAGCCAGCAACTGACGAACATTCTGCCCCAGTGAAGCTCTCAGGAGGCTGCCGGTGCGGAAACGTCAGATATGAGTCGTCTGGGAAGCCCAGCGACATCACACTCTGCTACTGCGGTGCCTGCCAGCAACTGTCTGGCTCAGGCTATCTTCCATTCGTCGACGTACCCACCGATGGACTCACCTTTACTGCGTCGTCCACGCTCAAAAGCCTGAGACTCTCAGACGTGGCAGAACGAAGCTTCTGCTCCAGCTGTGGGTCACCCATCTCGATGAGGTACATGGACGAGATGGAGACCACGGGCATCACGATGGGCTCGGTCGATGTGGCGAGTGTCAGGGATTGGACGCCGAAGATTAGAAAGCACATCTTTCTGGGAGAGAAGGCGGCCTGGACCGTGGTTCCTGATGATGGAAGTCCATGGTTTGAAGGGTTCTCGGATGGAAGGGGGAAGGTGGAGCCGTTCTGCGAGCCTAGATGAGGGGATCATGGGGGTTTCCCGCACTTGCAATGTAAGATCACTTGCCAGAAGCTCCGGAGTCGGGATTCGATAGAGATTTAATAATGCGAGATCCTGATGTTTGTTCGACTTCGAGAGACTCAATACAGATTACGGAGGACATGGTGTAGATCTTTGCGCAACTTGGGAAACGGACATGCTGAAGATATCCAGGTTTATGTTGGCCAGATCCATAAACAAAACCCCGGTTTAAACAGTGAAACAGGATGCTGGAATTATTTCGTTTGGGCAGTGGTAAGGATTATGATGACGACCCGTGGACGTTGGTTGGTGGCTGGGTGGCGGTTTTCCCCTGCCACTTTCCTGCCACCACGTTGTCCACCAGCCGCACGACCAGCTCAAAGTCCACTTCCCAAGCACAACACCTCCAGATACCTTCTGCACTCTTTGTTTCACAGCTTTTGTGTCTATTTCGCACTGTTTGTTTGCATTACTCTCGTTTTTACTGTCTCTCTCTGTACAACAACACCTTCTGCTCGAATTGATAGACAAGGGTTCCCTCGGTGACCAGTGCTCTATCGGCAAGGAGCATTTTAAAATAACGTTTCAAAACTCCGACATTCCAACCTGTGTCCTTTCGGGAACACAGATTAGAGGATCGAAAGATCCCTGAAGCACGATCAAGCTATCCGCATTCCTGAACGCCAGTGCGTTGTCCCGGCGCCCATGGCTCAGATTCACGCACCCGTCTCCCCACCTTCAGTCTCAAACGCAACCCACTGTTCACTACGACGGACCGACCGCCTCACGGCTCTTCCGCGGGCAGAATCTGTAGACTGGTCCGACTTCGATGATGTGAAGATCGATGCCCCGCTTCGGCCTCCCCCTTCAGCATTGACTGGGACGTCCACTCACTACGACCCTCACGATCCGGACACCCCTTTGCAGGATCACCATCCCGGACCCGGGCGAGGACATCAACGATCTCTGACTGGAACGTTTCTAAACAACTGCCAACCTTTCCTCGCTCGCGCTACTTCTACACTGCAGCAGCACACTGCCCGAGCAGCGCTTCATTCCCCAACCAAATCGCTAGCAAGCTTCATCCCCTCGCGAACTTCAATAGGAGCAACGGCCTCGCAACCGAAAATCAAAGCCGGAGCCAGAGCACTGCAAAACTGGTTCAACGGGACCTCCGGCCCAGTTTCTCTCGGCCTATCGGCTCCCGACGACTCAGAAGACGACGACTACGCCTCCGACGACTCAGAAGAAGAACCCGAAGAACGAGAAGGCAACAACATGCTCTCCAACATCTTCCATCGCGGGACGTCGCTCACGAGCCCCAGTCCCAGCAGCGCAGACACCACAACGCCCAAGCACCCTGCACCACACGCACAGCCATCATCATCCAGATCGAGCACGACGACGAGTTCGCGCTTCGCCTGGCCGTTTCCGACCTCGAATCGAAAATCCACCACTACTACTGCGCCTACCTACCACAACCCCTCGGACGAGCTGCTCACGCTCAACATCTCGCAATCCCTCTTCCCGCACGGCCCCGTCGATCCCCTCGCGCCTTCCTCCTTCAACGATCTCGTCTCCACGGCTGAGGCGCTGCTGAGCCGGTTCCAAGCGTCGTACAGACAGCTGTCGAGTGCGCTGCGGGACGCGCGGGCGGAGCAGAGCGCGCAGGAGGACGAACTCGAGGAGGCGGAGACGAGAGTCGATTTGTTGAAGGCGCAGCTCGAGGGGATGGCGCGCAGGGCGGAGGAGAGGGATGAGGAGATTGGGAGGTTGAGGGGGGAGGTGGAGTGGGAGAGGCGGATGCGGAAGGAGGCGGAGAGGAAGTGGAGTGGGGATGAGCAGCAGCAGCAGCAGCAGCAGCAGCAGAGGAGGAGGAAGAGGGCGTCGAATTCGGATGTTTCTGTTGATTCGGGGTTCTTTGATGATGGGGATGGGGATGGGGAGAGTGTGAGGTCCGCTTGTTGTGTGAGTCCGACGACGGTGGATTCTCATGCGTTGTCGGAGGAGGCACATGCAATGGCGGCGAAGATGCAGGGTCCACAGCTGCTGCAGTCTCATGATTCGGGAAGTTCGGCAACGGGGACCTCGCTTTGTGCGAACTGCGCGAATGGTTCGCAGGCGTCTGTCTGGGCGAGGCTGGCGCGGGAGAGGGAGGAGAGTCAGGTTTTGCGGAGGAGGGTGGAGGTGTTGGAGAAGGCGGTCGAGGGGGCGTTGGATGTGGTTGATGGGCCTTGGGGGTTGCGGTGAGTGATTTGCGGGGATATTTGTTGAAGGGGTTCATCTGGGGCTTACTTGTCGGTGGTGGGGATTTCTTTCACTGGCGGAGAATGGAGAGGAGGGATTTTGGAGGGAGAGGGGGACTGGAAGGATTTCGGATTCGCATATGAACCGGCGTGGACGTTCTTAGATCTATCGACGTTTTAGGGATGGGGGCGTGTTCAAGCGCTGCAATCCACTTTTTCATTTTGTTGCATCTATCTCTCTGCTCCATTCTTCTCACTTCTTCCGTCAGTCAATTTAACAAAGTACGAATGCGATCACATTGATATCTTACCAAACCAGCCCTCCACCGTTCCTCATAGAACAGCAGTATACCTCGTAACACTCACATACCTCTTCCGCGGCCCCACAACATCGTACCGTACTTCCCACCACTTTCCCCCACCATTATCATCATCTTCATCATCCCTCCCACTTTCCTTCCCGTTTCCTCCCTCCCGCTGATCCCGCGCGCCGGCACCACCACCGTCGAACATTGCGCCGCTGAATTTCCACGCTGCGGAATAGATATCTTGACCGCAGAGGTGTTTCTCGCGATGCTGTGCCTCGTAGACTTGCGCGACTGGGGTGGTTTCTGGAGAAGAGGAGGAGGAGGGGGAGGAGAGAGATATCGGACCCATTTCGACGAATAAGTTGCTCGCGTCGGGGTCGGGGAGGGATGAGGTTGTGTGCGCCTGCGCGTCCGGGGAATCGGGCGGGAAGTAAAGTGCTATAAACTCCCCTCCCTCTACCTCGCCGGCGTCTCGGTGCATGGTATCTGAGAAAGGCGGAGGAGAAGATGAAGTACTAGTACTTCTACTGGTTTCAAGACGATACACATACCGCCTCGTCGCCTGAAGCCGTACACCGTTCTCGGTGACGAAGTCGGCGGTTTCGATATACAGCAGTGCGCGATGGGAAGGACTGGATGAGGAGGAGAGGGGTTCAAAGGTTGCGAGGCCCGTGGCGGTGCCGGAGGGGAGTGTGGAGAGAGAAGAGGTTAGTGTGCGGGTGAAGTGGTATTTTGGTGTTGATAGGAGGGTTGCGAAGAGTTGGGTTGGGAGGGAGGATGGGACGTGGTGTGGAGGGTTGGAGGAACGAGTGGTTGGATCGGGAGTGGGAGGTGAGTTCGGTTTGCTGTCGAGTGGAGGGGGCGTTGGTGCGTGTGTGGGACTGGACGTGCTAGGCGATTGGAGCGATGGAGGTGGAGAAGGTTTTGAGAGGAGCTCGTAGGGGATATCTGTAACAGGGATGTGCGTGGGTGTTAGAGTCTCCGGTTTCTCGCTATCGAGGGATTCGGGCTTGGAGTGGGAGGTCGAGATGGGCGTATCTTGCTTCTCCAAAGATATCTCTTGATCGTTCCCTTTCTTTTGCTCGGGTGTTGTTGCTTCGGCACGCTCAGAATCCGTCAAATCGATCACATTTCCCAGTTCGTCCACGAGGACCAAATGATCCTCGATGACATCTTCGCCCTTGCTGACTACCACCTCCTTTCCTTTTCCTCCTGGGTCAGGCATCAAGAACGCATTCACTGCCTTCAGCGTCTCTCGACTTGGATTGAGCGCCCCACTTGTCGTCGTAATCCACGAAAGACGCTGTTTTATATATGTTTTATCGATCTTTCTCTTCCCAAGTCCAGCGCTATCGACTGTGGACGCACTCGAGAGCGAAATATTGCCTCCATCATCGGCATAAAGGCATAGAATCGTGAGCGCGACTCCGACGGCGAGGTCCTTGCCTGTGGGATCGCAGACTAGTATAGAAGGTGCTTCCTTGCCTTCTTTGTCCCTCTCCCTTGAGAAATTTTCCAGAAAAGGTTGCAGACGGGACAACTGGACACGGAGGTCTCGAGAGCCAAGTTTCCCTGCCGCGAGCGGGAGATGGAGATATTTCTTACTCTTTACAAACTCCCGATTTCTGGTAGTTAAGGGTTTAGGGGTACAGCTTATGATAACGTCGAAGGGTCCAAGATCCAGGTTTTCGCTTGCTGAGACGTACAGGTTCGAAGTGGGCTTGATGAGAATGGGTACGGCTTGAGGACCTCTCTCCTTCGCTACCAATTCCCCAATAAGGGAAGGTAAATCTTCCTCATTCGTCGTCATAAGTAGATCGTGGTTCTGCCAGAATACGACGGGCGTGAGACCTCTTGCCCACGCCTCGTGATCGTCGGCGGCACCTTGGATGTACCCATTCTCAGAAGCTTCGGCGCCGTGAACGCGGCGAGAAGCGGTGCAGCAAATGATCGGATGGAAGTCCTCAAAGGAAGGCGGCACAGGAGGAAGGGGGGAAGATTGCGCGACCCAGAGGGGCCGCAGGGGCTTGTTGGAGAGAAGCTGCCGAAGATGGTCAATTGGAGGATTGCAGATTTCCAGAAACGACTTGACGAAGGCGTCGATGCGTTTTTCGATTTGGGCGTACTCGGAGGCGGACACGGCGGTGGGTGGGGTGAAGAGGTCGTGGTGGGGGCCTGGGGAGGGGAAGAGTGCGCGGTTGAGGACGCAGGTCCAGATGGGGATGGTTTTGGAGAGGGCGTCTGGCATGCCTGGGCAAGTTAGTGTACGGATTTTGAATAGTGATGGACGTTTGGGAGGAGGCGTACTTTTGCCTCTGCGGGTTGAGTCGACGATGACGCAACTAGAAGACGTTCGATTAGTACTCTGAACTCAGACCCAGGGGTACAGGAGTGCATTTGACTACCCTCCATGTTTCCCAACAACATCCAGAACCTGAAAGTTTAATCTCCTTAGGCTAAAACTCCATCCGCTGACATGGCCGTCGGTGCTCTTGAAATAGCAGCTCCCCGTCTTCCTCTCGGGCGGAATGTACCAACTGCCGCATCTTTCGTTGGCCACCAGCGGCAGTCCGTACGCTTCTGAGACGGAAATGACGAATGCGGAGTCGGAGGTGATGGATGCGAGGCGGTTCGGTATGCTCAGGGCGGAGCGTTTCAGAGACGAGAGAGTGGAGGAGAGGGAGAGGGAGTTGGTAGGGAAGATGAGGTCAGATTGAGTTAATGGGCGGGACATTGGCGTTTTTGGGTATTAGGGGAATATATCTATGATCATGAAACGGTGGTGATGTATGTTGAGTTTGCGAGACGACGAAATTGGCAAGTGAAGAGAGGTTTGGGAGCGCGATTTGTATAGGGTGTGTAAATACTGCTCCAATATTGGCCAATATCTAAAGAAAAAGAATGAGTTGTCGAAAAGATGTTATTCTGTTGTCATTGTGTTGGTATGTGTAGTTGGGAAAAGATTGCGGCTTGGGTGTGGATCCGGATCTATCTATCTGTTGGGGCGAAGCCACAGATTAGGCTAGTGATTAGGCTTGGTGCTAGAGCTCTGGACTGTCTATTTCATTCACATCATCGTTCGACATTATTCTACATTATGGCCTTTAGAGTTAGACATCAAGGATGTGATATTCGATTCTCTGATCAAGGGAAACAGCTGTTCCGTGGACTGTACGCGATAGTGGGCCTCTTCGGCTTGCCAGATGTAGCGAATCTACTGGTACAAATGTCTAAGGCGCAGCTTGACAGATTAGTCTATCTTGTGAGGAAGACCGTCAGTCGACGTCTAACACAAGGTGGATTTGGGACCAGGTGGATCCAGGCCTTTGCACCTGCTCAGTTGAACCTGTATGGTGTCTGGTCCATGGTCAGGGATATAAGGATATTAGCAACGGGAGTTGGATCTATTAGGTATCGCGTGCTTGGGTGAAATGATGGTTCTGAGACAGGAATAATAAGCTTCTCATGGCGCTGCTGCAGAATGGATGCGGCAGGACTGGAGCGGAGAAGAGTCCAAGTCAGTGTGACCGTCTTCACCTGAGCGACTATAGATGAGGGCAACGAGGATGAGGAAGGTGGTGCAAGCCTGAAGAATGCAGACGGTGCGAACAGGAGACGTCTGATGGGTGAAGCTAGAGCTCCCGGCCGAAGGCAGTTCCCAGCATGGTGTTTGGTGATGTATCGAGGTCATGTTACATAGATACTGTGGTTATTTCAGCCGTTGGACACGTCTCGTGGCTTGCCGTTACTAGTGGGGTAGTGTCCGTCTGGCTTTTGCGGGGAAGCCGTCACACCCTCCCCCAACAGAAACACATCAACACCACATCTAGGCTTCGGCCAACCCGCGTGGCTTTTGCCCTCCCCTTCGCCTTCTACCGTTGCATCCTTACCCCTCGTCTTCCCGTTCACAATGGCCTCAGTGCTTCGATGCACACAGTCGTCTGACGCAACCCCCCAGGGGAGCGGGGTGTATGAACCGAGGTCACGAGCACCGCCCTGAGCGCCCTGATGCTTGGAGGGGTTGGAAGGGCCCAGGAACATGACTTCCTTCACCGAACTGTTGGTGGAAAGTGGTGCCTTCCACCAGAGGCACGCCTACGCCTACGCCTGCCAACCGTCCTATCATTGTTTACCTCTGATAGCGGCAGTAGCTACCTGGGCGATTGTTTATTTATACAATCTGCCGATTCTCCATAGATCGAATCTTCACTCATTTTCTTCACTTTGCTCCCGCTTACACGAACTACTTGTATACGAACTACTTGTAGATATCTAGTCTAACCGCCTCTCCTCGATCGTCTTCGCCTTCTCCAGTGCGCTTTGGAGCGGTTAGCGAACGACCAACATTCACCCCGCAAGCGCCATGTCCCGTCCTGCTCGCTACGACTTCAAGACCCGGCCCGTGGCCCATCCCGACGCCATTGTCGCCGGCGACAAGTGGCGCTTCACCATCCTCACAGACGGCCTGCTGCGCTTCGAGTGGGCGGACGACGGCCAGTTCGAAGACAGGGCTTCCACCTTCGCCGTCAACCGCCAGTTGGCCGTGCCCGAGTTCTATGTCTGGGACCGCGGCCATTCCGTCGAGATTGTCACCCACCGCCTCCATGCCATCTACGACAAGAAGAGGTTCAGCTCCGAGGGCTTCGCCGTCAGTCTCAAAGGGCCCGATGCGAAGAGGTGGACCTACGGCCAGCAGCTGTCCAACCTGGGTGGGACTCGCCGCACACTCGACACGGTCGATGGCCGGGCCGACATCGGGCCTGGAGTCCTCTCTCGCGATGGATTCGCCATGCTGGACGATAGCAAGAGCATGCTCTTCGACAAAGAGGGCTGGATTGCTACTCGGAGAGAGGGGGACCGTATCGATGGCTACCTGTTTGTGTACGGCCGTGACTACCGCGCGGCCGTACGGGCCTTTTATGCCGTGTCTGGGAGCCAATCTCTCCTACCTCGATTTGCCTTGGGGAACTGGTGGAGCCGCTACCACCGCTATACACAGCAGGAATACATGACCCTGATGGATCGCTTCGATGCCGAGCAAGTCCCGCTGAGCGTCGCCACCATCGACATGGACTGGCACTTGGTCAGTATCGACCCCAAGTACGGCACTGGCTGGACTGGCTACACCTGGAACCTCGATCTGTTCCCCGATCCAATCAAGTTCATGAAGGACCTGCATGATCGGAAACACAAGGTGACACTCAACGTGCACCCTGCAGATGGCATCAGGGCACACGAGAAGCAGTACCCCGAAGTCGCAAGGTACATGGGCATAGACCCAAAGACGGAGCAACCTGTCAACTTTGATTGCACAGACAGGAAGTTCATGGACGCCTACTTCGACATTGTTCACCACCAGCATGAGGCGGATGGCGTCGACTTTTGGTGGATCGATTGGCAGCAGGGCGACAGGTCCAGACTTCCTGGTGTTGACCCGCTTTGGGTGCTCAACCATTTCCATTTCCTTGACAAGGGTCGAGATCAGAGAAGACCCCTTATCCTCTCACGCTTTGCTGGCCCCGGATCCCAACGCTACCAGATCGGATTCTCAGGAGACACACACATGACCTGGAAATCGTTACACTTTCAGCCAGAGTTCACTGCTACAGCTTCAAACATTGGCTACGGATGGTGGAGCCACGACATTGGCGGCCACTACGCTGGATACAAGGATGACGAACTGACGACGCGATGGGTGCAGTTTGGTTGCTTCTCCCCGATCCTTCGATTGCACTCTTCCAGCAACATCTTCAACACCAAGGAGCCGTGGGCCTTCAACAAGGAGGCATGCGAAATCATGGAAGACACCCTCCGCTTCCGGCAACGTTTGATACCCTACTTGTACACTATGAATGCGCGGTCCGCCTCGGATGATGAACCGCTGATCCAACCCATGTATTGGGACCATCCCGACCGAGACGAGGCGTATGCTGTGCCAAACCAGTACCGATTTGGTAGCGAACTCATCGTCGCCCCTATTACGCAACCGCGTGATCCGGCCACTCACTTGGGTGCGGTGAATGCCTGGCTGCCCCCTGGACGCTACGCCGACATCTTCACCGGCGTCGTCTACGATGGGGACCGTAACCTGACCTTCCACCGAACTCTGGACCGCTACCCTGTGCTTGCTGGAGAAGGCGCCATCATCCCCCTCGATGGTGCATGGCGTCCGCCAAACGATGTACCGAATCCCAGCTCAATAGAGCTCCTGCTAGTTGTGGGTGCCGACGGTGCTTTCAACTTGATTGAAGACAACGGCAGCGGCACACACGTCGATGACGGAGATTTCCGCATGATCGAGGATGGAGGCATCGAATCTGGCGGCGACAATGTTCGCTTCAGCTACACCCCGATCACATACACGCAGTCGACCGGCGTTCTTAAGATAGGTCCCACCTCCCCTTCTGATCCATCTATACCGAGGCATAGGACCTGGAGCGTCAGACTCATCTCGCACACGGCCTCCAACCCCTCGCATATCCGCTGCATTACCACCCCATCGAAGAAAGCAAAGCCCCTCCCCTATACCACTCAAGCAGTCACCAACGGCACCCTCGTATCTCTAGGCTCTGTACCAAGCGACCAGACCATCATCCTCGAGCTCAATGGAAACCCTCAACTCGATGTGCTCGATCCCACCAAGATGATCTGGACCATTCTGCATCAGGCGAACATGTTGTATGATCCCAAACTTGCCATCTGGGATATGGTGACGGCACCGCAGGCGGTGGGTACGCGGGTCAGCAGGCTGCAGAATATGGGCATCCAGAAGGAGTTGGTGGATGCGATGGTGGAGCTATTGTTGGCGGATTCGCGGTATGAGTGAGGGATTCTGGTACCGGCGACATACGAGGAGTGCCGCCGCTCTTGTTTCAATGAAACCTCTTTCGTGATGGACTTGGAAGACAAGGGATGGGCTGGTGATCTGTCGATATGACTTGAGACGACCTCGGGACTCTACGGGCACACATATGATTGTGGTTTCTGTTTCTTTTCTTTTCTTTTTTTTTTTTTTTTCCTTTTTGGAGCAGTTTATGCTATGGCATCTTATGAGCATCCCAATCAAGACATCTACGATATTTCACCGGAGATTCCTCCCTGCCAATGATTGTAGGAATAAATGCGAGAATACGAGAAGTCTTCCATTCACCTTTCCGTCACCTTCCAGACCCCTGTCCATCGCGGATTCCCGTCCATTTAAAGCGGTCACGTGCTATCGCGACAGCGCGTACCTTCCCCCGCCGCGCCGTCCTCAGGCAACCGCCCAGGGTGTTGGTTGCTGGCCGCTTCGTGGCTTGCTTTTCCTGGAGCTCCTCCTCCTCCGCTTCTCTCTTTTGTAGAGACAAGGACCTGCCGTTATTACACTCCTTCGTTTTTGCTCGCCGTGAGCGATCCTTTGCCACCGAGGCGTGAGACCGCGACAAAGTTCGTATCGATTGGGTACGCGAGCGCCAGGGTCCGCCCGCCCTTGATTGACCACCTTCAAGGTCAGTCTGGACGTTCATTTTCAATCCTCTCTTACTTCTCCTCCCTCGCTTTCGTTTCTTCCTTATCCGTGCCTTCGTTCAAGACTCCTGTGACATTTCCCTCCTTTTGCCTCCAATCTTTCACGTCCCGTCCCCTTTCTCATTCATCCGCTCACCATGCCTCGTGGCAGACCTAGACGCTCCCTCCGCGGCGACATGAGCAACCAGAACGTTACAAGCGGAGCTTCCCCGGCCCAAGCATCCAGTACGTACCCCAATCTCTCTTTCACAGGCTCATATCTTCCAGACTGCGCAATTCCCCTTACTAACATTGTACTTAGGCAAGTCCGCGAAAGCTGCCAAAGCGTCAGGTGAAACTCAGCCCAACCATCGACGAACACGATCCTCCCGTCTCGCAGTTGCCAACTCATCCGATAACGAAGGTAGCCTTCTCGAAGGAGAGGTCGCATCTCCACCTCCTACCACCCACAAAGTGCTGAAGGCGGTCTCCATCGTCACCAGGACGACGAACAAGGCCTCGGCCAATATGGCTGCACGAGTGGCGACCGGCGCTCAGAAGGGCGGCGGAAGCTCACTGGGTACACCTTCAATCGCAGACTCCGAGTACGAGACTCCTCTGACCAGCTTTTCCACAACGCCTGCCGGCTCGGTGGGACCGGGCGCCAGATCCTCCCGGAAAAGCAAGCTTGTCTCGATTGCAGTAGCATCCTCGTCTCGGAAGCGAAAGACCGCGGTAGTTGCGGATAGCGGGGATGTGGGTGAAGACATCGACGAGGACTTGTCACCGGACGCTCTGCTTGCAAGGCAGTTGCAGAAAGAGGAGGAAGAGTACGCCAAGCTCGCCAATAAGAGACGCAAGACTGAGCTTCTGGATGCCGTTGAGGATTCGGAGGACGACATGTCTGAGATTTTGGAGGAAGAGGATGAACCATTGCCTATGTACACGGGTAAAGGGAAAGGGAAAGCCGTGGAACTGCCTGCTAGGCGCACGCGGTCCACCATGCGTGCGACGATGGATTTCGTAGCGCTGAGCGATGAAGATCTGGATATCCACCTTGACAATGACGCCATCATCGATCTTGTGAGCGACAGCGAGGAGGAATCGCTTATGATGGCCAGCAAGAAGCGCAAGACAACCAATTCGTCTCCTGCTAAATCCGCCAAGGGTAAAGGCAAGACGATCGCTCGACAAACACCTGCTGAACGAGCCCGTGAGAAGCGCAGGAGGTTGGCTGAAGCGAGGGAGCGCAATGCTCGTTTCGCTCACATTGAAGACAAGTGGGACCGCAAGAGGGCCATGAATCGCGAGCGTGCTGAGCAAAATCATCCAAAGCTACTGACCATGTGGGATGACCTAGCACAAATTCCCGTCCTGGACACGCAGAGGGCTGAGCAGCCACCGTCCATTAACCGCCGCCTGAAGCCGTTCCAGTTGGAAGGTCTTAGCTGGATGACGCGTCAGGAGAAGACTGGCTACAAGGGCGGCTTACTAGGAGATGAGATGGGTAAGTCACTGCCCTTGTCCTATCTCGGCGTTTTCTAACAACTATCAGGCATGGGAAAGACCATCCAGGCCGTCTCCCTCATCATGTCGGATTACCCAGCCAAGGACCCCACCTTGGTCGTTGTCCCGCCCGTTGCCCTCATGCAGTGGAGCAATGAGATCCGCGAGTACACTGACGGGAAGCTCAACGTGCTGGTCTACCACGGAACCAACTCCAAGTGCAAGAACATGACGATCAAGGAGCTGAAGAAGTTCGACGTCATCATGGTTTCATATAACAGCTTGGAGTCGCTTCATCGAAAGGAAACCAAGGGATGGACCCGTGGTGACAACATCATCAAGGAAGCGTCTCCCCTTCACCCCATCCATTACCATCGCCTCATCCTTGACGAAGCGCACAGCATCAAGTCCCGTACCACCGGCGTCGCTAAAGCCTGTTTCGCTCTGAAGGGAACTTACAAATGGTGCTTGTCCGGTACTCCCGTCCAGAACAGGATTGGAGAGTTCTTCTCCTTGCTCCGCTTCCTGGAAGTACGTCCGTTCGCCGATTACTTCTGCCGGTCATGCCCTTGTGAGCAGCTCCATTGGCAGATTGATGAAGATCACATGTGCACCGCCTGTAATCATGGTGGGTCGGAGCACATTTCCGTCTTCAACCAAGAGCTGCTGAACCCCATTACTGGCGACAACCCGGATCTCCGTGAGGAGGCACTCGAGAAGCTGCACATGATTACCGCCCGGATCATGCTGCGTCGCATGAAGCGCGATCATACAAACTCGATGGAGCTGCCGATGAAAGATATCATCATCCACAATGAGTTCTTCAGTGATGTGGAGCGCGACTTCTCCACCTCGATCATGACGAACTCCTCGCGGAAATTCGATACCTATGTCGCCCAGGGAGTCATGCTCAACAACTATGCGAATATCTTCGGCTTGATCATGCAGATGCGGCAGGTTGCCAACCATCCCGATCTGTTACTCAAGAAGAATGCTGCTGAGGGGCAGAATGTGTTCGTCTGCAACATCTGCGACGAGCCAGCCGAAGATGCGATCCGCTCTCGTTGCCATCACGAGTTCTGTCGTGCTTGCGTCAAGGACTATATCGACACGTGCGAAGCATCTGGCACTGACGCTGACTGTCCTCGCTGCCACATTGCCTTGTCTATTGACTTCGAACAGCCCGAACTGGAGCAGGATGAGGAGGGTGTGAAGAAGTCGTCCATCATCAATCGTATCAAGATGGAGAACTGGACGTCGTCTACCAAGATTGAGATGCTTGTCTACGACCTCTACAAGCTGCGCAGCAAGAAGCAGACGCTCAAATCCATCGTATTCAGCCAGTTCACGTCCATGTTGCAACTCATTGAATGGCGGCTGCGTCGTGCTGGGTTCAATACGGTCATGCTGGACGGCAGTATGACGCCAGCGATGCGGCAGAAGAGTATTGAGCATTTCATGACGAACCCGGATGTTGAAGTGTTCTTGGTGTCGCTCAAGGCGGGTGGTGTTGCCCTGAACCTCACTGAGGCGTCTCGTGTCTTCATTGTCGATCCGTAAGTTTTTCGCCTACGCCTCTTGTCTGATCAGAACTAACAAGTCCCACAGGTGGTGGAATCCCGCTGCAGAATGGCAGTCCGCTGACCGATGCCATCGGATTGGCCAGAAGCGCCCCTGTGTCATTACTCGGCTCTGCATCGAGGACAGCGTCGAGTCTCGTATGGTGGCGCTGCAGGAGAAGAAGGCTGCTATGATTGCCGGAACGGTCAACAACGATAAGGTGGCGATGGATCGTCTCAGTCCTGAGGATCTGCAGTTCTTGTTCCGTGGTACTTGAGGGATTGACGATGGGTGGATGTTAGTGGTAGGCGTAAAGGAGGAATGGGATGCGGCGCAAGCTGTGGTTCAACTGGGTTCGGAGGGGATTCTATTCGGTTATGAGTGAAGGCGTCCTAGGAGGTTATACGGTCAAGGCGTCTCTGGAGGATATAGGTATGCGTCTCCGGCGTTTACAGCCAGAGACGAATGTCGTCGGAACTCAAGACCGCATATTGTGCTCAGTGGCATTCTGATACCGGCACCCGAGTAGCTACTGATGTAATATGATAAAGCATAACATGCACCGCTTTTCATGTCTGTACATGCCTTCCTCCATGGTTGCTGATACCAGATATTGCACCGAGGGATTTTCGGATAGATCGATTGATGCCACCCCTGTCCCCTCTCTGTCGCCCTAAAACTTTCCCGGCCTCAACCCTGCACCTCCCGCAACGCTCTTCGGACCATCGCACTCCCTAAACTAAACACCCACTACCCCATCCTTCCCATACTCCACCCTCCGCGCTCGTGGCAACACCGTCACGATGCAAGCCCTCCGAAGGCCGTTGAGCTCCGCGCTCCAGAGAGCCGCGAGCCGGCAATGCTACTCGACGAGCTCGAGCCCGTATGCCGAGACGATCAAGAACCTGCGCATCAACCACGACACCAAGGTGCTGTTCCAGGGCTTCACGGGCAAGCAGGGAACGTGAGTGATTCTGCGATTGAGCAAGGTGATCGAGATTGGAGTGCTGATGCAGGATAGTTTCCATGCCCAACAAGCCATCGAATATGGTATGCGCTTCGTCCCCCGTTCGCCCGTCGCGAAAGGAATTGCCCGGCTCGATGATAAATAGGAGAGGATCATTGACACGTCTACACAGGCACGAATGTCGTTGGGGGCACCAACCCGAAGAAAGCAGGGTCCGAGCATCTGGGAAAGCCGGTGTTTGCGACGGTGGAGGAGGCCGTGAAGCAAACGGGGGCTACCGCGTCTGCGATCTTTGTTCCGTATGGCAGATATTGGATATCTGGGATGGATTGGGGCTGATGGATGTACAGGCCACCGCTTGCGGCGAAGAGTATCGAGGAGGCGCTTCTGGCGGAGATTCCGCTTTGCGTGACGTAGGTATCTGGCAAGCATTGAGAGTGGTGGAAGAAGCTTACGAGTGCGCAGCATCACCGAGGGCATTCCCCAGCATGGTACGAGCAGCGGTCCTTCGAGAGAATGCAACAGCTACTAACATACGCCAGACATGGTCCGCATAACAGACATGCTCAAATCGCAAAACAAGACCCGCCTCGTCGGCCCCAACTGCCCCGGCATCATCGCCCCCGTATGCCTCCCTATTACCTCCCCCATATCTCTATCAAACCCAATCTAACTACCCCCAGGGCCAATGCAAAATCGGCATCATGCCCGGCTTCATCCACAAACGCGGCCGCGTCGGCATCGTCTCGCGCTCGGGCACCCTGACCTACGAAGCCGTCAACCAGACCACGCAAGCGGGGCTGGGCCAATCCCTCGTCGTCGGCATCGGCGGCGACCCCTTCTCCGGGACCAACTTCATCGACTGCCTCAAGGTGTTCCTCGAGGACGAGGAGACGGACGGCATCATCATGATTGGCGAGATTGGCGGGTCGGCCGAGGAGGACGCGGCCGATTTCTTGAAGGAGAATAATAAGATGGGGAAGCCGGTGGTGAGCTTCATTGCGGGGATTAGTGCGCCGCCGGGGCGGAGGATGGGTCATGCTGGTGGGTTATTTTTCTTGTTATACATTTGCACTCCTTTTCCTGTTCATTTTCTTCGCTTCTCCATTTAGTTCGTTTTCCTTTTGCTGCGTTCTTCACGGTCCTGCATAACGATATCCGAACCCCCGCTAACCTACCCTCTAGGTGCCATCGTCAGCGGCGGCAAGGGCGACGCAAACTCCAAGATCAACGCGCTCGAGGCGGCGGGCGTGGTCGTCGAGCGGAGTCCCGCCAACCTGGGCAAGACGCTGTACGACCAGTTTGTGAAGCGCGATCTGATATAGACTATCATCTCGATTTGGGGGAGGAACGGCGAGGTAGAGAGAGGCGTAGTTGATCGCGGCTTCAGTGTATTATGCATGCATGAAGGAACTTTTGGTAGAAGATTGCGAGGTTGATAATGTACATTTATCTTCGACCTTTATATCTCTGAGTCCGTTGTGCCGTTTTCTCCCTCCGACTCTACTCCGTGTATCTAATAAGTTATTTACACAGTGAAGGGCGGGAAGGTGGTCCAAGCTCCACATTTTTCAGACGTCAACCAAACCACCCCATAGACATGCATCTCCGCATCCAGGAGTTCCACCCGCAACGGTCGAATAGCCAGCAGCCCTACACACTACTCCATCGGGGATGTCCAAGACGAAGACGAAACGCGCGAGGAGGGAGGCGAAGAGGGAGCAGCAGAAGAAAGTGGCCAAGGCGCTCAAGTCCGCCGCGAATAGGACATCCTCCGCACCTGCGACGACTCCGGCGAAGGCCAGGACGAGCATGAAGACGCAGGGGAAATCGAAACCGAAAGATGGACCGAGGACGCATGCGCCCGATGTCTCCAATTTGCTCCCGTGCACCACCTCCTCGAGTAGCCATTCCGCCTCGACGACGTCGTCCAAAAAGGCCGATGGAACCAGCACCACCACCAGCACCACCACCAGCACCACAGTACCCTCCTCCTCCACCACTTTCACGAATACCACGACGACGACGACGATGCCACACCCACAGCCCAGCACTCTTAATCCCCGCAAACGCCCTTCCAAAATCCCCTTCACAACCTACGCCAACATCCTCCTCGTCGGCGAAGGCGACTTCAGCTTCACCCACAGCCTCGTCCTTGCCCACGGCTGCGCAAACGTGACGGCCACCTCGTTCGACACACGCGATGAAGTTATGCAAAAGTACCCGGATACGTTTCCGAAGATTGAGGAAGAGTTAAGGGGACTGGTGCCGCCGGTGCCCATGGTGTTTGGGGTCGATGCGAGGAAGGTGGGTGGGGTGAGGGGGTTGAGGCCTGAGGGGGAGGGGGAGGGATGGGATTCTGATGGGGAGGGAGGGGGGAGGGAAGGGGGGAAGCAGACGAGGAAGGGTAACGGGAAAGGAAAGGGGAAAGGGAGAGCGAGCTGGGACATCATCTCCTTCATGTTCCCTCACACGGGCGGCCTCTCGACGGATGTAAACCGCCAAGTCCGAGCCAACCAAGCCCTACTCGTCTCCTTTTTCGAATCCTGCCTCGGGAAGAACAATCCCAAAACCCCCAAACCCTCCAAACCCAAAGCCTCCTCCGCCGACAGTGCAGCGGAAGCGCCCTTCCTCCACCCCACACACGGCAAAATCATCGTCACCCTCTTCGACTCCCACCCTTATACCCTCTGGAACATACGCGATCTAGCGCGCCACGCGGGCCTGCGCGTCATCGAGTCCTTCGCTTTCGACTGGGAGGCGTACCCGGGTTATAGGCATGTGAGGACGTTGGGGCAGTTGGAGGGGGGAGGCGGTTGGAAGGGTGAGGAGAGGAGTGCGAGGATGTATGTTTTTGGTGTTAAGGGGGAGGGAAATGGGGAAGAGCAAGGAAGGGGGAAGAGGAAGAGGAAGAGGGGGGTTGGTGGGGAGAGCAGTGATGATGAGGGGGATGCGGAGGACTGAGAGGTGTAGAGATGAGTGGTGTATTGGATGATGGAATTATTCATCCACTCCTTCCTTCAGGCATGCTAAACTTATCTTCGACCCTCGAGGGCTGACAAAAGAAACCGAACCGACCGGACCCAGCGTATTCCGAGGAACCCAAGCGCAGATAACCGCAGATGCTATAATATCTGGAAGGCATAAAAGAGAAGCGAGGACACGCGCCGGCGCCTCAGAACCAGAGCCCCTCCCGCATATATACCACAAACGTCATGCTAATTTCGCAATTCCGGACAGCAAGCAAGAACGAGAAGAAATAAAAAGACTCCATCACACAACTCCAACAACCGGGAGCGGAATATCACCAAAGAAACATGACGTGCCCACGTCCAACCTACAGAATAAACACCTTCCTCACCTCCGACTCGCGAAACTTCTCCCCATCGACGCCACCCCCGGGATCCCTCACCCACCCCTTCTCCGTCCCCACCTCCTTGTTGAACCGCTCCAACCGCTCCCTCCCATACACCCTCCCATTCGGCAACACGCGCGGGTCATCCTCGACGATACTCTTCGTGTGCAGGGCCTGCGGCACGTTCTCGGCGAGGGCGTTGAGTTCCGTGCTGCAGATGGGGCAGAGGGAGACGGTGGTGCGGTCGATGGGGGAGGCGGACGAGGAGGGGTGGGAGAGACTTTGGTGGGGTTGCGAGGAGTGGCAGGCGGGCGTTTTGAGGGCCGAGAGACCCGCCGAGAGGGCGATGTGGAGGAGGGGTCGGGGCGGGAGGGAGAAGAGCGTGTTGTGCGTCGTCAGGAAGAGGTGCGCGAGGTGGTCCCAGCGGGCAGGGGAGTAGGCGGACTGCAGAAAGATTGTTAGTAGGATTTTCGACCAGATGGAGACGAGGTAGATGTTGAAGTAGATAGAGACATACCGCATACGGCTCCAGGTTCTGCCACGGCTTAAACGTCAACAACCCGGCCGCCTGCCCGTAGATGTGCTCTGGCATGCCCCCAAGATACTTCTTTGCATGTGCCATGGCCTCCAACAACTTCTTCTGCCCCATGACCTTCGCCGTCCCCGCCGACATGGCCGTCTGCTCCTCCCCCACACCCATCCCATCCGACTCCCCCTCGCCTTCCCCCCGCCGCAACAACTCGTGCCCCTCCCTCACCATCTCGATATACTGCTGATACCTCAACTGCAACTCCAAATCCCCACCCAACTTCTTCAACGCCTGCGAATTCTCCTTACACCACGCCAACGCCTTGCCCGCATCGTGCCTCTCGGCCAAGCTCTCCTGGATCTCCATGGCCGTCCCAAACGCATGCAGATCGACCAGATCCTCGATCCCCGTGCTCCTCGCCAACGCCAACGCACTCCCATTGTACCCGTTCCTTAGCAGGTAATCCACCAGCAACCGATTCAGCCGCACGCGGCTCCACCTTTCGAACCGCACGTCGCTCAGCGTGCGCATCGAGTACAGCTCGCTCAGGTGCGAGATGCGCGCTCTGCTCGCCGCGTTGTACTTCTTCTCGTCGTCGTGCAGGGCCGAGAGTTTGCGCTTCAGGGTCCGCAGTTTGGCGATCATGGCGTCGATGTCCTTTACGAGTTTGTCCGGGTCCTGTTGCTGCTGCGTTTTGGCGGTTTTGAGCGCGGCGGCCAGGTCTTTTTGGAGTGAGGTCGCGGCGTGTTCGAGGTGGCGTTGGGCGGTTTTGAAGGTTTGGCGGGATTGGGCGTAGGGGAGGCGGAGGAGCGGTTGGTCCTGGGGTTTTCGAGTTAGTGAGGGGATTTCGTTTTTCTCTTCAGTACAAGATCTATGGGGACTGAACGACATGGGAGAGGGAAGAAGGTGACAGCACGGGGAAATGGTCCTTGACTACTATACATGGAATCAGAAAATAGAGCCAACGTACAAGCAGAAGATGCGCCTCCGCGTTCAGCTCTAAAGAGTCGAGCTTCGCCATTCTGCCTGTGAAGATCCCGGGCCTGTTCGCTCAGCACGTCGGCATAGGCGGTAAGGTGGGTAACAGAAGTATGCCCGCCAGCTCCCGAGCTAACCTTGCAAACGTATTGTACTGGATTATCTAGGTAGGAAGGAAGTATAGAGTCCTCTTGCGTCGAGGGGTGAGGCGGCACTATCGGAGGCATGCGCGTGAGCAGTGAGGTGTGGTGTTGGAAGCTTCTGCGGGGAATGACGGACATCCGAGAGTTGAGTCCTGGTCTGTGCGTTCACCTACATATGTTGCTCTATTTAGCTACCTACATCACATTTGTACAAGTTGAAGCGCAAGATAGGCAAGTACTGATAGTGTTCAATGGGAAATATTCATTTTAGTCGTGACCCAAGAATCTATAGACGCCTCTAGATACTCCCAATGCATTGTTTTGGCCGCATCTGCCTGCTTCCACTGTCCATGCGACGGGACTATCTCAATCCTCCCGCGGAGCTGGAAGCGCCTCTGGCGAATCTCCCGCTGAGAGAGATCCGGACGCAGCTTTTGGACCTGATAGGTCTGGGTTCCACTTTCATGTCTTCCATGCTGTAACTCCATGAAGGCGGAAAATAAAAGAGAAGCATCAAAGTCCTGCTTAGACAGCACCAGCAGACAACATCTTCTTCCGGAGGTAGTTCTTGTAATCTCCAATAGTTCCGTCCCACTTCGTCACGGTCTTGTTCTCGCAGACCATGATATCCTTGGCAATCTTATCCAAAAGCCTAAATGTCGTTAGAACCATGCTAGACCAGCTCGGAACCTGTGATGCTTACCTGAAATCGTGAGATACGACGACAACACCACCGCTGAATGCATTGATGGCATCCGCCAAGCTGTCAATAGTCGGGATATCCAAACCGTTGGTAGGCTCGTCCAGAAGCAACATGTTAGGACCCTCAATAGCCAACAGGGCAAAGACAATTCTGCTCTTCTGACCTTCGGAAAGCGTGGCCATCTTGGCAGTCTGAGCCTCGCCGCTTAGTCCATAACGGCCAAGCTGCTGTCGCCAGTACTGGTAGTCCTGGCTGGTGCTGGCATACTTGTCACGGACGAAGTCGAGGGCCGACTTGGTGAGGTCGAGCTGGTCAGCCGAGTGCTGGCTGTACATGCCCAATTTCAAGTGAGTGTGGCGAGAGACCGAGCCGGATGTGGGCGACAATTGTCCCGTGAAGATGCGGAGCAATGTGGATTTACCGACACCGTTGGGACCGACGAGGGCTGTCCGGGAGTCCATGTCGACACCGAAGTCCAGGTTCTCGTACAGGTTGTCCTCTGGCTTTCCTGAGTAGGAGAATGTAACGTTATCAAGGGACAGCACCGGGGGAGGCAGCTTCTCGACATCGGCGAAACGGAAGGTGAAGACTCTGTCGGGGATAACGGGCTGAATGAAGCCATCGGCCTCCATCTTGTCCAAGATCTTCTGCCTGGACTTGGCCTGTCGCACCAGGTTGGCGTAGGTACCAGCTGATGCGATGAACTTCTTGATGTGCTTGATCTCGTCTTGCTGCTTCTCGTACGCCTTCTGCTGGTTGGTCTCCTGCTCGGAACGCGTCTTGACGTATGAATCGTAGTTACCACCGTAGTAGAGGAGTTGCTTGTGGCGCATGTCGATCATGTTGGTACATACACCGTTGAGGAAGTCCATGGAGTGAGAGACGAGAATGAGCGTACGATCCCACTTCTTCAGATATTCTTCCAACCACACGCATGCCTCCAAATCCAAATGAGCAGTGGGATCGTCGAGAAGGAGGAGCGAAGGCTTGACGAATAGCGCCTTGGCGAGGGCGACACGCATACGCCATCCACCGGACATGTCCTTGGTCTTCTTGGAGATGGTCTTCTTGTTGAAGCCGAGACCGGTAAGGATAAGAGACGCGCGAGTGTGGAAGGTAGAGGGGTCCATTGATTCTTGACGCTAGCAAACTGTTAGTGAATCATATGCAAAGTGGAGGTGTTGAGCGTACCTCGTAGAGTTCCTCCAGCAGCGGGCTCTCGGGGCCATCCTTCTCCAGAATATCTTCGGCGAGCTTCTCGAGACGAGCCAGCTCGTTTTCCGCCTCGCGGACAACCCACTCGAGGGCGCCAAGCTCGGACGGTGGCGCGCCTTGATTCAGCAGGTAGATGTCGATGTGCTCAGGGAAGGGAAACTCGCGCTTGTCGATGGCCTTGAGGAAGGTGGATTTGCCACAGCCGTTCTCACCCAGGAGACCGTACCGACGGCCATAGTTGACTTCGATGGTGGTGTCGTTGAAGAGCACCCGACCGTGGAAGACGAGCGAGGCGGATGTGATCTTGACGTCGCGGGACGCCTCGAGCGAGGCGAGCACACCGGTCGTGACACGATCTGAGAGACCGTGCTCGTCCTCTTGGAGAGTAAGCTTCTCGACCTCCTCGTTCAGCTCGAGGTTCTCGTCGCCGTTGACAGAGGAAGCCTTGGAGGCGTTCTTGGAGCCAGCGCGGGAAGAGAGCTTGGAGGCAGCCGTCTTCTTGGGCTCCTTGCCCTCAGCGGCACGCTTGGCCTGACGGGCGGCTTTGGATGCGGATACCATGGTGGGTGATAGGAAAAATCCGGTCGAGTCCGGGAGGGTGGGATGGAGGAGTGAGTGATGGCGAGAGAAATTTACGGTCAGATTTGTAGGTTGCCCCGCAGCCGCTTATCGATACGGCGTGCCTTGGAAACCGATGAAAGGGAAAACTACAATGCGCGGGGTATCTCTGAAACAAGGAAAAGAAAAATGGCAGATAGGATTGTGTGTATAAGGGGAGGTTGAAGGTACAGGTAGCCTACTGTAGAAACGAGCTGGGCAACTGTACTTATAGGTAATGGTTTCGCCGGTTGCTCTCTTTGGATTTTTCTTCTCTGCGACGGTTGTGGCGACGCCCAGCCATGGAGGGGCTGTGGCCAATCATCATGGGACATTACGCTATACCAAATTCGGACCGTGGATATGGGGAAAGCTCAAGCACCGGTCACGCTAGGAGAGAGACGCCGAATAGGTGTACGGACACGGGGTACAGCGGCGACAGCTACCAAGACTATGCCTCGATTCCACGAGCCGAACCGCTTGGAGAGGTAGGTTTTGCCTTATGTTTGTGCTGGCGTTACAGTCTATCCGGATATCGATGCTGGCATGTGCAATCAAGGTCACTGGTTTGCCTGCGTTAGTCTTATACAGACACACCAGAGCCATCACTGCTCGTCGCCCCATCCTCCTTCTTCCTCCCATTGGCGCTGTTCGCCGACTCTATCTTCTCCTTCTCCACTTCATGTCTCTCCCTCAACCGGTCCCTCAAGTGCTCCAGCACCCTCACCTCGTCCTCCTTCAACGCAAAATCTTCCGGTAAATGCACACTGAACGCCGTAACTTTAATCTCCCGGCCGTACATGCTCTCCTCGATACAGGGCGGAACATCTTCTCCTCCTTGCATCACCCAGTTCTCCACCCCACGCTGGCTCTCATGAGCCGCCGCATCCCCCTTTCTCTTGCGAATCTCTCGAAGCAGACGCAGATCTTCAGGCGTCCACCAGTAGACGGGAAATTGTCTCTGGATATTGTTGATCACCAGGGAAACCAGCAACATGAGAACCGTTCCCAGTGTGACGAGTCCCACAAAAGCCCAGCCCATAGCTATGATGACCGGATCCGTGGCGGCGAGAACGGCAGACGCACCGCCAGGTGGATGCACGGTGCCGGTGAGGAGCATGACGGCGGATGCCGCACCACAGGATACCGCTCCGGCAATCCACCTTATCTTCTCAAAATCCGAGTGGAGCAGGAATAGCTTCGTGATGCCGACGCCGACGATGGCGGAGAGGCAGTGGCCGAGGGCCGCGTTTCGCGGCTGGCCTAGTGGTGAGCGGATCGCATTGTATTCTAGGATTGCGGAGGCGCCCTGTGCAAGGTTAGTTTGATGACATCTCTTGACATAGGCGAGGTTAGTCTAAGATGAGCAAAAAAAGACATACAAATGAGGCGATTATCACAGGAGGATGCGTCTTCTGTATCAGCTCGGAATGTTTGAATACCGCCACAATGACGGCGAGCCCGCAAAAGGCTCCAAGAGCGGACCAGAATGCACATAGGACATTCCCGAGGTCATCGCTCTGCTCTCTCCGGTATCCCAGAAACCGGGACACAAGAGGGTGGAACCGGTAGAGCGGCGAAGGGGGGATGAAACGGTTCAGATAGTAGTCGATGTCCAGGTGCCACGTTCTGGCTTTTCTGTACAGACGGTTCATGATGTGTACGAGGACGAGAGACAGAGACGCCGCATAACTCGGGAAGGACGAAAGAAACCACCCGAAGAGCGACTCAAGAATCGAAAGGGAGATACAGGCGGGCTTTCGCGCTTGAGGAAGTGATGGGTGTGAATGCGATGAGCGATACCGCCAACCTCACCAATCTGATAAAATCATTCCAGAAAGTACCACCTGCGCGTGGCAGTGTCCCGGTACTATGTATACATGGAAGAATCGCATCTCGAATCTGGGGGTGTGGTAACCGCGGTATGGCGATCGAGCAACGGACCGCGATGGCCCAGCGCTGAGGTGACGTCTGGCGAGTGAGAGCGTTTTCTTTATGTAACGGCAAACTCCTAGAGGGAGCGCAAGAAAGGCGATCTCCTCGGGCCCGCGGACCCGGTCCATTATATAATCCGGGGCAGCCCATCAACTGCCAATATAAAGTACTGCGGTATTACTGTGTACTACTTGTACATACATGTACAGTATGTATACCAGCACTGAAGACTTTGCAGACAGAGAGCTTTCTCCAAACGTCTGCGGCGATGGCTCTTTACCAGGTTGGCTGCCGATGCTGTTGATCGATCGGCGCAAAGTGATTCATGGCCGCGCGCAGTGCACGAGGTTTGTTCTCTCTCAACGAGCTGGCGCGATAATTGGCAGAATGTCGTAACGCGGTGCACTCGCGCAAGAGAGGCTCGGATCGCAATCCCGTTACTGTCTTGCATATTCGCGACTATGAATTCCGGCAATGAACTTGGCGCTTTGTAGTAGTGCCATATCAGCGAGTAGGGCAAATAGAGAACAGCAAATATGCTGTCGATATGGCTTTTTCGCCCTGCGCAACGGTTCCCCTGTGCAAACCTACTCTGAGCGTAAGAGAAGCGCTCATACGTTCCATCGACGGCTCAGGCTAGCTGCAAGCAATGGTGCTTTGTTTCATGTTCTTGGGCTCCGCGGAATTCCATTTTGCACCTCAAATGAACAGACAGACGAACTCACGTTTATTACTTCTAACTCAAACTCCTGGAATTTTAAGAAATCATTTCGACACGATGTACAAGTGAGGTTGGAATAAGAGGACCGAGCCTCGCCACAAGCTCAAAGCTAGCCCGAATGCAGGTCTAGCTGTGGCTTGCCCTCCAAAAATCCACCTGGGCACCCCCACCAGCAGACCCCCAACATCAACTTCGCCATCCGGCATCCCAACACCATAGAAATCCAAAATGGCGACCGTAACTCTCACTGAGACGCGGCCAAAGCATAGCAGGATACCCAAAAATGTCAAGCTGCCTCCCGAGAATGAGCGGTACATGCGGGCATGTGCCGACATTGCCTCCGCGCTCATCCAAGACTATGAGTCTCAGGCGGATGGCTCCAAGCCGAAGAAAGATTTGAATCTAAATGCTCTGAGAGGCCAAATAGCAAAGAAACACTATCTAAAGAGCCAACCGCCACTCACGGCCATTATCGCAGCAGTGCCGGAGCATTACAAGAAATATATCCTACCGAAACTAATCGCCAAGCCTATAAGTACGTCAATGTCTTGAAATTATGAAGAATGAAGAAGAGCTGTAGAAAAGCAGAAATACTGATAATCGAAATAGGAACATCTTCTGGTATTGCCGTTGTGGCGGTAATGTGTAAACCGCACCGCTGCCCTCACATCTCCTACACCGGAAACATCTGCGTTTACTGCCCAGGAGGACCCGACTCAGACTTCGAATACTCAACCCAATCCTACACAGGCTATGAACCCACATCCATGCGTGCCATCCGGGCACGGTACGACCCCTATGAGCAAGCCCGTGGACGTGTCGACCAAATCAAATCCCTCGGTCACAGCGTCGACAAGGTCGAGTACATCATCATGGGCGGCACCTTCATGTCCCTCCCCGAATCCTACCGGGACGAATTCATCTCTCAACTGCACAACGCGCTCTCCGGCTACCAAACCAAGGACGTCGACGAAGCCGTCGCCGCTGGCGAAATGTCCAACATCAAGTGCGTCGGCATCACCATCGAAACGCGCCCAGACTACTGTCTAGACCAACACCTCTCCTCCATGCTCCGCTACGGCTGTACGCGCCTGGAAATCGGCGTGCAATCCCTCTACGAGGACGTCGCGCGCGACACCAACCGCGGCCACACGGTCGCCGCCGTGGCCAAAACCTTCTGCCTCGCCAAAGACGCCGGCTTCAAGGTGGTCTCGCACATGATGCCGGACCTGCCCAACGTGGGCATGGAGCGCGACCTGGACCAATTCGTCGAGTACTTCGCCAACCCGGACTTCCGCACCGACGGCCTGAAAATCTACCCGACGCTCGTCATCCGCGGCACGGGGCTCTACGAGCTCTGGCGCACGGGTCGCTACAAGAATTACACGCCCAACGCCCTCATCGACCTCGTCGCCCGCATCCTCGCCCTCGTGCCCCCCTGGACCCGCATCTACCGCGTCCAGCGCGACATCCCCATGCCCCTTGTCACCTCGGGCGTCGAGAACGGCAACCTGCGCGAGCTCGCCCTCGCGCGCATGAAGGACTTTGGCACCACGTGCCGCGACGTGCGCACGCGCGAGGTCGGCATCAACGAGGTCAAGCACAAGATCCGCCCGGACCAGGTCGAGCTCGTGCGCCGCGACTATACAGCCAACGGCGGCTGGGAGACGTTCCTCGCGTACGAGGATCCCAAGCAGGATATCTTGATCGCGCTCCTAAGGCTCAGGCAGTGCAGCACCGAGCATACGTTCCGGCCCGAACTTACGGCCCAGCCCACCTCGCTGGTGCGCGAGTTGCACGTCTACGGCTCCGCGGTGCCCGTGCATGCGCGCGATCCCAAGAAGTTCCAGCATCAGGGGTACGGGACGCTGTTGATGGAGGAGGCGGAGCGGATCGCGAGGGAGGAGCATGGGAGTAGGAAGATTAGTGTCATCTCAGGTGTTGGGGTGAGGAGTTATTACGCGAAGTTGGGGTATTGGTTGGATGGACCGTACATGTCCAAGATGATTGAGCCCGAGTGGGAGAGGTGGTAGTTCAGTTGGTTGGGGGATCTGAAAAACATGTGTTGGATGATTGGGGCGATGTCGGGACGGGATAGATTTCGCAGATGAGGCGTTCGTGAGCATTGCTGGCGTTTGGGATAAAGGGACACAAGGACATCATCTCATGACAGACAAAGAACGATCAAGGCTAAACATACATAAACCGAACTATATATCCTGCGGCCCCAAGTCCGCAGTTCAAATCTACGTAACCCCGTAAGAAAGTGCCGTTGTAACGCCGTATGCCCTCCCAACCGGTGATATAACACAAATCTACCTTAGTGCGAAAGCACCAACCTTGGGCTGCGAATCCATATCGGGCGGTTGCGCCTCCAACTCCCCCATCGTCGCCCCGTACATGAGAGGGTGGACGGATCGTATAGGAGAGACTGCCTATGACAAACTTATCGCGCCGCGTCGGCTTTCTCTGTAGTGCAGGAAGGCCTGGAAACCGCAGAAGACGAAGAATCCCTACCCTAATGTAAGTAGAGGCCTCGCGAGCGTGTGTATGGGAAACATACAGTGTATATAAACACAGCACCGAAGACAGCACCTGCTACTGCTCCGCCATCTTTGGGGTCGTCTTCCGAGCCCATGACCATGTGGTGTTCCGACTGTAGGGAATGTATCAGCATGTATTCTAAAAGGCCCTCGATGTCTCAAAGTATCCAGTCTTATCGGGAGCAAGATAGGCAGGCGGGGAGGATGCGGAATGCATGATGCGGGACGTACTTTGAATAGTGAGCCTATGACGGAGAGGATTACAATGGCGAAAGCGGACACGACCACGCTGGAGAAAGGTCAGCTATGTGCTCCAATACAAAGAACAAAAGTCCAAGTACCATGTCCATGCATTCATCGCCGAAACAACTGGCTTGACCATGGCGGGCAAGTGTAATGTGAACCGGATCTTGTGGTCGGGATAGGTCGTTTGGAGGCTGGGTGCTCGTCTCCGGCTATCGGGTTCTAGTTGGTAATTCAGGTAAGGGAAAAGAAGTGTATAGGGAGTACGCGGCGCTTTGGCGAGGGTCGTAAAGCTCTGAGGAGGGAATTACCGTTGTCGTTCGTTGAGAGGTGAGGATCACAAGGCGGACGCCTTACGATGGAGTCCATGCTTGGCGTTGTCTGAATCCAGGGTGCCGGGAAATAGTCTGTGCGCACGCACGCAAGCGTCATAAGCGTTGGAACGTCAAGACAGAGCCCTATTCACCCTCAGGGGCTTCTGAGCAACAATCCTGAAATTGGCCGATTCGCAAGACTTCATGGCGATGATATAGCTTTAACCTTGTCTAGTTCTGTGTACATATAAGATTCTCCACAATACGGGGATGGCAATGTAGGACAAGGTGAGTGACACCCCTTCATTCACGGAGGACATTTCTCCAATTTATTATATATCTCCTGGTTTAAATATCCATGTAAAGGTGCATTCAAAAGACGATACAATCACTTGGCACTGTTCTTCTCAACAAGGGGATCAGAGTTAACGGTGCAAGCCCAGGATCACGTAAAACGTTGTTGCTGGCCGTGAAGGAGATTGTGCGGACGTTGTCTTTGGAAGGGCGCCGCCGCCGGTAGAGATTCGGGTTCCCGAGGTCACCTCCCGGCGACTACCTAGGTACGGGTGTATCGAGGGAGGAGCACTGTTTGACTGCTTTATGCATTGAAAGCTTTCAAATAGTGAATACCAGGAAAACCCATGTTATGCCCAATGTCTACAAACCCCAAACTAACTCCAAGGATATGAGCCAATGTATGCAAGATCAACGCGCACATAGCATAGTCCGGGTATCGACTACTTGTTACATCCCCTCTCCATAACCAATATGTATCACCTGAAACTGTACCCTTGCCCTCCAGTATAAGGAGCACTGGCTCCATCAGTAGCTCCTCTGTACTCTTCATATCCTCCCGGACTTAACGCGCTCGCGTTGTCTTCGTATCCTGGATACGGTGGCCGATCGTATCGGTCTTCGCCCCAGCTAAGCGGCCTACCAGGGTGCCGTCCGTCGTCCGTCTCCGTTGAGTGCAATAATGCGTATTCATCTTCCTCTTGCCTGCCTCCTCGCTCGGTATGTCTATCCTCATCATCCGAGTCCCCTGGGTGATCCATCTCGGTTGACCAAGCATTATCCTTGTGCGTTTCGCCCGATGCATGGTGCGGGTCGATTTGCTTGGACTCATACGGGAGAACCCCGTCTTTACGGAATTTGTGGAGATAGTAGGAGCTTATGGCTGTTGTGATGCCGAAGAAGATGCTGAGGGGGCATAGTCAGCATGGTGGCCTGGGTTTTACGGGCAGATTCCACTCACAATACCACCACACCCAGTCCGACATTTGCTCGACTGAGATTGCACTTGTCTTCCGGGCCATACTTGAAGGTTGTGCAGTTTCCCTCACCCTCCTTGATCTTTAGGTCCTTCGCCCCTTCGTTTATGCCCTTGGCATTATATGCAGCAACCGACACGAAGGCGGCAAACCATAGGAGTGTGTAGAGAGCGTCGACGGAAAGGAAGGCGTAGGCATTCGCAAAGCGGGCTGCTCGTCTCCACATTGGGACCATTACAAGGTATATGAGGGCTGGGATCGTAAGGAAACACTAGCGCAATCAAGTCAATTTCACATCTGCGCTTACAGACCCCCCAAGCACATACCAAAGCAAAGTAGTATCTTGTAGCCCCGCCTGTAGGGCCATCCTTGGTCATCACCGCAATCGCTATGCATCCTCCGACGAAGATGAACAGGATCTGGAAGACGTGTGCCACGACCTTGCACTTCTGAATATAGCTCTGCGGTATCCGCATCCTGACCCCCAATTTCGTTCCTGTGGCCAGCCGTGTGTCGGTGTCTCGGCTCCTCGCAGCGTGATTGTTTGTCTGTAAACAAGAGAGGTGACCGAGTTGGAAACTCTAGCGCTCGCTTGGCTCGTTGCGGAGCTGCGTAAGACTTTCGTAAGACGATCTGATCGCTGGCAGTGATGCAAGTTGTGAAACGAGCGTGAACAGCACAAGGGTAAAGCGACAGTGATGTTAATAATGAGTGTGAAGGATAGCAGAAGAAAACGAAATGAGGCGCAGCTTTGAGCTGAAGTTGCTGAGGGGGAGTTGTTTTCGCATCGTTCAGCCTCGTTTGGCTAGACCGCCGCCTCCGCGACGGTTTCGCACAAGGCGGAGCGCCTCCCGTCGCCTTTCATGAATCTTTTGGCCTTTGCAAACACGCACGGGTATAAATAGAATGCTGACATCTCCAGCACATGCAGGTTGCGCGTTGGCTGTCCTCGTGGCTAATGTGGCTGGTGCGTGGCTCAGCATGTGACAGGGAGCTTCACATCGGAAGAAAGTCCTGCCGCGCCGCCCCGCTGCGCCGCAACGCAAAAGCCACTTTACCTTTTCCACTCTTTTCTCTCTCCAGGCTGCAATTGCAGTTCCTCATCTATCATCGTCCATCCCGCTCGTCAATATTGCCCGTACACGCAATACGCACTAATCACAATGGCGGACGTCTTCTGGACGCTCCCGCCGGTCTCAAGGTGAGATTACCAGCCTGCTCAGAGCTCTAGCAATCTCTGATTGCTGATTCTTAGAACCATTACAGCTCTCGCCGTTACCGTCTCAGCTCTGGGCTATTCGGGCCTGATTAGTCTACGTCATTATGTCTTCTTTCCCGAGATGATCTTCACCACCAAGGTGATCCCGCAGATATGGCGGATTTTCACGGCTTTCTTAATAACGAAGCCCAAGTTTGCTATTCTGCTGGACCCATACTTCCGTACGCGCCAGGATTACACCTCACAGCTTTGCAGTAGCTGACAAGAACCTAGTATACCAGTATGGTAGCGGATTGGAGACGGAGTCAGCGCGGTTCTCCCAACCGGGGGACTTCTTCGTCTACACCATGTTTGTGGGATCTGTCATTGTGGTAAGTTCTGTTCTCTCGATAACTCTACTCTCCTTTTCCCACAACCACCTCGGATTATCTGCCCGCCCAGCCTATTATTTCTAGCTGAAGCGGTTCCTGGAACCGAGGGATATTACCCCTGCATGTCTGTCAGTCCCGTCATTCGCAAAACAAAACAGGTGCTGGTTGGCATGTGGGCATGGTGGGAACGCCAGTTGAGAAAGCATAGCGAATGCGTCCATTTCGTCATGCGGTGTTGGCTCCCTACATACTTTTCACTCAAAACTCCGTGATTTGATACCTTCCTTTTCACTGAAGGACCACTTGCTGACATGTGTCAAGGGCCTCGCAGGAATGCTCCTCGGCTCGTATACCTTCCTCCAAGCGCTGGTACTTGCCTATGCCTACACATATGCGCAGGACAATCCGACACGTCAGGTGTCATTCTTCATCATCAACTTCGATGCCAAATACCTGCCGTTCGCCATGCTTTTCTTGACCTTCATCATCGACGGGCCTGATGCAGCTATGACACAAGGCACAGGACTCCTGGCTGCCCACCTATACGACTTCCTCACGCGTATTTGGCCTACGTTTGGTGGAGGGAGGAATTACATCTTCACGCCACGAGTAGTCAAGGGCTGGTTCGGAGCCAAACCCGGTGCTGCTCAGCAGAGAGCGTACGGCACCGCCTTCCAGGGTCGCCCTGCTGACGATTCCACTGCTCGCACGACCGGACGAAGCACGTTCGGTGGTCCTGGTCGACGCCTTGGGGATTAGGTGACAGTAACTCAGTACTGAGATGTTTCTGCTATCACCATGTTATTGAGTTTCCAGCAGGCATACAGGTCAAGTGCAACACATGCTCCATGCTCATGTGTGATGTTTGTATATATGATACCAATAAGCTATTACTGTTCTCGTTCTTCAATGAATATATATACAGTATGTTTTGAACTCGTTTGCTATTCAAGCGCCATTGCCCCATTGTGGACGAGCTTTACAGTCAGATCTTACTAGACTGAGTTTTCCTTCCCCATATTCTACTGCTTACCACTTCCAGCCGGATTCCTCGGCCCATCAACAGCCCGCTCAACATGCCCTGCCAGTCCGTCTTTGCTGGCATCGAACTGCTTCCCGATCATGCCCTGGCTGGAGAAAGGGCCGCCAATCTTCTCACCGATTTGGCCGATTGTGCCCTCGGGGTTGAAGTGTTTGCCGATGGCGCCTTCGGAGGAGATTATGGAGGGGTTCTACAAGGAATATTAGTGCCCATTCGGGAGTGTAGAGTGGTAGGAAGGGAAAGTATCTACCTCCTGTGGAATGGGATTCGTGCTCTTCATCTCGCCCATTTTATTGGCGGCGTCGGTGACCGGGTTGCCACTGCTGTTGCTGCCGGTGCTGCTGGTGTTTTGCTTGTTGTTGAACATGGCTGTATATATTGTGGATCTGAGTCTCTTGTAGGGAATTCGAGCGGTGTGTGGGTCTAGAGTCCTTTGGGGTTCTTTAATAGCAAGACTTCTGGGAGCGGATTTGGAGCTGTTACAGAGTGGCTCGAAAAGAAAAAAGGGTATATATATGCTTTGTGCCCGTACGAATACTCGGTGAAGCGTTCCCATTGGCTCATTGGAGGTATCCGTCATGGGGGCAATGATGGATGATGCAAGTGGCGTTGTGATTCGTTCAAAGCATCATGGCCGTTGCGTTGATGTCACTGCTATGTATTGTGCTATTCTAGGATAACCACGCCTAATTGGAGCGGTTAGAGGGTCGTTGGAGCTTGCCTCGACGGGTTGAAGGAGAAGTGTGGCGCCGGACGCATGTGGGTGAAATGCGATGTAGCGGGGAGTTGAATTGGGAGCGTCATAGTAACAAGTACCAGCCTAGTCGTTCTATGGCCCAAGTCCTTCGATGGGTATTGTTCGATTGTTAGATGTTTTAGGGATGCTACCTACTCACAATGCCAGACTCATTTCGAAGAGCTCGAGTGAGAAGAAGAGCTCGAGTGAAAGGTTACATGTCAAAGAACTCCAAGAAAAAAAAAAGGTAACAAACGAAATCCTTAGCCCCAATGCAGAATAACAGGGAGAAAAGAATACTTCACCCACAGCCCGAAATACGCTGAGAAAGACCTGGCTTGACGAAGGTCCAGCAACGTTCACAGCACTTCCTCCTGCAAGATTTAAGTTACAGATCATGAGGAACAATATGTCTCCCATCCTCCAAATCCCCCATCCCCTCTCCCTCTCCCTCCACCACAATTTCCCCAAAACAAATACCCACCACTACAACCCCGGCCGGCACCCCCCACTCCCTCTCTCCCGGTCTGAATAGACCGACTAGGTCGGAGGTCTCGACGTCAAGGGGATCAGAGATGGGGTTGCAGACTAGTCCCAACATGCATGTGAATGTACAGTTAAGTTACTCATGCTCGCAGATAGCACCACCGTACGATATACGCAGTGACAATGTTCCTTACACTTTCCAAACTCGAAGATCATAAGTAGCATGCACAAAGTAGCCACCCCATTCTCTCCCCCTCCTCCACCTCCACCATATCCCTGCGCACCCTCACTCATCTTCCCTTATTCCAAATGCCCATTACTTCCTCATCCCCCCAGGCTCCGGAGACTCCATCGGAGAATGTCTCGGAGTATGCCTGGGACTCTCAAACGGACTCACGACAAACCACCCGCCGTCCGGTAACTTGTATTGAGGCACTGAAGCCTTGGAGCCCTGCGATCCGTGGGGATACTCGTGCGCCGCCTCCGTGGATGCCAATACGTGCTCCTTGCCGTGTTGTTGTTTCTTTCCCTGTATGGGAAGTTTCTGGGCGTTGGATGCGGTGCCCTGCGAGGGAGTCGACTTGGGTTTCGAGGGGTGCTTGTGTTGTTTGTGGTGTTCCATCCTTGCTGTAATCCTATCCTGAGATCTTCCAAAGGACCCCGTGTATTTGGGTGTTCAGGTGGAGTTGGTGGAAGGCTGGGAGATGATTGATTAAAACAATAGATTCGAGTAAGTCCGTCACTCGAGTATGTGCTTGCAGAGTTGAAGGTTAGGGTAAAGGATGAGACGGAGGGCGAAAAGCGAGGAGACTGAGCATGTTCGAGGGATCATGAGGTTTGTTGATGTCATGAAAGTGGGAGGGGATTTACGCGTTTCTAAGCACCAATAGAAGAGCTTGAACCTAAAAAGGACCGCAAACGCAGAAGCCTGTCTCATTGGATAGGGTACATCAACCTTGATTGCTGCTTGGTTGAAGCCTACGGGATGAACAGATACGGTAGTGTACTACCTCGGGATCAACAATGTTGTGCTGTCCTTGATTCGTTTACCTCCTCCTTCCTGTCTTCACCTTAGGGAAGTTGAGCGGAATCTTAAGCGTCGCCATCCAGTGCATGGTAGCCTCGGCCTTTGAGATCTTCAACTTCTCACGTTCGGCTTCGGTCGGCTTTGTTACTTTGCATCCGATTTCGTGGAAGTATTGTTTGATTCTATGTCACTGTTACTTCGCCATATCCTACAAGTCTGGGGTGGGAAGCGTACTCATTATTCTCCAGCTTCAAGTCCTCGCGAAGGTCATTGACGTCGACTCGGAAGTTGTCAACTATGAGCGCGGCTGCGCATATATGTGTCGCGAGGTTGTCGATGTGCCAACGGGTCAAATCATTGTTTCTGCCTGCTTTAGAACATGGCAAGCGTGAGGACCATGGGCTACTCACTCTGAAGCGAACTTCCTCCGAATAGCATCAACAACCGAGGGCGGAACATTCTCTCCCATCTCCCGAAGCAGTTTTTCCTTGTGAGGGATCAGCTTCGGTCCTTTGCCCTTCGCCTTCAAGGCGGCATTGAAATCAACGCAGAGCAGTATGAATCGCAACACTTTCAGCTTCTGCAGCTCCTTTGTTTTAGCAAGCTTGACTATTCGCTTCGCAACATATCGGCTGTGCACATTGATAGCCGCGCCGGCGTCGACAGCATCAACCCAGTCCTTGATGGGTATAATGGTCATTAGGTCCTTGCCGACGAGAGTCTCGACGGGATAAACGTCTGAAGGATACTCGGCAGCGAGGTTCGCTTGGGGTCGTGGCTTGGATGAGTCAACGGCGGCGGCGATATCTTCTCTTGTTGGCATGGCAGCGGTGGTGGTCGACATGCCCTGCAACACTGCAGAAGCAACATTCTCGTCTCTTCCACCCATATCAGGTCCCTGGGCTCGGCCACTCGTGATCGCATTCTCCGCCATCTCTTGAATTGCCTTGCGCGACTTCTTGGAACCAAATTCGGCCGCAAGAGCATGCCTTTTCGCAGTCATTGTCGCCCTCACCGCAGCCTCCTTCTCCCTTTGCGCCCGCAGCTCATCGGTTTCGCTCCTCAGCGTGCTCCGCACTGTCACTTTGCGCACCGGGATAACCTGAAGCTTGCCTGTCGCAGGATCAAACACGCCAATATAGTTATCTAGCAGGCTCTCTGTGCTCCCATCCTCCTCCTCTCGCGCCGTATAATCTAAGCGTGGGTGTTCGGAGGTTTGGAGCAGCAATTCGGAGACCTCGCCAACTTTTGGAAGTATCCTGCTAGTTTTGTACGCGTTGAAGGCGATTGTGCGAGGAAAGGAAAGTCCCGGCGTCGCAGCTGCAGTCCAGTTAGCTCTAGTCGCTCAAATCACATCTCCAAGGCATGAGACTGCGGCGCACCTAGGACCGGGCCTACAACGCCCTTGTTCTCAACATGCTGAACCTTGACTGTGTTGGGACCTTGTGAGACAGCCGGCTTTTTTGCTGGTCGCTCCGCAGCGTCGTCATGCCGCTTTCTCTTCTTCTCTCCCATCTTGTGTTGTGCCAATTGCTGTGTTGGTGGTTGTATCGTGGTGTCGGGCTTCATAAAACCTCTAGAAATTTTGGCTCAGCCACATGTGGCTGGTGCGACCCGTGATGGACAATCTCCAGTTCCATTCCCTTTTCTCACCTTCACGATATTGTTGCTTGACACAGCAATACTTTTCTGCACATTCCCGCTTGGCCATACATTGGATGCACATATCTTTGAAATAATGTCAGCCACCTCTCGTTTGCATTGGTAATGGAAGACTTGAAAGGGTAGGTGGATGATGGCACTTGGAGGATCGTCAAGATTGCCATCCATTGCTCCTACTACACGGCAGTCGTAGGAACGCCTGCCTCGAAACTGTGACAGTGTTTTCGCAATTGAGGAATAGGCAACTGCAGCCCCGTGCTCTTGCCAACGTGCAACCTTGGAAATGACGTACACTATAAAATAACACTACTGTGGCGGACACGTCTGGACCTGAAGGTCTTCACTCATCTCCACTTACCGCATGTTCGGCAGCATGGAGAACGACACATCCCCCTTCGTGCAGCGCTTGCGCGCCAGTATCACCAACATCAGCAAAAGGATTGTGGAACGGGCCCTGCCGCAGAAAGCGCGAAAAGTACTTCAAGATTTTGCAGTCGCGAGACCATATCTAGCCGTAAGAGAAGCAAAATCTCATCAAACGCCATCATACTGACATGCCACCCTCAGACATTCATCGGAATCCAGATTCTTCTCGGTGCACTCCCACTGTTACTGTTGCTGGCCTTGCTATTGGCACCCGTTTTCATATCACTGTCAGTAGTGCTGATAGCAATCGGCTCGGCAATCATGTTGTTTACAATTGTCAGCGTTGGAGCAGGTCTGTTTCTCGTTCTTCCACTATTGGTCGCCTTTTGGTTCCTGGTCACGGTTTCGCTTGTCTTTCTCCTATCCATCTTCTTTATCTGGCAACGGATCGAAGGGCGCTCCCTATCACGATTGACGATGGACGACATGACGCAAGTCATTCCAGGACTTCCAGCGTTGACGCCCGGGGAGAATACGGAACCTGAATGGGAAGGCGACAGCGATCCAGCGTCTGTTGCACTGCCGAGCCCATTCCAAACCACACCTCCAGATCCAAGCCCAAATCCGACCACGAACCCCACGGAAAACCCTACCATGGACACTACAATGGAAAGGGGAAGAGGACGGACGAGATATTCTGACGCAGTCAAGAGGGGCTTGAACACGAACCTCCCAAGGAGTGGGGAGTTTGTAGAGGCGACAGAGCTTGCAAAGACTGAAGGTGCCCCCGAGACTGAAGGTCCTGGTGCAGTTGCCGAAGCACTCGCTGGAGATGCTGGTGGCTCTTCGCCGGAGAGATCCACGTTCGTCGTTGAGGGCACAAAAACCTCTGAGGATTTGACAGCCTTCGAGGGCTCTTAAACGCACACGTCGTATCAGGGGATTTTATGGCCGCAAGACAGTGACGAACCTTTCTGTTTCACTCGATGACGATGCAGAAGTTATTCATTCCTGGGCCATCTCGTATGAGCTTCTTTTGGGCCCTTTTGTTGTCACTCTTCCCGGTCCAGGAGAACAGGTAGTGACATAATTTCAGTGTATTCTTCTTTTCCTCGAGAATGAAGCCAAGATTCCTCATCATTCGTAGTAATGCGTCTTCGTCCAGGTATCGAGAATTTGCAACACACGGAAGCGGAAGAACGAGGAACAATGCAGGGAGCATGGAGCTTCGTCTGTTATGCGGCTGTCGCAGAAAACTGCCTATCCGTTTAAGCATCTCGCCCCGCCCAACTGGCTCAGGAACATAGTTTAAGACCAGGGAAAGGGAGATGATATCGAACTTGTCGTCGTCCGATGCTGGCAGAGGCCGTTCCATGAAGTCTTGTTGCTGGATGCCCGGGCCTTGACTATTCAAGTCGATCCTTTTGACATGGATAGTCCGGGGATACTTTGAAATCTCATTCTCGGTAGACAGCGCGCCAACCTCCAACAGACGATACGGTGCAGAGGATGCATCCTCCTTCGCCCCAATGATCTCCGCCTTCTTCAACCACTCCACCAATACCTTGCTTGAATCCCCTCCTCGACTCTTTGATTGACCCAGTTTGCTCGCTGCTTGGTAAACTTTCAGTCCGCCATTTTTCTCAATTTTTGTATTAATTTCATCGGCCAATCTTATGTCTCCGCTTCTCAAGGCAGCGGCAAGTTCCTTTTGAAGGCGGTGATGAGTGCGAATAATGGTCCTGGTTTGCTTTGAGCTCATGTGCTCCTTTTCACGCTTTGCGGCCGGAGGCCTTCCATGCGCAAGCCTCTTCGGACGCCTTTTAATGGCCATTTTCCAATGGTTTTGCTGGAATTCCCTTCACCTCTTGTAGTTCGAATGGCTGATGCCGAGCCCTGGAGACTTTCGAAGTCGCAGTTACGCTAAACCATGTTGGGAGCGCTAAGCGAGCGCACCGAAATTCTGAGCGACGCAACTCCAACCTCCAATCTTTCAACCGCGACATTCGGCTCTTCATTCACGACCCGATAACGACAACGCCATGCCTCCCAAAGCCGGAACCAAGGGTACGTTCGATTCAGCGGGACAAGTTCGAAGCGCTGGAACAGTTGAGACCGATGAGTGCCGACGACGACCGCCTCCACAGCTCAACATCACCATCGCAAGCGATCAGATCTCGCTCCCCATATTGGGTTTCTGCATTCAATGGCTAACATCACCGCAGGCGCAAAGCCCAAGCCCCAGAAGCAGGCCAATGCCGCCGCCAAGGCAGTCCTGAAGGGCGTACGTGCCATTCCCTGAGAACCGTGCCAGAACCCCATCTCTGGCCGCTATCACTCTCTCAATGAATATTGATTAACGAGAATGATAGACGTATGCGGGCAAAGTCAGGAAGGAGCGCAAGTCGACGACGTTCCGTCGCCCCAAGACTCTGCAGCTCTCGTGAGTGTTCTTCTGAGACCGTCGAAGTATATCCCATGATGCTGACTCTCGATAGCCGCGCCCCCAAGTACCCCCGCGTCTCCATCCCCAAGCAGCCCCGCCTCGACGCCGGCAAGATCCTCATCCATCCGCTCAACACCGAGTCCGCCATGAAGAAGATTGAGGAGAACAACACCCTCGTCTTCATCGTCGACACCAAGGCCAACAAGCGCCAGATCAAGCAGGCCCTGAAGAAGCAGTACGACGTCGACACCGTCAAGATCAACACCCTGATCCGCCCCGACGGCACCAAGAAGGCGTTCGCGCGGTTGACTGCTGACGTTGATGCGCTCGACATTGCCGCCACCAAGCTCAACATTGTCTAAGTGTGCGTGGGCACAGCGTTTAATTGCATGGGGTACTTGGGACTACTGGGACAAAATCCGGTTATGCATGGCGTTTATCAATGGGCATATAGTCATGATGGGAATCCAAAAATCACGACCAGTGCCCTACTCATTTCGAATTCTGGGGTTGTGATGTGAACATGATCTGCATTGTTCTGAATCCGTCCCCGTTCCGACTGTGTCTGTTCACACTTGTGTGGCGTGCCGAAGTTTGACTGTTTCTACCGCGAAATCATTCAACTGATGGCCCATTGTATTCAAACTCTGAAAATATACAGTACCCTCGTGGTATGGTCTCCGATGACCGTGATATCCAAAGAGCCCTTTTATTTGCTTGACAGCCAATACCGTCCCGTCCCGTCCCGTCTCGTCCCGGATCCTGTATCGTACATTTCCGCTTCCAAAGCCCATCCCATCTCGCATATGCAGATTGTTATGTTTCCTCCATCCTGCATATACACGCTACAGTACCATCATCCTCCCTCGATCCCACTCTTACACTGCGCCCAGTTTCTTCTCCCTCGCTTCCCTCAATCACCACCGTCGACCTCTTTCGTATATGATCATACATCCATCTAACCCCTCAACCGCTCCAACTCCCTCAGCACGACGAGATTGGCGTCCAGGAACCGATCGACGCACTGCCGCATGCAGGGCTCCTCGTACTTTGCATCGAGGGCGCCCTTCTTCACGGCTCCGGAGGGGATGCACTTGCGGAAGCAGATGTCGGTTAGGGAGTGGATTGCTAGAACATAGTTTGTCAGTCAATTTGTGTTTTGGTACTGGGGAAGAGGAGGGTGAGGGGAGAGGAAGGGGGAGATGAGGGCAGAAAAGAGGATGAGGGAGAGAGGGGGACGTACACGACTGGATTCTCGCCTTTTGGCTCTCGTTCGTGAGGAATTGGTGAAGTTCCTGCTTGTCCTTGTCGCTCAGCTTGCTGCTGTCGAAATTGGAGAGGCCTTGGTTGCTGCTGGTGAGGGAGTCCATGGTGCTTCTCTTCGCTTCTCTTGGTAGTTTTTTTGGTTCGGTTTTTTGGTTTTCTCCGGGGGTTATGCGATAGTCGTGCTGGGATTATAAGGGAATGGGCGTGGGTAGGTGGGTGGATTGTATGGGTTGATGCGTGGGTGAATACTGTTCTAAGGATGGAGGTGGTGGTAGATATGATGAGATGTTGAGAGCTGGGACCGAGGCGTGCAGATTTCCCAAAGATGTCGTCGGGTGGTTAGTCAGCAGGAAAGGGCAACGCCGCTCCAAAACTTCTGCTCACAATTATTTGATACATTACCTTCAGACTGATTCAAAGATTTAGCTAATCACATACGTATGAACTGTATGCACGAACAACGCGCTTAGGGTTTTGCATTCGCTACATCTCCATCCACACCCCCAATCTCCAACCTAACCCTCCCTCACGCTTCCTTAAGCAACTCCCCATTCGCCCTCAACATCAACCACTAGCATTACTCCTCCAACTCCCCAACCACCTCCAACCCCTACACATGCCATCCAACTCCCTCAACGCCCTATCCACCGGCCCCTCCTCTTCCCCCTTCCCCCCTCCCTCCAGCCCTGCACCCTCCTCCCCACCCCTCGTCCTCCTCCTCCGCCCCCAACACTCGACAAAAAACACATAATTCCACCTCCCCTCGCCGCTGGGCCGCGTATTGATACTCGTCAGGTTGATGGCGTGGCGCTCGAAGACGGCGAGGCACTGGGCCAGGCTGCCCGGGTGGTGGTGTTCGATGGTGAAGGATACGAGGGTTTTCCAGTCTTTGTCATCGTCGTCGTCCTCTTCTTCTTGTGTTTGACTCTGGGTCTGGGGCTGAGTCGGGATTTGAGACGAAGTGGAGGCAGAGTAGGGTGAGGAAGCGGGGAGTGAAGCCGGCGCATCTCTTCTTCTAAGCACGAAGAACCGCGTTTCATTCCCCTCGTCGTCCTGGATGTCTTGCCGCAGGATGGGAAGACCAAAGGTCTGCGCGGCGAGCGCGTTACATATAGCCGCAGAGCAACGACTGGGGTCGTGGGCGACGAGCTCGGCTGCGCGCGACGTCGACGACGTGTCGATGCGGTCTATAGTCTCAGAGGTCGAGGAGGACGACAGCAGGGAGAGGAAACGGGTGCATTGCGTCCAGACCTGGGGGTGCGTGTAGAGTGTCGTTATGTGCGCTAGGTCCGAGAGGTCTGCTGGATTGTGCTGTTTCCTCTCTTCGTTCACATTCTCGGTTCTCTCGGTAGTAGTAGCTGGGTTGGGGTGGCCGACTAGACAGTGTCTCACGCGCACGTAGCCCTCTCCGCAGACTACCACATCCGGATTCCTGCGCTCCCGATCTGCGAATAGGTCCAGGGTGAAGACGACGGAGCCGTTGGTGCTGTTCTCGAAGGGCACGATGCCGTAGTTCACGGCGCCGGATTGGACGGCGGAGAAGACAGAGGGGATCGTTGGGACTGGCTTGTGGACTATGGTGGGGGAAGGGGGGAAGAGGGAGAGAGCGGCCTAGGAGGGATGTTAGATATTTTGGTGATAGACGGATAGTGTATTATGGGGTGGGGGACAGAAGGGGGACGGAAAGGACTTGGGAGGGGGGAATAAAGGGAGATCATGTGCGTAGGGAGAATATAAAGAGTTGCCGCTGTTCCAAGGATGTGACAGCTTAACCCCCAGGCACTTCTAATTGAGCGCAACGGAAAGTAGTAGAAGAAACACATCTACCAGGCCAACACACCAACCGTACCAAAAACAGAAGGCAAAGAAGAACCAGACACCCCAAACCCCACAGGAACTCCCAAATAACCAACTGAAGCACCTCCCCCAAGAAGGACAAAGCAAGCAAACCGTCACGCACATACCTGATGCGAATACGTCGCCCTGGGCCCCAAATACGCAACCACCACCTCCCCTTCTTTGTCCGGCCCCCTTCGCGGATCCCCATCTCCTTCAGTCATATCTCTTCCTCTCGTCCTGTTCACTCCAGTTCACTCCTGGGCTGAGCTCTTTTCTCTTCTCCTCACTGCCTTCCCCAATTCTCTCCTGTTTGAAGCTTGGAAGGGTATTCACCAACCGTGAGAAAATATCCTCAAGGCCGCCGGCATGTAGTATGCGTGGAATCTCAATACCCCCCTGTCTTCGCGGATTGTGACGCAGGGACGAGACCATGTATAATTCAGAAATGTAAATATCTAGTGCGGGGAAAACTACTGTATTGATCGCCTAATTGCGGCTAGTGGAAATTTAGGTAGCTAATTGAGAGGGGGCGTATGCGGTGAGTAGAGGTACGATCACCAGTGAGGACTTTAAATGGTGCTTAAGTTTTTCTTTTTTTCTAGATTACCACCAGGTTGCCGTAAGGCCATGGTGATCCCGAGATGGACGCATCACCCCACTCACCGCATCACTCACCGCATCACATGGCATATATGATTTGGCAAACAAACCGAAATCCATTCATCAGCTCAAGCTAAACGAGTGGCCAGCTGTAGATACACAGAGACACAATTTGGGATCCAAATTCCCCCTATTCTGCCGGGGAGTCTTGGACGAACATGATGCATAAGCCGACGGTCAACTGCCCAGTCCATTCATTTCATTCCAAACCATTCCATTTCTCGTTCCTATGACCTGGAGGGATGGGAAGGTCGGCTCGGGAACAGCGTACTGCAATCCGGTTCCTCTCCTGCAGGGCGAGAGAAGGTCGTGGTACGAATGGCGGTCGTCGGCCTGCACATACATCAGTGGACGCGCAACCAGAATATGCAAGAGATACCAACCTTGCAAACTACCCATCCGCACCTCCTTTCGCAGCTTACAACCTGGAGAGACGAGATATCCTCGGCGCGGATCGCTCGGCCTCGTCGATGCTCTCCGCGGACGCGTCCAAGGTTCCACTGAAGCGGGCACCTGGCATCCCCGGGCTCGACGCGTGGAGTGGGGCGTGTGCCTCGCTGTGGGCGAGGGCGCCTAACCGTCAGTCATCGTAGAATTCATCTTCGTCGTCATACTCGGCGAGTTGTTCAAAGTTGACCTTGTAGCGAAGGATGGCGCCGATGCCACCAAAGCCCTTGACGAACTGGTTGCCCTCGGAGGAGCGGTCCGAGACGAACTCGAGCGTGGCACCAAAGTCGCGGTACTTCTCCGCAAGCCATTCCAAGAAGGGCATCTGCTCCACCACTTCCATCTCCTGGCCCGTCTCCTTGTCCATGAACATGGAGCGATCCTGCTCCTGGGCCTTGGTGGTGTGGAGGACAATCTCGGCACCCTCGGAGTTCTTGAGGGTCCAACGCGTGATCTCCAGGTTCTCGTAGACAATGAGCGTCTCGGCGGCACCCAACTCAAGAGCCTTCAAGGTATCGTCAATACCGTAGCAGACCTTGCCAGAGTCTTGGGAGATCTCGTCAAAGTAGCTGTTGATGAGCTTCTTCTCCTGGATGAATTTGACATTGCTGAGGGTTTCGGCAGCCAGCTCGATGGCCTGGTTGAAGCCGTTCTCGCCACCGTACGACACGTCGACGACCTTGATGACCTTGCTCTGCAGACGCTGGTCGAACATGTCCGACTGGTTGAGGTCGTTCTTGAAATCGGCGGAACCAGCCAGAATCAAACCGGCCACGTTGACCTTGTCATTGGTGATGAAGTTCTGCACGGCCAACTCGGCGACTTTGCGAACGTAGTTGTGGCGCTTCTCTTCACGGAGACGGGCGAAACGCAGAGCGGACTGACCACCACGGCCGTGCTTCTTGGGAAGGTCGACGGAGAATCTGAAACGTCTTAGTGATTGCGAAGGGGGCTACAGATAGGAGCAACACGCACTTTTGAATCACGTCGCGCGTGTTGCCAGACAGGGTGCCGAACAAGGCACCGTTACCGTCCATGATGATGAAACCAAACTTCTGGTCCGACTCGAGCAACTCGCTCAAGGCCTCTGTGTGGAACTTGTTGTCGCAAAGGTAGAGCGAGGTGTTGATGGGCTTGAAGGGCTCGAAGTCGATGTTGATCTTGCGCTCCTTGCCTTCGGCGGTGATGATTTCACCGCAGTAGACGACGAGGCCATTGGGAGGGACTTTGGAGTACAGCTTCAAGCGCTGCTGGGTCGAGGTGATGGCGGACAGAACGGACAGACGGTTGACGCGGGATTTGATATTGGAGGCAGTGCCCTGGCATGGTCAGCTTGGGCTGAGGTGGCAGCACACAGTGAAGGACATACAAACTCATCGGCCAACATCTTGGCCGCTTGCGAGATTTGAGCCTTGGGCGCTGTCAAGAGGTCAGCCAAAGCAGAGTGGAGAGGAAAATGTCAGAGTGCATACGGATGATGAGCGAGATCATGCTTGTGCCATTGCCACGGGCGGCCTCGAGGCGCTTGATGAGCTTCTTGACCTTCCAGATCTCGATATTCTTTTCAGCATCGTTTGCCTGAGGGGCCGACATGACGGGCGGCGGGTCGCAGCGCACTCAAGAAGTACGGTGCAGTGTTGAGGTCTGCGGCGCCTGTGGAGAAAAAATTCCAGGGGATGGGGTGAGAATGAGGGAGGAAGTGTGGGTGGTGAGGAGGGGCACTTTTTCCGCAAAAAGACGGGCGCGGGGTGCGGCTGGGCAGCAGGCGCGAGGCGAGCACCACGGCAATCTTTGAGGAAGGCTAGTCAAAGGAATGTAGGTTCCTGGTCGGATACAGAAATATCGTATCTCCTAGTAGACGGATGGAGAGAAAGGAAAGGAGAGGCTCCGAGTCGGTTTGCGCCTTCAAAGTTCAACCGTCGCCGCCTGAAGATGCTTGCTGGCCAAGCGTGTTGGAGAATGTTTGGGCTGTTTTTGCCAAGGCTCGCTTACTGTGCAACAAAAAGCGCAAAGGCAGGACCCAGGGCAAGAGCTTGCTTTCTTCTTTTGCTCGACTTTCCAGCATTTTCTGCAACCTTGGAAAAGCTGGGGGTGGCGAGGTGTTCGGACACCCTCATTGTTGGTACTTGTAATTGCAGAATCGTGCAGAGTTTTCTCTCTACTGCGCACACAGTACTGGATACCGTGCTGCTCCTAACTGGCATCCCTTGTAGCGCTCATGAAGGCGTGTTTGGGTGGAAATGCACCCGTAATCTTTGTATTTTTCACGTATCAAACCGTGACTAACCGTCAACTCCAGCCACAGCCTCGGAAGTGGCTGCATCTGCACATCTGCGGGATTCCCAACAACCCATGCCCTGCTATGATGAATGCATCAATTGATGCGGGGACCTTTCCAGCATGCGTCGTGATGCCTTGCTATCTTCTTCCTTTCCCCCCTTATCTCCAGTCCACGGATGCCGAGTGTCGGTATATAAGTATAAAATGCAGGAACTGCCGCCCCTCTCCGACATGGCCCTCCAACTACACTTCCAAAGGTTGCTCCCCACCGAACGCTCGCTATCGTCATAGTTCCCGCGCTTGGGCGAGCCTAGACTAAATCAGATTCGACCCTGCGACTATCTTCAACAATCCTGTCCCCGGCTGGCGCCGGCTCTTCCTCCGCTCCCTCTCGGTTGCTTTTCTCTTCCACTTCTCAACTTGGTCAAACTGCTGTCTTTGGCAGACTGGCAGCCCGACCCTGTCTGTCTAGCTCTTCCCCATGGACATTAGAGGCAAGCAGCCTTCGACTTGGACCGAGTACGAAGGCGTCCATGGAGCCTCCGTCGACTCCAATGACAGTCGCGTGCAATGGCGCGAGGACGAGAGGGGGACCACTACCGGTGCGTCCCCATCTCATTCGAGAGGTCCTTTTGGAGATCTGAGCCGACGGAGGTATGTGCAAGAATCACGTCTGCTTGAGGAGCTCGCAACCTGCGCACATCTTTGCTGGAATCGACGGTTAACAGGATACCTCACAGATCTTCCATGTCGATGCGACTCCACGCTCTGGGTGACGCAGGCGGTGTCAACAGTATCAACAACTTTGCACGATCATGGCAGCGAGCTGCCGGCTTCTTCGAGATCACGCCCGTCCGACCCAATTTCCGTGTAGAATCAGAAGACGACCAACACTGGGACGAGGACGTCTCCAGAAGGAGCTCGTCCCCCGAGACCAGACGCTCCCTCCTTCGTGCCGGCCTGGACAGCGAGCGCGCTTCAGAGCAAGCCGTACATGACGAGGAGCTTCAGGCCACCGAGGAATCCCATCTTCTCCCGGCAGCGGCAGAGCAAAGACTGGGCGAGGTCAGAACAGAGAGATCGGGCAGCATATTGAGCATCGAGCCTTCGCTCTCTTCGCCGTTTGGCGGAAGCTATGGCACCTCTTATGGCAGTCTCGGTGCACGTGTCAACGAATCCTCCATGATTCATGCGGGGCGCCTCTTCACAGAGCAGCAGATGAAGGCAGCCGAGACCGAGAGGGAACCGTTGCTTGTCAAGCAGATTGAAGAGGACGGGAAGCTCATCAATGTCGTTGTTGGCCAATCTACTCTTCCCCAGACCATCTTCAACTCGGTCAACGTCCTGGTCGGAGTAGGTCTTCTAAGCTTACCCTTGGCTTTCAAGTATTCCGGCTGGATCATTGGCATGATCTTCCTCGCCTTTGCAGCGCTTGCTACAGCGTATACGGCCAAGTTGCTTGCCAAGTGTCTTGACGTGGACAGCTCCCTCATTACTTTTGCAGACCTCGCCTATGTATCCTTCGGAAACAAGGCGCGGTATGCTGTAAGCGCTCTGTTCTCTCTCGAACTCTTGGCAGCTTGCGTGGCTCTAGTGGTGCTCTTCGCAGACAGCATGGATGATCTGATTCCTGGTTGGGGCCTTCTTTTCTGGAAACTTGCGTGTGGCGTCATTCTGATACCCTTGGTTTTCCTGCCGCTTAGATTCCTATCCTTCACATCCGTATTGGGCGTCATGTGCTGCTTCGGAAGTAAGTTGTGCTCTCCAATTACCGTGTTTCCCTCACTAATCCCACCACAGTCACCATAGCCATCTTCTTCGACGGCTTCATCAAACCCGATGCCCCAGGCTCCCTCCGCCAACCCACGACCCAGTACCTCGTCCCCGCGAACTGGCTCACCGTTCCCCTCTCCTTCGGCCTCCTCATGTCTCCCTGGGGTGGCCACTCCGTCTTCCCCAACATCTACCGCGACATGCGCCACCCGTACAAATATCACAAGGCCGTTGACATTACCTACATCTTCACCTACCTCATCGACGTCGGCATGGCCTGCGCCGGCATCCTCATGTTTGGCGACGGCGTCCGCGAGGAGATCACCAGCAACATCTTCCTCACCGACGGCTACCCAGAGGCCGTCAGCGTCTTCATCGCCATCTGCATCGCCATCATCCCTCTCACCAAGATCCCTTTGAACGCCCGCCCCATCGTATCTACCATGGAAATCATCTGCGGCCTCGACAACCGCGCTCTCGCCGCTTCCTCTTCCCTAAACGGGCTCTCCGGCATGACACGCGGCATGCTCAAGTTTTCCCTTCGCCTGGTCATGATCGCGCTGTTCGTCTTCATCGCCATCATCTTCCCGTCTTTCGATCGCATCATGACGCTCCTTGGCGCTGTGGCGTGCTTCTCCATTTGCATCATCTTGCCGTTGGCGTTTCACTTGAAGCTCTTTGGGAAGGAGTTGTCTGGGACGGAGAAGATGGTGAATTGGGTGTTGATTGTGGTCAGTACGGTCATGGCGCTGACGAGCACGGCATTTGCTTTTGTCCCGAAGGACGTGTTGGGTGCGTGAGAATTTGACGGCAAGGATTGTGTGCATCGAGGTAGGGATGGCATTGTCTGAAAAAAGTCTGGTGAGTGTTGTGATTCATGACATGCTTAACAGAAGGCTCTGCGGATGGGAGTTGGATACGACTTTTGCTTCCTCATTATCTTCTCGATGGGTCGCGACGAGTTCACTATCTGCTGCATTTCCGGTGGTACTTCTTCCTCTTGCATTTGTGGGCGTGCATACAGCGTCTTTTCCTTTTCCTTTTCCTTTTCCTTTTTTTTCGTTTTCCTCTTTTCAGCTTTCTTGACGATTTATGGTCATGCGCTCTTGGGGTTGCACTCTGCGGACTACGACGTTGTATGAATGTCCACACTGGAAACACTGATCACGTCTCTTCCTTTATACATTGGATATCGTACAAATCGCCTTTTGGCCATGTGCTTTGCCGACTTCGCACATTCATCCTCTGAATCCAACCCGGCACATCTCTTCGCTCTTCCTCGTTTTCCGATCCATGACCGTCAGCAACCCAGTCACCGTTTTCTCCCCCTCCGTCTCCCGAGTATCCACTGCCCTCTGCCACTCTGACCGGAAATCACTTTACTCCCGGCTCTCTTGACCACGGGAGCGACAAACCGGACCTTTATCTGGTTCGGCACAAGCTTCCGAACTCCGACCTCCGCAAAGCGGTTCTTCTGCTTTCTCGCGGATGAAGCCTCGGCTGCGGCCGCGGCGGCGGCTGTAGTGGGATCCATGTCTTTCCAGCGTCCGTGCTGAACTTCTGTGAAGTGATATCTGATTCTTGGAGGGGCAGGAGGTGTGTCTGATTCGGAGGAGGAGGAGGAGGAGACTGATGGGCTGCCAATGGGTGCAACGGTCACACGTCCCTTGACTGCCATGCCGCCCGCTGGACCCTCTATCCAGACGTCAAACCTACCCTCTCCACGTCCCTGAGGTTCTTCCCTTGTGCGTCCGCACACGCGCAGTCGCTCGTCGCAATAGAGGGGAGCAAGATTGCCGTACTCGATGGACGTGATTGCTCGGGGTGGTCCGGGCAATGTGCGGAGACGTTTTGTCGCCAGCCGGAGCATCAGGGCGAGGGTTAAAGGACCATGCACGAGCAGGTTTCGGTGACCCTCCGTTTCGCGGGTGTATTGTTCATCGGTGTGTATGCGGTGATGGTTCAGCGTCAGGCGTGAGAACTGGGTGAGGAGTTCCTTGGTAGGGACGAGGGAGTGATAGAATTGGGCCTCCTTGGGGGCTTTTAGGTGGTTAGCATGTTTACTGGAGCCATGGTGATGATGGGCAGGTTACGATTGAGGGTTCGACTCGGGCCAGACATCTGTCCTGTCTTTCCCGTGTTCTTGCGGAATAGCAGTTTGCGCACCTCCATGAGCGACAACCGGTTGGGGGGTGGGGGCACATCCTCATCCTCCTCCCTTCCGGGCAATCTCTGAGCCTCTCCCGCAAGCTCTTCGACTTGATTTGCATTTGCTTTTCTGGCTCGTGAAAATAGACGTTCAATGGTGACAGCAATGGTCTCGTTACCGGGAATGCCGCCCAGATGTACATCTGTGATCCTCTCCAGGCACTCGAATTCCCTACCCACGCCCACCTTCCAGGCGCTATCACCATGAAAATACCTCTCCGGATTGAGATGAAGACTCCCGCTCACCCACAAACGAGTCATGAACGGTTCGCCGGGACTGTGCAGCGCATCGGTGCCGTCTGGGAGCAGCTCTCGCTTGGGAACATTAGGGTTGAAGAACGCCAGATGGTGACCTATTGGTAGGATACCTCTTTCAATGTCCGACGCACTTTCCTTCTCAACGGGCATGACGGAGCTCAGCAGTTCTTCAAATTTGTCCTCCTGTTCTCCCTCTAGATTGTCCCGCAGCGGCGCATACCTCCGCCCCAGCATCTCCGTCCTCAGACTCTGGAACCACTCCGGCTCCGTACCGTATCCATATCCCCGTCGACATATGCGCTGCCATTGCGTGCGATGGACCGGTGTCCTCGGTATGAGTGCCGCGCCGCGGATGGTGTTGAGAATCATAGATGGGTTCTCAAGAGTGCCTTCGAAGGCGCATCTTAGCGATTAGATAGATGCGTGAATAGCCGGTCTTGGCGTACATCACCGCCTTCGGAAATCGTTCCGGAGCTCAAACTGAAAATCGCGACGGGTGACTCAACGACACCAGATTCACCATGCAGACTCTGGCTCGACATGCGTGTCGCATACGCAGTCTACGCTCTCCAGGATTCCAATGGCAATGCGCGCGTTCGTTCCACGCCAGCGCGAGCTACAGGGAGGTGGTGGATCTGGCCTACGAGCTCCACGATAACGGCGGGAAAGCTACTGGTGCGCCAATTGTTTTCCTACACGGACTGTTCGGGAGCAAGAGGAACAATCGCAGTATGAGCAAGTGTGTCCCCTTCTTGGGGCGCTCAATCCTCGTAAAACCACCATGGACGTCACTGACTTCCCCTCAGAGCCCTCGCACGCGAACTCTCCCGTCCCATCTACAACGTTGACCTCCGCAACCATGGCGACTCGAGTCACGCCAAAGAACACAACTACACAGCCCTAGCCGAAGACACGGAAGCCTTCATGAAGAAGCACAGTCTCAAGGACGCCACGCTCATAGGCCACTCGATGGGCGCAAAGACCGTCATGACGGTCGCCCTGCGCAATCCAGACAACTGCACCGACATCATCGCCGTCGACAACGCGCCCGTCGACGCCGCCCTCACCAGCGACTTCCCCCTCTACGTGGAAGGCATGCGCCGTGTCGAAGAAGCCAAAGCCTCCAGCCTAAAGGAAGCAGACGCCATCCTCGAGCCGTACGCCAAGGACGTCCCCGTCCGCCAATTCCTGCTCACCAACCTGATCCGCCCCGCGCCCAATGCGCCGCTCAAGTTCCGCATCCCCGTGCGCACACTGGCGAATGCGCTGGACGACATGGCGGATTTCCCGTTTACGGATCCGGACAAGACGCGGTTCAATAAGCGCGCGTTGTTTGTGAGGGGCACGCGGAGTCACTATGTGCCCGACGAGACGATTCCGATTATTGGGAGGTTTTTCCCGAGGTTTGACCTTGTTGATATTGAATCGGGGCATTGGGTTATTACGGAGAATCCTGAGGCGTTTTTTAGAGGTGAGTCGATGTAGCCGATGATACAAAGTTGGGGTTTGGAGGGATGGTGCTGACGTTGCTTGTAGCTGTCGTGGAGTTTTTGAATAAGGAGGAGGATGACTGAGGACTCGGCCATTGGAATTGGAATTGGATGATCAGGCATTTGGAGGATTCACATATGCACCAAGCGTTGGAGCGTTAAGCATTTGGTTTGGTAAGCGATTTGTATAACACCTAGGAAGAACTCTACTTCTGCTTATTAGACCAAAGCATGGATTACAGCATTCAGCATGGATCTTATAAAATGTATAGAAGCGAGCTCTAGACACGAATAGTCTACTAATGTTATATTAAAGCTCCGTCTAGCTTTCTTCTTCCTCTCTCCCCTTTCCTTTCTTCTTTTCTTCCTTACTCCCTCCCCAAGAGCTCCTTCACCCCCTCCACCCCTTCCCATACCTCCGCCCCCTTCAACCCATCCCAATCCCCATCCACTGCCGCTCTAAGCACCCTCACGCCTAACTCCACCAACCCCCTCGTCTCCTCGCGCCCGCCCCACTCCACCCTCGTCGGCCAAAACGCAACATGCACCGCCCAATGCACAGCTAGCCGGCGCAGCCAGTTACGACTCAGCAACCCTGCTTGAGCCGGAGGAGAGAGCCGGTTGCGCAGGTAGGACGCCAGGAACGCAGTCCGCAGCCCTTTACCGCCGCGGAATCGATCGAGCAAGAAGGCTTCGGCGCAGATTGCGCCACGTCCGTGGCCGAGGTGCCCAGGCGGACCATTTCCCAATCCACGACCGTGAGGTCTATCCTTGTTTGTGGATTTCCAACTTTGCCGGCGTCCGTAGCTCGGTTTGCCTTTTTCTCGACGAGCACGTTGCCGGTCCAGAAGTCGCCGTGGCAGAGACACTCGTCCTCGATTTGCAGGAGGGCGCCGAATGTCTCGTCCACTCTCTGGGCTACTTCTTGTCCACCTGGGATGTCGTACTCGGCGAGCGCGTGGTGCAGGTTCGTGTACGAGTATCTGTAAATGGCTACTGCGATGGGGTTATTCTCTCTCCCCCTGCTTCCGACATCGTTCATCTCGTGTTTCTCGTCCAGGGAAAGGGAAAGAGATGGTGATGATGCGCTAGATGAAGAATGCAGCACGGCTAACCACCGTCCCAACTCTTCCCCTATCTTTCTCACTTCCCCCTTTTTTAGATCCTGATACGCATCTTTCACGTTCTGCGACCCGCCGTCCGATAGGCAGAGCAATTTCGCATCGCCGTCGTAACTATAACTCTGCACCGCCCGCGCCCGCACACTCATCCCCTCCTCCTCTTCATCTGCTGCATGCGCCTTCCTATCCGCCGAGTCGGTATCGCTCCCAACATCATCCAAAAACCCCGGCACGATCCTCAACGCCAGATCCTCGTACTCCATCCTGCGCGGATCAAAGGCGAAGTCCAGGTTCGAATGCAGGTGCGGGGCTGCGTGTTTGTAAATCACGGTTTTGGGAGATGCATTGTTTGGATGTGGTGAGAGGACGCGGTAGACGTAGTTTGCGGTGCCGCCTGTTAGGAGGGTTATGGATTTGGGTGGGGTGGTGGGGTGGTGGGTGAGGAGGTAGGCGTGCAGGCCGGATGGGGTGGTTAGGTCGGGTTTTGTTGTTGTAGGGGTGGACATGGTTAGGTTGGGTTGGGTGGGACGGGCGGAAGGGTTGCCCCCCGTGGGCTGTGGGAACGGCTGGAGGGAGATGGTGGAGCTGGGAAGGAGGATTAGAAGGTAGCGGTGATTTGACTGAGGAATGACGGTTCGACAAATGAGTATTGTCGTTCGGATATGTATATGGGGCTCCGGGGGACAGAAAGGAGACGCCCCTTTTAAACATCTTAGGTAATAGGAAAGCCGCAATAGGGTGTCCTACCTCGCCAATTCTACTGTGTACGTTCCCGCCTCCACATGGCCCAGGGGATTTATAGATACCTGTCCCAAGGTTTCCCTATCCGCAATAATTAACGAAGACGTTCCCCAATGAACCAGAATGACTCATCCGCCAAGCCCGCGCACGGTTGCACGGTGAATGCCAACCGAGCGCGCTAAGGTCTGTTTAGGCTAGTTGGGAAAGCTTACCTCGACTTCAGTTCTACGGCGGGGACGAGAGCTGTCGACGGAACTGCTCGGGTACATCTAGAGGGTGTGGTGGGAATGGTGGTTGTATTGTCTGGATATGTGGTAGTAATTTATCTGCCGATGGTACTTATGTCACTGTCCACATTCGCTGAAGCCTACATGAACCGCGCCCCGAACCGCCGAAACAGCTGCACCTCCGGTGCCGACGCGACAGGATTCTCCGGGACGACCACGAAACCTTCGACACCCTCCATGCCTTCAACAAGACCGTCACCAGATTCAGCCGGGGAGACTACGACGAAGTCCTCCCCTGCACACGTCTCCTTTTGCTCTTGGGTGTCTGTGGCGGGGATTCATCGGAGCTGTGTAGTGGTCAGTTCCGAGAAGTGGAAGTTGTAAGATCGGCCTTACGGGTTGGAGACTGACGCAGGAGTGGCCTCTTCTGCGGAGGTAGGCGATGCCTCGTCAGCGCCCTTCGCTCTTTTCAGTGGTCTTGGCGGCGGCTCCTTTGGCGCTGCGCGCGACGATTTATGACCGAATCGTGCCCTAATGTAGGCGTCAGCATCGTCTTTTGGGAGTGAGAACGAAGTATCCCCACCTGTGAGACTTCGGGTTCAAGGGACTGTAGTGCTGGTTGGTGGTGGTGGAAAGTCCACCTTCAGAGCTAATGTCTTGAGAGCCGCGCTTTGCGTGAATGGAAGAGTGTGGAGTCGGAGTGTCGCCGGATGCTGCCATGGTGGACGCGGAGGTTGACGGTGGGGAAGTCATATCGGTGTGTGATGGATGCGGCTATGCTTCCAGAAGTGGGACTGAGGTTGTGGTGAGGAGAGCTTGGATCAACTATTCGGTAAGTGGTGGTTGAAGGACCAGAGAAGGTCGAGGGTGTGGTGGGTTTATATACGGGAAGAAGAGAACCAAGTGAGGGTTGTGGAACAACAGGTTGTTAGGAGGAGAGAATTGAAGGAGAAGAAAAACTTGAGGCGCGCCCTCTGTTGATGTAGAAATGGAAAGCGAGTACGTGCAGGCTTTAGCGACAAATACAAGATGGCATGGGAGAGTTGCAATGACGCAATCAGAGCGAAAAGCAGGAGGTATCAGCAGTTGGTGGCAGTGAAGGGAGGTTTCGGGAATAAATTGGGTCAGTGCGCGACCTTTCACTGGTTTGAGACCAGATTCGTTGCAGTTGCTAGGACACTGGGAGGCGAGACTTGCTCATTATCAGAGTATGTTTATTGCTGCCGGACCATATCTATCGCCGTATACGGTGTTTCATCACAGTCTAACCGGTCACCATTGTTGTTCCATTAGTTCCACCCTCATGAGGACGCTCGATCACTCTTTCTCGCTCTTCGTCGTGACACCGACAGTACCATTCTCGCCTGTAGTCTCTTCGGCGGCAATGACAGTGAACTCCTCGAAATCGTCCATGTGTTCCGCAACGCTGTCTCCCCAGGGACCCCCAAGATCGTTGGCGTTGCTTGCTCCGTTGTACCTGGCTCCAAGCTCATCGTCTCCGAATTCAGTCGTAACAGCACTGACGGTGGCCTCCGCCTCAGCAGCTGAGACTAGAATGTAGTCGTCGGAACCATCCGAAGCTGAGGTGCTTTCGTCTTCTTTGTCGACATCTAGTTCGGGGCACTTGTCACTGTATCCAGATCAGAAGAAGGCCTTGATGGTTGGACGATTAGCCTTACCTTCCCGACACTGCATTCTCGCCGGGGTTCCCTTCCGCGACAGCTCGCTTCACGTCCTCAACTTCCTCAAATGTGAGCTTCTGCATAGTCACAAGTCTCGCAATCATTGGCTTTGCTTCTTCCCCCATGGCGCGCTCCAGAAGTTCAGAATGAGTTACCGCCAGATCTTGCCAGAAAGCGACTAGCCACATAAGCCGCTCGATGGGAGCATTAGGGTTGTCTTTGCCGTCACGGTCCAATGCTTTGCTGATCTGGGCGTCCAGTGCGAGAAGTGTCTCGTTGTCGCTACCCTTGCCTGCTAGGCTGGATAGGTACTGGAGGTTTGTCGTGACATCTCGACCAGGAATCGAGGAATGAGTGGGAGGCATTGAAAGAGTGGGCGGGGAGGATTCAGGCGAAACAGCCGAGCACCTCTGGAGTTGTTGTGGTAAAGACTGAGAATTGGCTAAATCGGTGCAAAGGTTGTGATGGAAGATATATACGGAAGCCAACAAGCAAGCGAGCTCGCTTGGGGGAGCGGAAGAGAAGTAGAGGTTGTGGTGAGGAAGAAGGGGGAGAAAACCTCGGCGGGTGGGGACGTGTTTATATATTATATACTACCTAGGTATGAAGCGGCAAGCACGTGAGTCTCACGACCAGGGAGGGAGGCAGATCGGAAGAAAATAGCAGAATCCCATGACGTGATCAAAGCCTGGGGCAAACTGTAGCTCATCGGTGGGAGTGAAAGGGGAGGGGTAAATACCAAGGCGAGGGTGGGTCTAGGTATGAACTTTCACAAGGTGCGATCTACGCCGGTTACAGAGCCACATACCAGTGTTGTTTCCGCTCCTTGACTGTGATTCCTTACCCAGACTCCAGTAAGCAGTGTCTGATGCTTCCTATTGCAGATTACTGACTGTATAAGTTTGACGTACCACATCTCCGTATGCTCGCCATTGAGAAAGGATACGAAACCCTCACCTAGCCAAATAAAGAGGACTGTGGCCGTGGCGAGGGGAGAAGCCTAGAAGACTTAGTTCTGGCATGGGCTTCCATTACGTCAAGAGGTACATAGTATATCTGGACTTGAGTCTCTTCAACCCAAGCGGATAGAGTACACCTGATCCTCCAACAAGGTGTCGATAGGCGCATCTGCATGATATTAGACAAGTTGGACCTGTACCTGCGTAGCAGACAGTCTTGACTTGCCTCCCTTGCGCCCATCCTCTTCCGGATCGAGGAGGCTGAATTGCCCAGACCGCCAATGTAATCCAAATGTTCATCTTCCTACCCTTGAAGATCAGTGCATTTGCTGAACTTATCCGAAGAGAACTTGACACAACCGTCCAAAATCGCTACCTCACTGGCTGCTACCCCATTAGCCCCAACCACTCTAGAATCCTCCCCAACCTTATCAGCCTTCTCACCCGCAGCCAAACTCTTGATAATATCATACGAAACCTCAAGCATCTTCACAAGCTGCTCCTTCGCAGGTCTCGCGAGGTCCACCCCGACCTCATCCTCGAAAAACTCTAGATGCTGAATTGCAGTGATCTGCCACGATGCGACCAGCGACTGGAATCGCCCGAGGAGAGTCCCGTCCTGGAGGTCCAGAGAGGCGGTCATTTGTTTGTCGATTGCGAGGAGGGTCTTCTTGTCCACGCCCATTCCGGTGAAGGACGAGAGGAATTTCAAGCTATCTGTAAGCTCAGGGTGGTTATTTGGGAGAGGGGCAGGCTTAGCAGGAATGCCTGTGTGCGGAAGATTGTCGGCCATTTTTGAGGTGGGCGCGGGAATTGGTGACTGGGTGCTCACGAAAGAGGCGTCCTCCTGCTGGAAAGGGTATTGACTGTTGAAGTATTCAGGTGGGATATACGTGTAGAAGGCGGGCAAGTTAGCCCTTCCGGGAAGAGATCGTAGTGAGGAGAAAGTTGAAGAAAAGCGAATGCTCGAGTGCCCAGCAGCGTTCTCTAGAACATGGGATGACCACGTGATACCTCGTTACATCGCAACCGGACGAGAGTCGCAGTGATTGCAATTGCGCAATCAGAAACGCTGTGGCTGATAGAATGTGGCTAATAAATGGCAGTGAAAGGAGCGGAGTGGGAAGTGAGCTGACTCGAGGTATGACCTCACGGGGTTGAGCGGAAAAAGGGCATTCAAGGGTAAATGAGGTCGGTACGGAGTAATGACGGCGGGTATCGTCTCAAAAGCGTTACAAATGGTGTGGAAAACGAGGTCGGTGTCTGCATCTTGAGCAGTGAAAGGGAATCCTGGGGTTTGCAAGGAGGCATTGCTTTATGCCACCTTCTGCGATGTGGAGAGCACGGCAGATGAGGAAGCTGATAATGACTTCCTTGGCACGAACCACAATAGTGGAGCGCAGAGATGTAGAAAAAGACGGATAGGATTAGGAATAAAATCGATCTTGGTATCTTGAGCAGTGACGAGCAGAGGTATGTACGAGGAGATGCCATGCCGCGAAAGTCAAACCGCTATGTACAGAAACTCAACAAGAACAATATGCTTTTCTAGGACAGTAACGTCAATGCTTCATGTCATAAGGGTCATTAGTCCGCATAATATAAATCTGGCCCACCAGCACCGTCAATCCGACCGTCATGCTCACCGCAATGATCGGCGAGTTCACACGCGCAAAATCCAAACTGTGTACGCGAATGTGTTTCTTGCCCAGGATGTCGCGCCACAGAAGACCGGCGAGAGAGGCGCTGAAAGCGGCGCTGAAGGCGCCGTAATTGACGCCGAGGGCCATACTGTAGACGGTGGCCCAGAAGGTACGGTCTGAGATGGGGATGCCGGACTGCTGGTGGATGATTTGCCAGGCTTGGATTACGCGGGAGAGGAGGATGGTGGTGCCGATGTTGGTGCCGGCGAACTGATGGCAGTGAGCATATGCTGAAGGGCAAGCTATGGTATGTGAACGGAGCACTTACGTTGCATAACACAACGGAGAGGAAGCCCATGCCGCTGATGGCACCGACTGTCCCGGTCTTCTCCACCCAGTGATCCCAACCATGAGCGAATACTGGAATCCAGCCCTTTGTCACCAGGGCTTGAACCAGGACAAACATGGCGAAGGCAAAAGGGACGAGGGCGAAGGGTAGATGCGCAATGACAGTAGTGGCAGTAGGAAAAGTTTCCTGTAACCATTCGGACCATTCTTTGGCATGTGAGACAAGTGTTGGTCTTGCTTGTCCCTGCTTCGCCTCTCCCTCCGGCGATATCTGCTTCTCTGCATCATGTTGCTCGTGCTTTTCATTTGTCGGAGTGAGGTTGGCAGTCGAGACCTGCATGGAAGGATTGACAGAGTCGCCGGGAGTGGCATCACGAGTCTCACTAGCGGCGGAAGCGTGCGATATCGAACGAGCTTCGTCGGACGAGGGGTCTTTTGTGGTAGAGTTGCGAGGCGTAGCCTCCGTCATACGCAACTCCTCTTCTTCTCGGTCTGCTTCCTTCTGCGCCGCGCGTCTTTTGATCTCCTCCCGTCCTCTGGCAGCAATGGCACGGGTGTGGTGGCGCTCACGCCAACCCATGGCCACGTCCCAGAAGAACTGGACACCAGCGGCCGGAAGGGTGATCCAGAAGACAGGGTGCTCACCGATCTTTCCACTGGCAGCATTGAGGGCGAGAAGCGTCGCAAGTGTGACAGCCATGAGAACAGCTCCGAAAGCAGCACCCTTGCGATCCAAGAACGGATTGAGAATCTCCTCGAGGGACAACAGCTTTCCCTTCTCCTTGTTGGCGTCGGCATCGGTCATCTCCTTCTCTTCCTCTTCGGCAGCACCTCGCGCATGAGGAATGTTGGGATTGACAGCCTCCTTGTTCTCCGGTTTCAGATGGTCAGGCAGTTCATGCATCTTGATGGAAGCAGGGATGAGGTCCTCGTGCGGGAAGACAACATAGAGAAGGAACGGAAACAGGACTATGCCGGTGACAAGGACGGGGACAATGATATTGGCCGTGTATTTGTAAAATTCGATATCAAAGGCACCGGCGAGCACGAGATTGGTGGGATTGGAGGAGACCAGGATGGCAGAGGCAATGTTGGCGACGGCGAACTGGGAGTGGATCCAGGCCCGAGGATGGACGATGTTGCTCGATACGCGGGTCATGTAGGCAAGGAAGGCGGTGCCGGATAGGATGACGGGGTCATTCCCAATGAAGCTGGTCAAGGCATAGAAGAACATGTAGAGGTAAAGGAACAGCCGGCGGCCGTCATCGCCACCCCACTTGAGGACCCTGAAGGCCAAGTACCTGATCAATCCGGAGGCATCGAGGGAGATGGCAATGTAGGCCAAGGACAGGAAAAAGATCATGATATCGAGCGGGGATATCTTGTTAGCGCCAAGGGTGCCGCCACGCACCTCCTTACGTCCAATGGCACCAATGGCCAGCAGGAAGAGGTCAGCAATGATGGGTGCTGTGACAAAGTTCATAGGAAAACGCAGCACCGTGTAGGGCTTCGGTTTGGGTTGCCCATCAAGGCCTTGCTCCTCAGGCTGGCGCGGCGCAATGATGCGCAAGGCGCTGAGGGCATCGAGAAATACCTCTGCCAGTTGGCGGGGGACATAGATTGGAATATGAAAGGGAAAAAGGACGACAATGTCTGTGAATGTCAGCAAAGCCTGATGGATTCGGGCTTCCTGTCACGTACTCGTGAGGATGAAAACGACGATCGTTACAATGGACCGAGCATTTCTGATCTGGCTCGTGTCGATGCTCAGAGTTTCTTCATCGCCGCCCATGCTGGGCTGCGTACCCTAGGGTAGGGGATTGAGGGGAAGAGCCACAGGAGGGAGGGCGCAAAAAGGCGACGGGTGCACGTGCAATGTGCTGCCCAGGTGAGGGAGATGAAGGACAGCACCGGAAACTTGAGCGATAGAGAACACACGCAGCACCGCGTCAGCCAGCACTCGGTCTGACACTTGCGCGGGGCATGTAGCGCGATATATTTCACGTCGTGAAATCCGAGCTGCAAGGGATCTCGGTGAGCGGGTCTTGGTGCAGTCTTTGCCTCGATAGATGGATGATGATGCTGTGTCGAATGCCTGGGGCGGCGAGGCTGAGCCCTCCAGCTTGACCGGTGAAGACGGCCGGGGGTCACGGTGCAACCACCACTCACGACCAGTGAACATGAACATTCACAGCCTCCCCGTCTCCCAACCACCAGCCACCACACGGCACCGAGCACCCAGCCCGTGACCGTTGAAGAATAAAGTAATCCCTCATGAGGCCCTTGGGGTCTCCTTGGCGGCGAGTTCCGTCCCTCTTCTCACCGGCATGGCTGCGCAGCAACGCCCGCTTCACTCTGAGTTACGATAACCCTCAACCGTCGCAGCCTTGCCGTGTCCCCGGCCATGCTTATCCCTACTAAACCAACCCGCACGCAGTGTGATACTGCTACATTACCTACTGGTAGTGCTGCTACGCCGTTCATCAATTTGTCTCCGCCCAACATACCGCTCTTCTCCCCAGATGAGTCCACTTCCGCTGCTCGCTGCTCCCCACCCAGGCGGCGGTGCAGCTACCGTCGCTGAGGCCGCAGTTCACGTCGTGTGCGCCTGGCCGGTGTCTGGCCAGTACGGCCCAGGATCCCGAGTCTTGTACTATGTTCTTGTCGCTGCTTGCATTCTGGGTCGCAAAGTCGAATGGTTGCGCAACGCCTGCTTGGCTGTTGCTTTGGTCTTTCCAGCAGTCGCAGCACTCCATAGCCTCGTGCTAGCAGCTGTGCATGTCAATGGTCAGTACACCTCTCCTTCACGAGTGCCACGGCGCTGCCATCAAGATCCACATACCAACAACTTCGCTTAGGTGCCGTCGATATGGACATTTATGGGGCCTTCCAGCTCTGTTCCATTGGCATCTTGGCTGCTCCCACCACCGTCAGGCTATCCAAGACATATCAAGATGCCCCGGGACGCAACACCATCTTCCTGTGGACCGGTCTCGTCGTGGCAGGTGAGTGATCATCGCAATGACCACATCTTCCTTTTCTGATCTGTGCCTTTCGCTTCGAATTCCAGGCCTGCTCAGCCTAATTGTCGAGTTCTATCGCGCCACCCCTTTGGCTTGTTCAAAGGATGATGCGGGCAATCCTCTTTCCCCGAACGCAAATGACTTTCCCTATGAAAAGGCTACTTGCTCGCTCGTGTGCTCCGAAAAGGAAGGTCCCTTCTCCCCTATGCGAGGCGGTGCTGCGTGTAACATCTATGTCATTCCTGCCCCTGAACGCCTTACCTTCAACACTGCACTGATCCTTGCTGCTGCATGCTGTATTCCTGCCATTCTTTCTGTTGCATTCACTTCCATCCAGATCCTTGATAACAATTGGAAGAAGAAGTCCGAAAACCAGCTGATTCAGGAGAATGAGCCCATTGCGGGCACTAATGGTGCCACCATCAGCCAAATGAAGGGCGTGAATAAGAAGATTCGAGAATATCAGAACTACATCGAGGTTCCTGTATTTGGGGCCGCCGTCCTCGCCATCCTAGTTATTGGTGAACTGAACTTCTTCAGTCCTCAGGTGAGATATGAGACGGAGCCGATAGCAAGTATTGGTACGTATCTTTTACGCTTCGGAAAGCCATATCTAACAGACCACTGCAGGCCAGTGGGCGCCTATTGCAGGTACTGTGCTCGCAGCCTTCGGCGCAGTATATCTCTACGTGGCTGGACAGCTAGAGACCTCAACCGCCGCACCAGACGGACCTGCAAGTGACCATGAGGGCGACGGCGCAAAAACATCAACGGATATGGGCGCCACAACCCCACGCCATTTGCACAAGAAGAGCATAACAAGAGTAGGCACGATTGTCAACAACCTCAGCGATGGCCTCAGCTCTAAGATCCACACAAATCTCAGCGACGGAGACTTCAAGCAGGGGAAGGCGCGTAATTTCCCCTACGTTCCGGGCGAGCACAGGCGCAATCCGAATCTTCCCCATATTGAAGAAATTTACAACCCACCCAGAGACCAAAACGGCGACATCACCCCGGAATTCGGGCCTCAGCGTTCCCGTGCAGGGAGCTTCATCAGCGAGAACGCTGGACTGGGCTTGTCTAATGTGGAATCCAGTCCTGGTCCTCACAGCCCAAGCTCTCCTATATCACCAACAAGGCGCCTGACGCTTGAGGTGCCGTCACCGACGTTCAAAGGCCATCCTCGGTGACGTGGGACTAGGCTCGTACATGATGGAAATAATGCGTTACGCCTTGCCGAGTTATATTTCCACATTGCCAAAAAGAAAGTAGAGTGATATCAAATTTGCTCTATGGTGTATGCCCTCAATCTACCCCTCTTACGGTAAGTATCGAGAATGATAACTACCCTAGCAGTGTCTCACTGACCAGGCTGTAGTGGGATTTATGTCCCTACGAGAGGACACACTCATTCTACCGACCGCTGAGCCTCTTTACCAATCTGTTTTCTCGAAGCAAAAGAAAGACTCGGGAGTGTTTCAACCGGCCAGCAGGAGACTAGATTCTCTGAGAAGGCTGGACAAGCTCCTTCTGGATCTTCCATCACGTGACCTGAATCCCGAATAGACATCCCGATTTCGCAATCCGGCCTTACCAATCAACCATCGATTATCCCAACAGGGAGGGGCGGACCTATGTGAATATGAGGAGGGTGCCGTACTTCGAAGCTGCCGAGTATTGGACCCCTGACTGTCTGCAGTCACGTGCAGTCGTGCAGTCTTTAACTACAACCCCTGCACATCAAAGGGGGGATATCAGCCACGTACAGTGGAGAATTCTGCGTCAATAATTGGACGCTTTTACTGTCCGGATTTGCAGAGTGGGGATATGTGGGGAAAAGTTGTTAAGAGCAGGATTGAAAGAGGCGTATCAGGAGAAAAAAAGGAGTGGGATAAGACACTTCCTAGTATCGCACCGCACAGCATGGCACCGCATTGCACTGCATTGCATAGCATCGAATCCAGTAATAGATGGGTTTTATATGATTGGACAGGTATTATCACGACTACACGATTTTACGACGGACTGGTATCTAGACTTGGGCTTTATGAGAATGCTTATATGTTGTATTCTGGGTATAACGACTGTATAATGGAATGGCTATCTAGAAAATGTATGCATAACATAGTGCACATTATCACTACAACATGTCGACTTTGTAGGCGTGGATCTTGTTGCTAGAGAGGATAAATGCTGCATTCGAACACTGGTTCTCGGACTGACAATTTGAACTCCCCAAACGTGCCTAATTAGCACTTCTTAGTCTCGCGAAAAACACTTGCTAACCCAGCGTGCTCGTTCATGCAACATCTTCACAGACAGGGCTTACCTTTTCGAGTTCCGTGGTGTCCGTCTAGAACTCGCAATTCACTGCCCTACGGCGTCGTCTCAAGCATGCGCGTTACACTCACCTGGAAGCAGGAACCGCACTTGCCCTTTGCCGTGTACGATCTTTGGCGTGGAGTCGCGATGAGCAGAGGCGTCGTGGTTGAGATGGGCGTGCATGTCAGGGTCAGGGGAGGGATAGGCAAATAAAGGGGTAAGGGGGAGGTCTGCATGGTGGTGGTGATGGGCCTCAACGGTGTACCTAGGCCCAGCAGCTGCATGTGTCTGGACGAATTGCCCATGTGCATGAGAGTGAGGAAGATGAGATGTACCGTTCCAAGTGCCATTGTGAGTGGGATGGATGGGATGGTGGAGATTGTGGTTCAGTGTACCTGGATGGCGATTTGGCAAGGAGTGTGTGCGTGGACGGTAGCGCAGTGGCGGCGCCTGTGCTTGGGTCTGTGTTTGGGTGGAAGGCATAGGTGTAGTATGATGAGTAGGATGGCTTCTCCAGTCCCAGGCACGAGAATGAGGGTTCCCTACGTCCGAGTGCGATGTATGGGTGCGGCGCGTGGGCATGGGGAGATTGATGGTTGAGTTGCGGGGACGGTAACGCGAGGGTAGTGTTGGCGAGGAGGATGAGGAATCGGTGATCATCATCTTGACGGTCGCCTTGAATGGCTGAGGACCTGAGGGTTGAGGTTAAGATTGAAGTCCGGATTCGGGGAGGGAGAGTGGAGTGTTTCGAAGGGGGTTGCGATGAAAATCGGGGTTTTGAGATGGGGGAGGTTATAAAGGATGAGTGCTGTATGGCGGTAACATGAAGTGGCTGGCGCGTTGTTAGGGTACAATATTCTTTGTTTAGTTCTATAATGTATGGGCTGTGCGTGAAAGGCTCCGAAGAGGCTGAATGTACAATGTCCACAGGATTGAATTCAGATAGCAAACAGAAATATGAGTACACATTGTACACATCTCAGAGAATTGTATTTAGACGTTTCAATATCTGAACAATGCTGTAGATGCGCACTGCTCTGACTTAAATACTCCTTCATCGACCACTATCATAATCCTCAAACCCCCAAACCGGATTTGGGAATTGCGGATTCGACAACCAAGTCAGCAGGAGACTTCTCTTTTTACCATGGGGATTTTCTACTCAGTTCTCGATCTTTTCTCCATGGGGATCCTCTACTCGGTTCTCGAGTTCTTCCAGTCAGTGGTGGCGAAGCTTTTCCGCTACGAGCGAGAAGAAGATCAAGATATTGAGATGGGTTTTGCGGAGCCGCAGAACGCTTCTTCTTCTGCTTCTTCTTCTCATTCTTCTACTCCTCCTCCTCATACTTCGCTTTCGCTTTCGCTTTCGCCTTCGCCTTCTCCTACCCCGTCTCTTTCTCCTTCTTCTACGCCTCTTTCGCCTTCGCCTTGGCCTTCCCCTTCTCCTTCTCCTTCTCCATTTCCATCTCCTTCTGCGTCACCCTCATCTTCTCCTATCGATCTCCCTCTCTGGGCTAGGGAAAGGTGTGCTGTCTGCCGGGCTAAGGTTGAGCGTGCTTTAGTGCCCAGCAATCGGCTAGAGTTTCAACGCACTATACCGTCCTGGTACTCTATAGACGCCGCCATCGACGACGTTTGCTATCGGTGGCGGACAGCCCCTTGCGAGGCTGAGGTGACCATATTTGGTGAGGAAATGACTCTTTGCAATGTGGAGGCGAAAGGATCTGGTACTGCCAGATCGTTGCAATGATGCAGCATAGCCTGCGCCAGATCGGGGAGTACGGGTTGGACGATCCCACCGCTAATCGCCCCTGGTACCATGTCCCTCCGTCCTGTACTAACATTGCAAACAGCCTTCCCGTGGATCCTGCTGAAACCTTGCAGCGCATGGAGGCCATGGACAGCTGTGCCCAACGTCACACCACCATCCACGAGTCTTGGATGTATCGGCCTTTTGGCAGCGCATACTTGCCAGACCATTACGAACTCCTCGGCGCGCTGAGAGGTGTTGATTTCCGAGAGAAATCGAATTCGTTTGCACACGAGTACGGGCGGCTCCATGGGTCCAATGAAACTGCCGGGTGCATTTTCCGGAGGATAAGTGTGCAGTACACGAGAGCGTTACAGCTGGTGGCCCAGCTTCTTGAGGAACTAGACAAGGTTGAGAAGGAGGCCGTGGAGAAGTTTTCCAAGGGTGACTCGTCCAAGGATGGTTCCCCGTCTTCCGAAGATGACTCTTCCAGGGATGACTGGTGAACCTGGGAGACTACACCCAGAACGGGAGATGAAGGGAAGGCGCAGAGAATAGGATCATGAGCTCATTGAACAGAGGCTCATAGACTTCCTACACTTCATAGATGTGATTCTGGCCTTGACCGAAAGCGTCGTTTCTATGTAATAATCAGTCAGAGGAGTTTGCTCTATGTTGAGTAGATTTCTGAATATCTGCGGTATTACCTACATACCTAGCATACTATAATATACTTTTTCATCTGAAGATGAAACTAAGGTAGCGTCCTTATTTGTGATTCCGTGTGGTGGGATATATACGTTCCAAAAAGATTTTGTCGAAACTACTGTCGGTTTATTGCCACCGTGTGTGCTTTATATGAGTTTTTCACTTGACGTCAACGAAGACATCACTGTTTAGACAGTCTTAGTGTTCCTCTTTCATACCTTTTTGTCTAGGCCTAATATCCTGTCTATGTGTATCAGGTCTTGTTGTTGTTGTCTCATAAAATATAAGGGTATCTCGCAATACTGGCTCGTGTACACCACATACATGTCGGGGAAAAGTTTGCATAACTGTCTCGAGACTCAGCCTATCAATGACTCATCCTACCGATGTAGCAACTTATCGTTCCTTATCTTAGCAAAGTTAGTAGTGCTCTTGCTTGGGATAACTACACGCCTGATCAACGGCATAGAAAGAGAAAGGCCATTCACCCTAGCTGTGCTTGGCCAAGTGGGGGACCTGCGTAAAGTACAAATTGCGTTTGCGTAGTGTCCCTCCTACTCTCTCCGCGTTGGAGTCGTAGAAGCAGCGCAAGAAGGTCCGAAGACGTAAGACAGCACCGCCCGAGACTTGGTAACGCGAAGTGTTAGACAACAGGCATGATCGAGATGCAAGACATACCCGAGATCTTAGGCCTTTTGAAATTAGACACTCGTCTTACAGCTTAGTAATGATATCCTTTGTTTGTCCGCGATAGAATATACTATCCCTCACCATGTAGCGAGAACCACCCCGTAACGAGAAAATCAACAGGTACTTAGACTTCGCAGCGGGTTTCACGGGCAGGGCAGAGCACATCTACCACAGCTCCAACGCTGAGCCTGCATCACCTCTAAAAATTATAGCACGCAGTCGCATAATATTAGAGCCTCAGGATCACGATGATAAGTTTTCCTCAGCCCTGCGCCACGATGTGCACTTGGCCTATTTGACGTTACACAGTGGCGCATTCGAACTTTGAGCAAAAGGAGGCTGGAGCCTGATCTCGAAACCCCACCTTACCACCACTTCTCCACGATGGAGAACAAAATATGCCGCTTCGCTGGACGCTGCTTGAACAGGGAGACGTGTCGCTTCCAACATCCTGATACGGTCCGCACCCCTCTCTCTCCCGAACGCAAAGCAGAACTTATCGGCCGCTCGCGGTCGGACGGCTCCGCTCCAAAAGCGAAGATACCTTGCAAATTCTATCTCCAAGGCACATGTACCAGGGGAGACTTCTGTACCTTCGAGCATTCAAACCCGATTACAGCCACAGCCACAGCCACAGTCTTCCGTCCCGTATCCAGGGACACTAGGTCGAGCATACCGTGCAGATACTTTCAAAGAAGTATCTGTAAAATGGGAGAGCTATGCCCCTTCAGTCACGACATTCAAGGTAATCTAGTCATGCCCAAGACGCTGCCGGATCACAGGCCCATCACGAACATTGGCCTCGCTGCATCCACTTGAGCGCGCTCCAATCCTTCCTTCAGAGAGCATGATGAAACCAAACTACCAAGGAACATTGGAGGGGCCACCGTGGTTTTTGCTGACGGGGCCTCTGTTTCGACAATCTCTTTGATTTCGGACTTCTCCGCCGTATCCACATCCGATCTATCTCAACATACATCCGTTCAAAATGTAGTGGACCTCTTGAGCAGCAGGGGCTTTCCCCAGGTAACTCCCGATTGTATTCGCTTCAAACACATTCCGGAAAAGCTCCATAAGACAGCTGTAATCAAAGTTCGTGATCCAGACTTTGCCAACAAGCTTCTCCAGTGCCTTGGGGATACCCCTGTCCGTCTCAGGGATGTGGAAGTTCACATGTCGAAAATGCAACTTGGAGGGGAGACAGAATCCGGCATGAATCGGCTCCAGCTCACCGGCGTTACATGTTCATGGTTCAATCCTTCCAAGGTGGCTTATCTCCAATATGAGACGGACGGGGAAGCGAAGCGGGCACTCGAACGCATCAAGGGCCTGGGCTCAAACCAGCTCATGGGACGGAAGCTCGATGTCATGTATCAACCAGTTCGGTCCTTGCAAGTGGGCAATCTTGACCTGAACACGAATGAAGCGGCTCTTCGACGCTTTCTTCCTTCTCCACAGCCAATTAAGGTGACTTGGGGACCTCAATCCCACATGTTCACTGCAAAACAGCTAGTGGAAAGAGCTATCACGCAACTTCGATCTCACGGTACTCTCATAGAAGAGTGTACTCCCAGTCCCCAGAAGGGGCGAAGTAGAACGAAAATCATCGCCAAGTTCAGCGAAGCAGAGGCAGCCCGTAATGCGGTCAAGAACATGCACGAAACACGTCTCGATCCCTACTCAAATGATAAGATGCAAGTGACTCCTCTCGTGTCCATCAAATTGTCGATCTCCTCTCGAATCCTAGCAGCTATTCGACCGCAACTCGACCCTCTTGTTGACCAAACATGGCGAAGAGATTACGTCCAGATCAAAAGCTACGAAGCTCTGGGCAAACAATACGCCCAAGTTCGCATTTTTGGTCAGTCTAGAGAACCAGTTGCCAAGGCCAAGTCGGCCGTGGAGAAGCTCCTTGCTGGCCACATCGCCGCCGACGGCAATGGCCCGATCACAGACCCGTTCTACTTCAGACCTTCGTCAAAGAGCGTTCTGGAGAATCTCGGAGCCGCACATGGTGTTTCCATACACCAGGATCTACGTCGATCGGTTCTTCGACTATACGGAGACCACACGGGTATTGAACAAGTCGAACGCGCTCTGGTGGCGAAATGTGCAGAACTGAAGGAACAATCCCAAGCCATCATTCTTGATCCCGGGGCTCTAGCTTCTGCCCTCAAAGGGGGATTTCGGCAAATTGTCGCCGCTCTTGGAAAGGACAAAGTGAAGCTAGATATCATCAGCAACCCGAAGCGAATCATCCTCAAAGGCTCCACGAAAGATGTGGTCAAGATACAGGAAATCCTCACTTCGTGCGCATCTCCTTCATTGGAAACACGAATCGCCGGGCTCTCCATCAGCGGGGACGACTCCGAGCTATTCTGCCCGGTCTGCTTCACCCCACCAGAAGCCCCTATCAAGACGTCATGCGGCCAGTTCTATTGCAGTTCCTGCCTCGTCTCGCAGTGCACGTCTGCCGATTCTTTTCCGCTCAAATGCCTCGGGGAGGGCGCTGTCTGTGGCTCTCCAATAACTCTTGCCGACGCGAAGAAAGTTCTTTCTGGGACTGAATACGATAATCTTCTCCAGACATCCCTGACCTCATACCTTCGCAGTCGAACAACCGAATTCCAATACTGCACTACACCAGACTGCGACCGCTTCTACAGAATCTCAAACACTGAAAACCTCGAACCTTTGACTGCGACGGCTGCCTCAGCTCCATCTGCACAAGCTGCCACCAAAATCCCCACGACGGGCTCACGTGTGAGGCCAACAAAGCCCTCATCAAAGCTGCCTTGGAGGGAGACGAACAACTCGCGAAGTGGAAGAAAGACAATGATGTGCGAGACTGCCCCAAGTGCGGGGTGCCGATTGAGAAAGCGTTTGGTTGCAATCACATGGAATGCATCTGGTGCCGGATCCACATCTGCTGGTTCTGTATGAAGACGTTTGGTAGCGGGGGAGAGACCTACAAACACATGGAGCGGACACATGGGTAGCATATTGATAGTCGCGGTGGAACAGGGGAATAAGCTCAGAGCAGCTCTCGATGCCATCACGAACCAATCGACGGCGACATCAATGCCTCGATAATTCTCTCGCCGTACACCAGTACTAGGTGCGGAAATAGCTGAAGCACATTGCGAAACTCAGTACGGCTTTACATATTCGCGTGGAGGATGCCCAGGGCATCAAATTACTGGATCCATCTCGTTACGTGGTTATTCTCGCTACGTGGTGAAGGATGGTAAAGAATAAAATACGCTTCTTTTTCCACTGAACAATGCGATCCTCCGAGGTTCCAAGAGTTGATTTATCATTTACACAAAGGGCTTGGTACATACACATTGTGCACCTACCTATTATAAGTTTATATATTCTAGTCTGCGAAATCCGAACAATGGCAGTGACGCGCGTTGCTCCAACATGGTCAAATCCATTGTACAAGACCATTGTTGGCGACGATTCATTACTCTCATATATAAAGGCGGTCGATGGCGTCTCCTACTTCTTAAACCTCCAACTGACTTGGAAACGTACGCTGCAGAAACGCCAGATACAACCTCTCCGCGAGAAGTGTGCTCTCTACCCTTTCGAATATAAATCCCAAACATCCTCCCCCACGACACTGAACATGGACATGCCCGATATTTCGACACTGTCGATGGAAGTTCAGGAAGTCTCGGACTCCGCTTCCTCCCACATCAAAGTCCCTTGCCTGCCGACCTCCAGAACAAAATGCTCTATCTTCATGGGCAAACAAGAATACGCACTCAGTCACCCGGAGGAACATGAGGACCCGTGGGTTTCCCCGGGCTCGCCTGAAAAGCACCTGTACTCTCTGTACCACAAATTGCGGGGCGAATCATGCGGTATCAAACTCAAAGTCTTTGGCAAGAAGAAAACCTTATGCCAGGCTACACAAGCTGAGTTCTGGTTCGCCCAGATAGCGGGCATGATGCGACACAATCTTCGAATGATAGCTAACTACAAGTTAGATGCATCGGATATAGAGCGTCCGTACTATCCCATACATTCCCAGGAAGATACTCTGACTACTACAGACACGCTGTCGGCGGAGGATGAGGAGGCCTTGCACCTGATGAACGTGATGGATGGCTGTGCAGCCCGCCACATTGGAATCCATGAAGAATGGATTTCCACCTCCCGACCATTCCAATACCCTGGAATGAATCTTTCCGAGGCCCATCGCACGCTGCTCAACGCGCTGAATGCTGTTAGTTTTCGCATATCTAGGAACACGTTCGCGCATGCTTACGGAGCACCATCTGGCGGGATTAGCATCTCCATGGGGAGTATCTTCGAAAATCTGGCTTCAGAGTATGAAAAGGCCTTGCGGCTGATTGGCGAGGTTCTGGCGGAGTTGAAGAAAGCGATGACGGGGGCACTGGTGAAAGCAGAGACGGGGTTGGAAGAAGATGAGGATACAGATGACGAGGAGGCTAACGAGGAGGTACAGTATGAGGCGTTTCCAGACGACCAAAAGTATTTACCATATGAGGACGCCGAGGACTCAGAGGTCGATGAAGACTTACTGTACGAGGACGCAGAGGAAGGGGAGGAGGACGTGTAATACAACGAGCAAGTGTAGTAAGAGAACGCGGCGTAGGAATGGGAGAGCGTCGACGGTGAGAGTACTCCTCAAACATAGGTAACTTCATTCACAGAAGAAACCCTTCACTCAAGCAAAGAGACCCTGTTTCGCCTTCTTTTTCTCAACACTCGCTTACGAGAATGTGATGAGATTGCGTGCATTTCAACCTCAATACATCGGGTTTCGCTTTGAACAATTGGTGTGTATACTATAATGCAAATATTTCTTGCATATTATGGCTTTCAATGATGTACCAACAATTTCCGACCTTGAACAATTCCTTGTATTCACAGACGAGTCATAATGCGCACTTTACTCTTCAAGAAGCCGGCTTTCCTCATTCGGGTGCTACCGAGTGAAAAACTACCTCTCCTAACTGGTCGGAATCGAAGTCAGAAACTTTCGCATTTTTCGAAGGAGCTCTACGTGAACGGTCTCTAATGTATAAAGCAGGCCAATCTCGCCCTGAACCTGAGAGTCGACTCATATATTCATTAGGATATTGACCACAGGCACTTGCACCGTCACTGCCATCTTCGTGAGCGTTGCCCGAGAGTAGTTGTGAGTGGGCTGTCAGCTATGTACCTCTATGCTGGAGAGACTAGCATCAAGTAGACATATCAAGACACGAGTCAAGACATGAATCAAAAACCATATAACGTACCTCACGGGCGAGCCGTCCACACGGGCGAGCCGTCCACACGGGCGAGCCGTCCACTATGCCAAGATCCCACCAAATTGTACTGTCAACTACAGTATATTCGTGATGCCTCCACAACACAATAATCTACCTTCTTCAAAAGAAGCTCGTGTACAGCTTGCGATCCAGGCTATTAAGCAAGATGCGAATATCTCTGAACGATGCGCTGCACAGATCTATAACATCTCTAGAACAACACTACGAGACCGATGCGCTGGAGCGATCTTTCGATACGACTGTATGCCCAACTCAATGAAGCTACTAAAGACGGAAGAAGAGGTGATTGTTCGGCATATTCTTGATCTTGACATGCGAGGATTTCTTCCCCGGCTCGCTGCTGTCAAAGATATGGCTGATTCCTTGCTGGCTGTGTGGCACCGAGACCCAGTCGGCCAGAACTAGGCTGCAACCTTTGTCAAGCACCAGCCAGAGCTTACAATTAAGTTCAATCGAAAGTATGATTACAAGAGAGCCCTCTATGAGGATCCTAAGGTTATACAAGACTGGTTCTGGCTTGTAGAGAATACTAAAGCCAAGCATGGTATCCTAGACAATGACATCTACAACTTTGATGAGTCTGGCTTTATGATGGGCATGATATCAACAGGAGCAGTTGTCATAGGCTCTGAGCATCGAGGCAGGCCAAAGAGCATGC